ATCACACCTTAGGCTACATATACCCAAAAAATGACGGAAATGTTTTCGAGCATTCCACAACCTCTTTAACTCTGAAAATATATTCACTACCTTATTGACAATGTACCTATTCTGATGCAAGGATGTTTTCGATTTGCAACAAAAGGTTATCACCTGTTTCATTGAAATTCCTGCCCGTCATATCCATGACAACAATCATGTTATCTCAGTCAAAAAAAAACACTGACAGTGTAAATACATTAAGCATCAGGCTTCCAAAGTGCATGTGGTTCATGGGCGTCGATGGAGGGGGGGGGGGGGGCATGGGACATGTCTTTCCCCCCCCCCCCCACTCCCACTTTTTAAATTGGGGGATATATCGGTTGTGTCCCGCCACATTTTTTCATCCCTGAATAAAAAGTGTATCCTACATTTTATAATATATAGCTCAGAATGGCTGATTCAATGACTCCAAACTGGAAAATGAATCAAACATTTTTCAGGGCTCTTAAGCAGGCCCAGAACTTCACGCTGTTAGTGCTTCGCACTTTGCGATCGCATTAGTTCTGATCAAGGCACCGGTATGTCCCCCCCCCCCCCCCACTTTTGAGAAGCGATTGACGCCCTTGATGTGGGTATGAACAAGCCATCACTTGATCTACATTTGTCCTGGGTTACATGTGGTATTTCCTATGTCAAATCAAAGATCATAGTTTTGTGTTTAAGATAAAAATAGGGTACCACCTTTTGGTTTTTCTATAGTATCTGGCTGAATCCAACATACAACTGTAGGCTAATTCCAGTGGCAGTACGGACTTACATGTATGCCTATGATATAACAGAACAGCTTTTCCACACACACATGTACATGTACCTCTCCTTATTTGATTTCATTGGATTTTGGTCTACAGGGCAAGGGGTAGGCTTAAAGCACAATACAACCAGAGCATGCCATATGTATGCCCATAAACATACCAGCGGATGAGGGGAAGTTGAGAGAAAAAAAAACTGAGTGCTAGACTTTATGCATGAACAATGCTTATGTGGTGCAGTGATTGCAATTGAAAAGTTTTAGGGAGTGCTGGACAACAATGAGAGTATGCACAATAGCTCCAAAAGCCTTGCAAATAAATTTGCATTCGTCATTCTCGGAATCTTTTCAGGTATTCAGCGCTGTGTAAATAAAGGACTGAATGAAGGTCTCAGTGTTGCAAGCGGTTATCAGGACGTTGACCATTAAATTGCCAGCGGTTTAGTGGGGTTTTTTTTTGGGGGGGGGGGCAATGGTTCCCCCCCCCCCCACAGCAAAAATGGTTGGCAAGAAAGGAGAACCTAAGCCCGTACGAAAAATAATTTGAATTGAATGTACAGTTTCTTATTGAGTAGGTTGTTAAGAGCTGATAGAGGATCTAGTTTTTTTCCCCAAAAAATTCAAGTCCCTGAAAACATTCAATTATGTAGCCTACAGTTTGCGTGGCCATAAACAGTTGTGGCAACCTGCCCATTTTAGACACCAGTCGTCGCACGGAAGTAAACTGGAAAGTTTCTTCAGACGAAATGTTATTCAGTGAAGGAGTGATTGATGCAAAAAATACAAATTTTGACGGACATCTTCTGCTTTCAAAATGAAAGAGTTCAAGTTATTTCATATATTTATTCAAGTTCAATTACATTTGTGATCATATGCATGCAAGTATTGCTCTTAAGTTGCCGAAAATAGTTCAATATTTTGTCAATTTCCAAACGGCTGAGCTCTTAACATTTTTACCGCTCCACTTTGTAAAAGCTTAACTGAAATGTCCACATTTTAAAGATACCAGTATATTTTACTATTTTTTATTGCACAGCGCTTTCCAGACTAAACAGTATGTAAATGCTCTGTTATTATTGAGCGTAGGTTGTAAAATATGAATAGTTAATATGTTGAGAATTCTAGGCCTAAATGGAGAGTAAAAAAAAACAGTTTCCGTCCCCCCCCAATAAAAAAATAATAATGAATATATTAAAATATGAATTTTTGAACATTTGAATAAATTGTAACATATGAATATTTAATAGTTTAATAATACGAAATGCAGAGTAAAATTCCCACTCCCCCGCAAGGAAATACTAATACACTGAAGGATTTAGCCCACTCGGTGCCGTGACAACATCTTTTTTTTTTAAACTGTTATTCCAGTTTTTTTTTTCAGACTTGCTTTTATTTCCTTTAGGCCTTGACCATTTGTTTTTTTTTTTCACATTTTGTGAAAACCAGCAAACGCAACCTTCCATTTTCGGTCATGGTTCATTTATTTTTTTATTAGCTTTTAACCGTTACCGCATTTGTTTTCTCTTGGAGGTAAAGCTTCAAATAACGAAAACATCATTAATTAATTATTCATTTTGTATTTTAAGAAAACCACAATTTGTTGATCTGTATGTGTTGTGATGAATGCAAAGTGTAAGGGTCGTGACACTTAATATTTTTTATAAAGAAGAATCACTTTGGAGTATATAGAAGAAATTCCCAGTTTCTACCATTTAGAAATGCAGGACAGAAAGTCCATCGGGCAGGTTAAAAAAACCTATTGTGTTTTTTAGCAGGCATGCAACTTTTCCTAGGATCAGCTGATTCCCTCGTTTTTCTCTACACACATATGCCATTAAAAATTGAAAAACACCGAATAAATTCTTGTAAAGCTTGGAAATTCCACTGATTTTTGGTTACTTTCCAGTTGCATACCTGTTCTTAGGGATGTCCCGAATATACTGAATATTTGAATGTTCGATCATAACTGAATATTCAAATAGCTTTATGCCGCTTTGAATATTCGGAAACAAAAAAACTACGCTCATTGGTGTTTCATTGTCAGGTGCCACTTTTGTCGACGGTAACTTTTCTGTCGACTACTGTTCATTTTACCAGGTTAAAGCCCATGACATATATAAAATATTTATTGCAAAACTCTCCATATCGATCCTGCATGCAAATTTTAACTGGCACGCTCATGGGCGTCGCCAGGATTTTTTCTAGAGGGGGGCAAAACCATATTTTTGCCAAAAAATGCCTGTATTTCTCAGCACATTCTCGATTTATCAGTTTTAGAGGGGGCAGGGACATTCCCCCCCCCCCCCATTAAATTTACACCACTATGATTTCGCACCACTATGACTTTTTTCTTCCCTTTTTTGTTTTTTTGTTGTTGCTTTTCCGGGGGGGGGGGCAAGTGCCCCCCTTGCCCCCCCCTCGCGACGCCCATGGGCGTGCTCCGCGTGCAACTTTTGACTGGCGTAGCACGAAGTTGCAGCTGGCAGTTTGGAATATCCAAATATTTGGTCAAACACAGTTTTGAGTAATCAAATACTAAATTATTAGAAAATGGACTAATATATATAGTATATAGCAATATTTTTTATAGGCCTTGTGAATGTATATATTCGGGAAAATGTGCACATGTTATTTCCCTTGTCTGGGGTCGCCTTAGTTCATAAGAGGTGATTGGGGGCAACAGTGACGGTAAACAATAAAGCAACTTAAGCCCTCCCCCCCCCCCCCCCCCCACCTTCAACCCACACAGATAATATTGTGGCCGCCCGCCCTGCATGCCCTAGTTTCATTTGACATCACAGTCATAAATCATCCAAACCGGTTTCATGTCTGCTATTCCCTTGGACTTTTAGTCAACCTTTTCTTGGGTTCAAGTCTGTCTCTCTGGGTTAGTTGAGAACACGAAATTCATTGTACCTCATTGTTACCATATGGCAAATATGCAGTTGCAGCCGGCATACATGTATTTATTGGCCTGTAGCTGTTGATAAAATTTGTTCAACTGCCCTACCAGTATATACATAACCGCGAACTTTTGCCAACAAAAACATTATAGGTTTGCTGTGGGGGTGGGGGACACAGTTCATTATTCTTTGTAAAACTGAAAGCTTTCTACCTTTATCCGTTGGGTTGACAAGCATGAATATGCATTAAACAAATAACTTAGTTTGAGTGTACAATATTTCTGATACTATATTGTAATTTTATTCTGAGAACGGCACATCAAACCAACATTTTTGTTGCAATTCATTTTATTTTTTCTGCTTTGATCAAGGAGTCATAATATCTCATTTTTATCCACCCTCCCTGAAATAAAAATAGAAAGACTCCCGTCAAATAAAACATCAAATTAGTCATCTGTTATCAATTTTTAAGCAACTCGGCCTATTGCATCTTTCCAATTTTATTTTTTTTCCAGACAGTGTTTTATGTCAGTGTGATTGATTTCCTTGATTCTGTTATGCTACACATGATGGCCTACATATTTACTCATATGGGTTGAATGCACGATAAATATAGCCCACACATCCTTTTTCACATTACCTTTACAATTTCGCAGCAACCGTTATACTAGAGCAGCTTGCATTGTTTGGGTGAGTTGTCACGCAGACTCCTACCCAGATCACATCTCACCTCACATGATTGGATTACCGCCCGATCACACCTATGTCATTGGACATGGATCTTGTAAATCAGTCAGTGGCAGAAGTTAACAGGATAATCAGGCTGTTTTAGGGACAGCTTGCCTGCCAGAAAATAAATAGGCCAGAGCGGGAGAAGTGACAGTTATATGATAATGATAGGGATTGAGGTTGGCTGAGTGATTCTGTATGCTAATTGGCTTAGCTATGTGTACACAAATATTTGAACATGTTGCACAGGTTATTGGCAAAGTAAACGTTGTGTTTCTTTAAGTCAAGAGCTAAAGTCTCAAGTGGAAAACTTGTGCAATCATTCCTTCCTCCAGGATTTAACATATGGCTTGTGGAAAAAAATAAGTGCAGTTGTGTCAAACATAACCTGTTGTTTGAAACCCTTTGGTTGATAGTTTAATCGTTTAAAATTAAATTCCAAATGCTCATTGCTGAGAAGACAGGCACATATACTGCCATGCACTGCAGTCAAAGTGAACTACATTAAAAGGTACTCTGGCTCCAACTTTTACCAGTTCAAATATTTGAATTAGATGTTCTTTTTTTTTCTCGTATAGCCCTCGACACCAACAACACTCTGGTCAAGAAGGCAGTATTTGAACTTCTCTCTGCACTCTGTCTGTACAATGATTTGGGATACACGCTGGCAATCGACGCCCTGGAAAACTACAAGGTAAGAGATTATCCCTCAACCCTCCCCTCCCCCCACCCAACCCCATCTCTCTCACCCATATTTGCCTTCAACCCCCCTCCCACACCCCGCAATCACACCTCCCCCATCCCCCCGCATACCACCCTCCCCCACCCCCGGATACCACCCCTTCCCCCAATCCGCACCACCCCCCACTCCCCCTCCTTTACGACCCCTGCACTACCCCCTCTTCTCACCAACTCTGCACTCCCCCACCACCTCTGCACTCCCCCACCATCCCCGTACTCCCCCACCACCCCCGTAACCCCCCCCCCCTTGTAACACAACATCACCCTCCCCCCCACCACCACCCTTGCCTTTACCCCCTCTCCTCAACCCTGCGATAGTTCTCTGTCTAAGGCATCTGATCTGGTGAAGATTTGTTAAGACTCTTAAGAGTGTTAATTGCTATAGGCCCTTTGCACTGCAGCCATCTTAGAGGTGTGTGCTTTTGTTCCATTAAGGTATACGCAGGAGCAGACTTCTGGGGCCTTCATTGTTACTGAAGTAACAAAGGTATCACCAAGATGGCTGCTGGATTTAAAGAAGCCGTGTTAAATGTTGCTTTAAATGAAAAGGATTTAAAAAAGACACTTTTCTTATTCAGCCATAAATGATTATCTTTCCAATTAATTTCTTAACAAAAATCCTGCTGGTTTATGAAAGAAACTGTTCCCAGGAAGGTGGACAACTTCCCTCACTTAACGACTCCCAAGTCGTTGCTTCATCTTGTTAAAAATGCCAATTTCAAGCATTATCAAGTGAAATTGACCAGCATATGGTCAACCAATGAGTCTGTCAAGAGACTAGCTTCTATTTACAGGTGCATTACAGTGCATTCATGAAAGGACAATTACCCCACAAGCCAATCCACAATTTCCCTGCCTCCTCTTCTCAAGATGTCCTGCCCTAGGCAGTCTTTCCCCGCGCATCTGAACGAGAACCGTGCATTTTCCTGTTTGGTCATTCCCAAGAAATCGGATTACCTATGGGGGAAGCGGGACACCTGGAAGCATCGCACGCAATTTGTGTCACCGTATCGAATAAGTAGTTGCCATGGCAACGCGGCAGCTTTTCACACAAATCTCGGGGCTGTACCATTGATGTGCAAATCCACTGGCAATTTGTTTTTGAATTGGTTGCTCTTGTAATCGTATGCCGTTTTTGGACAATTTGAAATGGAAAGTAGACTTTGAAAACCTTCGGTCAATATATCAGTTTCTACCCTGGCCATGTACAAACAGAATACATTTGACCAGTGAATATAAAAATGAGGTCAATGAATTCATTTAATTGAGTAAAAAAAAAATGGTTTTATGGATTCCCCATGCAAATTCATCTTTTCAGTGTATTGAGTCTCTTTCATTCATGGTGCTAAGTAACTGTATAAAAGGAATCAACAGTTGTCAAAATCTGGGTTGTCATGAATTGGAACAGTTACCCCCAACTTAAAACTTCAATACACAACAGGTACTTGGGCTTGTGCATTTCCTTGGGAACAAATTGAGTTTTTCTGAATGAAGTCACCAGAAGTGTTTGGTGTGTGCTTATAATTGTTTGCAAACCTATATGCCAGGGCCCAATTTCATAGCACTGCTTAACAGTAAGCAGAAAAGTTGTGCTTACTATAGCAGAAAATCATGCTGCTGCTTAAGCACTATTTCATGCTAACGGTTGCGTGCGCATGGAGATTTCTTTTGTTACGTCACTGATTTAAGCAAAGTTTTTTTCTGGGGTTAAGCGTGCTTTTGCTGCGCTTACTGCTTAACGGTCCCTGTGAAATAGATGGAGGCTCGGTAAGCACAAAGTCGGCTGTTAAGCAGCGCTATGAAATTGGGCCCTGGTGGCTAGTTAATTCTTCCCCCCCCCCCCCCTCCTTCCTGATATGTTTGTATTTTTGAAATTTTCGCTTCATTTGGTCGTAAGTGTAATTTTTGGATGTTCAATTGAAGAGAAGATATTCATGATTCGGGTTTGTTTTATTCCAATCACAACCAATTTCGAAGAAAACAGGTGACATTTTGTAATTTGCTACCCCTGTTTCTGTTGAACCGCTAGCACTAAACACATAAATGTGCATAATTATTTATTAAGGCGATTTGCCTTCCGTACCTGTCGTCTAGGTTTCCAAGAACCAGCGTTATCGTTTCAGTCTGATCATCAACGAGCTGCGTAATGCCGAGATCATCCCATACAAGATATGCCTGCTGTCCTTCATTAACTGCATCTTGATGAGCACGGTGGACTTTGAGACAAGAGTGCGTCTACGAAATGAGTTTATTGGCCTACAACTGCTGGATATCCTCTCCAATTTTAGGTGAGTATGGCCCACAGAGCTAAAATAATTTCATGATGTAAATCAAATGGTGTAAAAAATGTTGCAACCTGACACAACTTTTTTATTCATATATCATCTCAATGAAGGTCGTTCATTACAAATTTGATAAGACATGAATCTGGGACTGAGAAACATTTCCAAGTTTGTTAGAAAATACTTAGAAAATGTTCATGACTCTCCATAGACTTTGTACACAATCGCGGAAGTGGCGTCAGGTTGCATTATTTTTTCCCAAATGGTAGCTTTTGCTGTTTCTGATATTATATTGCACAGTGGTATTAGCATTGAATCTGTAGTACTTTCAAGTTAATACAGGCATTGATCATTTAAATTCAACCAAGGTGTACATGCTGTACTGTGCTGATATCTTAACATATGGAAGGGAAATCTGTCGTTGAAACTGCGTTTTACTTGATATTGTTTTTAGATCTTCCTTGGAGATCTTTAATAGGGCTCTACCTTGATGCTTTTGAAATGCATTTCTCATTCTCATCACATTCAGAAATGTTCATGTACAGTTTTCATTTGGCAAATGTCAGCGTCATCCTGGTAATGCCAAGCTCAAAAGACTTTTGGTTTTCAGAAAAAAATTTACCAGTGAAACAATCATTTATTTTTGAATTGGCTGTGGCTGTTTCTCTGCTTCTGTATTCGTAAATTTCTTTGATTGCACTCAGTGGATTGGAGAGCCTTTGCTTGTGAGGTGCAAGGCAACTTTCTGAATTATGTGACGGAATCGAAGTACTCTCCAAATGAGCAAAAACCTGGTCATTGCAGTTATAAATTTGAAGAACAGGGAGTAAACAGGTTTGACCAGGACATTAAAGATTTCTTGGTAAATCCTGCATGGAACAGGTTCCTAAAAGAAATTTTGACAACTTAAGCCACAATCAGCACATGGCCTAGCTTAAACAAGAGACACTCATACTTTGCTCCTATGTGAAGCTAAATTTGTTCAAACCAAAATTATGCAAGCGTATCAATTATGAAAAGATACTTGCTCATTACTGTAGAAACACTCAGTGCTTACACTATGATAGTTCAGCCTGCCAATTATTATTTACGAGGAGTATTTCCATAATGATATATACACGACAGTTTCCCATTAAAAAAAAACTATCAATTGTTGTAATCAATGTGCGATAAGATCATACAGAGGATGCGTGTTTGTAATAAATTAACATGCATGCTTGTATTCAACTGTATTAGAGATAATGAGTGCTAGCCTTAATTTCATGTGGCTCACATCCGTGTTCCATCACGTCATAACACCATTATTCTTTTTCAGTTGACATTGAGATTTCTGAAGCATTTGTCACAACGGAATATTTGGACAACATTGCATTTGCTTCAAAGAAGTATTTCTTGTGAACATTTTGGCCATTGTGTAGTGAGGGCCCATTTCCTATAAGAGAACAAAATCCACTTTCAATTTATTTGACTTACCAGACAATTTGCCAATATTAAGAGAAAAACAGGTTTGTCAGAGGGCAGGGTTTTGAATTTTTGAGGAAAATTTGGGGGTAAAATAATGACGAAGATGACAAAAGGCAACGCAAAAAATAAAGATATGTACTGTGAACGTGCAATACCAAGCTGAATCGCACAGCATCAACTGTAAACCACGTACAAAAACTGCAATTTCTACCCCAAGAAACTTTTCTAAATTCCAAAAAAATTGTGTCATTAGAATTGAGAGAAGTCAGCTGTAGGTTAAAACGGTCATTTTGGAATGATTATAAAACACCCTTGATTCTAATTTGATAAAACTAAAGAGGGGTCCTACTCTACACAACTGTCACAATTTTGATGCACTTCTGATGCACTGCTGGCACTTCGTGTGCATTTGCCTCAAACATTGATCAAAGTAGAACTGTGGAACAGTGATTAGCTTTTGCTGTAATTATCATGAATTGGTTCATGGTTTCATAGAATATTTCCTCATCACTGAGTGTTACTTCAAATACGTAAATTAATACAGCTACAGTTTAATTTATGGCCCTCCATATAAACTGCAATATATGTATCCAGTCCAAAATCCTTGGAATTTATTACTCAATTAGTGGATCAGATCAAATACCCCGATATTATATTGCAAAAGTTTCCATAAATCTATCTAAAATTACGACTCAAGTGAAGTATACATGTAAGTGTTACTGAGAAATGAACAATTATGCAGCAGCATGAGCTGGCAAAATAAAACTGACAATTTTTTTTTTCGATTTAAAAAAAAATAGTACATATAGCTCTTACATGTAGTTTGGCATGGTTATTTTCCATACGTGTTTGCTCACTTGCCGCCTACTTAGTTATTTAGTTATTTTGCTTTTTCCACAATACTCTTGTTTTAATTTATTCTGCTTCTGACCTTGCTTTTGTGTACATGTATATATGTAGGTGACTTTCCTAGTTTCTGCATCCATGCATTAACATATTAACAAGTTTTATGCCAATACATAAAAATCCAACTCATGCTGATCATATGGCAGACTATTTACAAATTTATCATATTATATATTCATTAATTCATTAAGGAAATAAATATGTTTTTGTCCAGTTTTCAGCAAGTATGTTCAAAGCCGGTTGGGGGCCTGGACGGGGATAAAGCCTGAGCCATACCAGCCAAGCACATATTTATTCCCTTCATAAATACCTTTCCATCAAAAAGTCGAAACAAGTCTAAATTTCACAATTTTTCAACAATTTCGTTCAATAATTTTACCTCATTGTTTGTTAAACACCCCTCAAGCCATGTCTATGTTATGTGCCTTGCGAGTGTAGTGCTAAAACAATCTCCTTTTATAGAGGTTGGCATGCGCAGTGCATACTGCGCGCACGATGTAGCAAAAACGCATTGGTGCAGGAATAAAGTGTTTAAATGCAGGCGGTGTTTTAACAGCGGTTTAAAACCACCCATGTGATGGGCTCTCGACCAATAGGAATGGGTAAACTGTCTTAGGTATTTATAAATTAACCCTAACCCTGCTGAATCCAACAGGATCCAACTATGTCACATACCCGATGGAGCCTGTTGGATTGAGCAGTTAACCCCTTGTGTGCATTCCTGATGCAAAACGTTGGATTCAGCAGGCAATTGAACCACATTATAACGCCAAGTTGGACTTCGTTGGATTCAGCAGACAACTGAAAATAAGGCACAGTGGATTGAACAGGAACGTCCGGTTGGACTCTGTTGGATTTAGCAGGGTAGTCCTGAGGAAGTACTAGGGGGTAAGGGAGGTTAAACAAGTGACTTCAAAATTTTAAAACCTTTAGTATCAACATGTATCATGCAAACTCAAACTATCACAGTTTTGTCTTCTTTCATGTCATTGTTTGTCATCAGGTTCACATTTTCTAACAATTTTCATAATTTTCATCCATTTTGTTCAATTGCCAGAATCGAGTTAACAAGGTAATGTACATTCATGTTTAGCAGGACAGCTAAACTTTATATGTTCTGCAAAGCACCCAAAAAAATTGATGTTAAAGTCAATTCTTTCCTAAGGGTTTGGGAAGCCTCTGTGTAGCGTTTCTGTGTTGAGGTGGTGGGTTGTGCTTTTTGTAGTTTTCGATTAGTTTTTTATTTGTGTTGAGTTCTGTTGTTTGAATTTAATGTATGGGATTTTTTGTTATTGTGTGGTGTGGTATATTGCTGTAGAATAAGAAATGTAATGCAACTTTAAACCGACGACATTCCATATTTTTTTCACGGGTAAAAGATTTCCAAAACTTCAAAGCGTGTAAATTGAAAACAAGTCAGCTGAGTCTGTGACCAGTTAACAAATTTGTTGCATGGATCATTTCAAGTTCTACAGTCATGATTGTTAGTGTTAGTGTATATTTGGTGTTTCTGTACTTCTTGTCTAAATACATTTCTGCTTTTATAAAGTGAGGGCACACGTCTTTGCTCGCAAGATGGAATTGCACTTTCAAAAAATGGAAATATTGAAAAGTTTGATGTAGGGAGTGGTATAGTTTTAAAAAAAAATAGAAGCAGTTCTTTGGCATGGGTTGACCTGGCCTGTTTATTGTTTGTACTATTTACAGTTCTCGTTTCCAACAAATTAAAAGTAGATTGAGCTTTGTGTCTTTTGAGCGGGGATCCACCACTGTGCTTTCTATTGCACAGAAAGAGTACTGTTGGTTTTTTCTGTGTAATTCGCTGCTTTTGTGCAGACAGTGATGTCATTGTCACTATCATGTCAATGATGATGGTTAAGTCACTGTCAAAAATCTTTCTTGAACAGTCCGTAATGCCCAAATACATGTAAAAGCATCAGTTTCAATCCTTGACTGGTGAATTGGTAATATGTAATTGCATTGGTTCTTGGGTCTTGCTTGCTAGCATTTCCCCGCCACCTAAAATGTGAAGGACTTTGCCAAACATTCCCTTGCTACAAAGTTGTTAAATTCGTAGTTAAGAAATGTGTTACTCTTTGTATGGCTAAAAAGGTGATCAACCATTCTTCTTACACATATGGTAAGGCTGCCTTTTGCATACTCCCTGACATTATTTTATGGAGACAAAAAGCAAAACATGATGGAGTGATTTCTATGCAAACCTTTGTTATTGTTAACTTTTTATTGCACGTGTCTGATATTGTTGCTGGCACCGTCTTGTTTTTTTTCCTCATGAATTTGGTGCACCGTGTTATCAAAATATCACAGTAAAGGGATGAGGTGATAGTCTGTTTTCCTTTGAAGCTTCACATCTCAGAAGGAAAAAGCTTTGATTAATAGCCCAAAAATGTTTCTTTTTTTAGGAACATAGGAATTTTCTACGACTGTCTACACTAACTCTAGATGTTGCCAGGTGGCACGTTTTATCACTGATTCTCATAGTTATATTTTATAAACTAGAGAGCGTACTTGCTATGCTACGCAAGCAGAACATGTAGTGGCCATTTTTTACGTGGACAAAACGCAGAGAATTTACGCGCTGAAAGTGGGCACACCCCCAGTATTTAAAATTGTTGTATTATGTTCTGCATTTTGCCTACTTAGAAATTTCTGTTGGTTGTCCTTTTGTCAGCATGTCTGCATGTAGTGAGTGCACTTTCCAGTTTTTAAAATTTAACTCTATGCTGATTCTGCAAAGCAGCCTTATGCACTAAGCACTGAAAGCACACGCCAGGTCAAACTGCTGCGACAAATTATGCGCCAATTAACCTGCTAAGCTGATATTTTTATTTCCCACTTTTTCAACTTGAATTCCTTTATTCGCTCTTTCTCGCTCAGACAAGATGACAAGGATGACGGCGATCTCTGCATCCAGCTGGACGTCTTCGACGAGAAGAAGATGGAAGACGATGAGGAACTCTTGTCCTGTTTCCCTGACGATGGGGTGGACCTCAACAGCCCCATGGACGTCTTTGATGCAATCTTTAAAAAGGTTCAAAATCCCAAAATACATGCTGTTTTTCAAACATAAAAGAGAAACTAAATTTTGTTTGTTTTTGAGATGCTATTTCGTCACTGTGACCTTTTGGAATACCGCCCTCTCCTGGTCACCCGAAGTCGGTTTCGATGGCTGTTATATAGTTAAACGCAATTTAAGTATACAATCAAGTGACAAATGCAGTTTAGAAATAGCTGATACTCTGTGTACATTCTATATATTTTCACAACCCTGCAACAATGGATTTATAGCATTTTGGAAATTAACTTTTCATTTGTTATTCCTATATTGGAACCATTCCAAAGTCTTTTTCAGCTGGTAACTCATGATGTGGAGATTGTTGGGAAAAAAAGTAAAACCGGGTCTTAAAAGAACCCAGTTTCAGCTTTCAGGTGGCGCAAAGAGCATGATATGCAACATATGCACCATATAAATTGCAATACAAATAAGGCATCAATAGGACTTGTTCGAATCGATCCAATCTTTGCAGTGCCACGATTCCTGAAAAGGCGATGAATAATAGAAAGCTGGAGCATTCAATGATGGGGCTTTCAACCCATTTCCAAGCTGAAGACCCACTTCTGCCAGCATTAATCCTCAAAGAAATAGTTCCCATAGAAAATGCATGTTTCCTCGGGGGACAAAACTCGATTGTAAATGTACCAGTCCATCATAGCATGTCAGACCTCATGAACGTAGAATTTCTCAGTTAAGGCCTGAGAGTGTTGCATGCTGCAGTTTTGCAACATTCATTCGCCAATCGCCATTAGGCATTTTCACTAAGAAGGTCTAACATGTTGTCTGTTCAAAGGTTAAAGGTTCCAGACAATGACTTTGGGTAGAATTTTGCCTAACGGTGACTGGAAAGGTTGAACCCTTTACCTAGAGCTTGCTCTTTGACCCTAAACAAGCTCCGTGAATTGAGTAAGATGTCTGCTTTAGTAAGCAAGAGGTACTTGCTTACTTGAGTAAGCAAGAGGTTCAAGTCCAACCTGAGTAAGCTTGTGGCTTTTTTTATCACAAGCTCTCAGAGAGCAGTCAACATAGAGTTCTCCCAGATTTATTTCAGTAAGGGGCAGTTACCAATATTGAAAACCCTTTGATGATAATTTAAGCTACACTAGCTGTAATTTTTTTCTTCTTCTTTTTATGTTGTACATGTAGGTGTCTAACTCTCCAAATGCCGCGCCACTTCTATCCCTCCTCCAATCACTTCTTCAGTTTGAGCCGGACGACCCAGTCTCGGATATTCTCTTTGATATCTCGGACCGTCTGATTGGTCAACTCATGGTGCTAGACCACCCCGAGGAGGTCAAGGAGATTTTGAAATGCGGTCTCTCGGAGGCGGTGAAACTGGTGAAGATGAAGGATATGTATCGGACTGCATTGCCAACAAAGGCGGAGAAGAAAGTGGACACGGTGGATGCTGGAGTTCAGACTGAAGAGGAGATTGTCATGGTGACACCGGGTCAGCATGGGGGCAGCATGGTGAGAGAAGCAGTCGTCGTACAGAGAGATACGTCATTGGACTCTCAGGCAGCACCTCCAGCTGCACCTCCACCCCCACCATTACCTGGCATGGAAGGAACAACTCCACAAGCAAACATTCCTCCAGCTCCTCCCCCACCAGGAATGGGCGGGGTCCCACCACCACCTCCCCCGCCAGGAATGGGTGGAGTCCCACCACCACCTCCCCTGCCAGGAATGGGTGGGGTCCCACCGCCACCTCCCCTGCCAGGAATGGGTGGGGTCCCACCGCCACCTCCCCCACCAGGAATGGGTGGGGTCCCACCGCCACCTCCCCTTCCAGGAATGGGCGGGGTCCCACCACCACCTCCCCTGCCAGGAATGGGTGGGGTCCCACCACCACCTCCCCCGCCAGGAATGGGTGGTGCCCCTCCTCCTCCTCCACCCCTACCAGGCATGGGTGGCGCCCCACCGCCACCCCCACCTCCGGGCATGGGAGGTGCCCCTCCTCCCCCACCCCTACCAGGCATGGGAGGCCCACCACCGCCTCCTCCCCCAGGGGGCTTCATAAGGCCTGCAACGGCACCTGCTCAGTACTCAGCTTCTCCTACAGTTGCACCCAAGCCAACAAAGAAGCTCAAGATCCTGAATTGGTCTAAAATCCCACCCAACAAAGTAATGACACCACCTACTTCAACTGGTGAGTCCTATTATTGATTCACTCTACATATCATTAAGAAAATCTTTTTTTTTTAATAGGTAGAGTGATTTATATAAATTGTTATCCTAAATCACAGATGTTTTACCAGAGGGTTTCTTTAAACCTAACCCAACCACGTGCAGTAAGTCAAACTCTCTATACTTTGCTGTGTTGTAAAGTCTAGATCTATCAAAATACTTTTAAAACCAGCTGTTGGATTTAGGCAGATTTGAAGCAGTCAGAGTTATAGCCTTCAGCTATTGCGTTACAAAGTGCGTTGCAAGACAAGATATTTTTAGAATCTTCTCCACATTCAAAGGAGATGATAACAGCATTCTCCTCAGTGTATCACATTTCGGCAATGTTGGCATCTTCGTGTTCAAGATCGCAATGACCTTTATATCTTATCACCCGCAAGTCATCTGTAATGTAAGATGCTCTCATGCTCATGTGGTTGACAGCACTTGTGCTGATAGCCTTATGGACTGTGTGGCATTTCAAATTACCTTTGTTTAAAGGCATTATAGGATCATTTGCTTTTCATGCATTTAGTTCGTCTCCAATAACAACACCACTCTAGATCCAAAGAAAAGTGTTCAAAACCTAACCTGTTGAGGTTTCAGCCCAGTGGATATTGTGCTTTTTGAGAAAACAGTGCAAACCAGGCGCAGCCTTTTGATCATGAAACTCGATTTTGTCAATGGCAGGCTTTATCTCCAAAAATCTGTCAATTGACTGATCGTTGGAAATCACCTACATTTCTTGATTTCTTCGAAATGACAGCAAGCCAGACAGAATAATTTCACGGGGTGTTTAGTACCATGCTCTTTAATCCAAGTAAGGCTTTTGAAAATAATGTGGTTTGTTACTTTTGGGATAAATGCAAATGATCCTATATGCCTTCAACAATTTCTTTTAGTGCAATTTGAGTTATTTCTCTCAGTGGGTAGAATTAAAAAAATTAAACATTAAACAATCCACTGCAGAGTACCATACATCTTCCAAAAAACTCATTAAAATGTTAGTGCAAACGGGTATTAACATGGAACTCTTCAAATTTAACTTAAAATAGGCTATATCTCGCCACAAACTACAAGAATATACAGCCTTGAAATGAGGTTGAGCACAATTGACTTAAATCCTATCAAAAGTACACAGCTGAAACTCAGTGACTCTGAAACTGAGAGTAGGCCTAAATACAAACATGTGAAGCCAAAAGTCCAATATAGCATCACACAAGGCTAAGCTGACAATGGGATGCACAGTTCTGGCTGGTGCTAGAGAGATCATATGTATTATCTTTTGTTTTGTTGTTTCCTTTCGTTTGTATTAGTGTCCTCACACAGATGCAAGTTTTGTTTTAAATAGTACAGATGTTTAACATTTGTATAGCTTGGAATGTTTCATACATGGTTTATTCTGTGGGGTGCATAATTAGTTCTGGCTGATGCTAGAGAGATCATAGTGTATTATCTTTTCTCTTGTGGTTTCCTTTTGTTTGTTTTAGTTTCCTCACACAGATGCAAGTTTTGATTTAAATAGTACAGATTTTCAACATTTGTAAAGCTTGGGACATTTCATTCATGGGTTATGTGGTAATCTTAGGGTCCAAAGTGTGACCTTTTCCCTGTCCCTGTTACCCCTGAAGTTTGTCATTTGCCATTCTGGTATCATTAAAAAGGACTTTAAACTGGTTTTATGTGTTGGGTAGGTAGTTTGCTATTGATATATCTTGGAGGATTCTGGTATTAAAGCTATAGTCCATCATTTGTAATTTGTGCATTTTGTTCGTTTGAAGCAACAAAAGAGTTCAAAATCTAATGAAGGATACTGAGCAACTAACCTGATGAAGTTTCAGCTAAGCTTCAGCTGTACATTCCGAGAAAAACAGCATTCTAAGATCTCAATTTCAAATCAAAATTACTGAATAATGTTTTGAATTGTTTTGAATTGCAGCTATACGCGACGTAGCGCACTGATCCGACGAATTATAACAACGGCGCGAGCGTGTGCGTCGTTCCAATACTTGTGCGCGCTGCGCTGAATAACAAAACGAACTACTAATTTAAATTTTCCTGCGGTGCTTCTTAAGAATCACCGTTGGAAATGCCTTCTTTCGTTAATTACTTCAAAATGACAGCTTCCCAGAAAGAATAATTTCACAGGGAGTTTAGTTCCCTTACTATCTTTCAACCAAGTTTGTTTTTCAACAAGAATTACGCCAGTTACTTTTCGGATGGCTGCAAATGATGGACTATAACTTTAAAGAGTGCATCCAGAATTTTAAAATCGTAAATTTCAGATGTAACAGGGATGGGAAAAACATGGACCCCAAATTCATAGAATGACCCATATGGAAATATTTCATCATGTGCTGAATCAGCCATTTATTTGTTTATTAAGTCATGACAAATACTATGATTACTTTAACACGTGCACAGCCAAGAAGAACATCTGGCGATGCATCAGTGAGAACCCCCAGCAGCAGACCAACCTGTCCCCGGAGTACCAAGGCCTGGAAGACCTGTTCAGCCAGAAGCAGGCCAAGAAACCCGGTGAAGATGAGCAGAAAGTCAAGAAGAAGCAACCCACAGAGGTGAAAATAAGCCTTGAATTTTGTTCAATATCCCCCCAAAAACATTTCAAACGGCAAAATCTAAACTCATTGAATGAGGTGCCCATCTTAAATTACATTCAAACCTGTTAACCCTAACTCCCTAGCAGTACAGGAAGCTAGGCAAAATCAATCGGATATCCCTAGCACTGCTTCAGGCCATTAGGCCCAATCCATCATGTACATAAACATTTAGTCACGCCAGGCCTTCTGGAATAAGTCCCCCAAAAACCACCAAAATGGGGGGATGGATTTTGATGGAGTTGGGGTGGTTGGGGTTAAATGTAAATTTGTCCATTAGCCCGACCCATTGGTTTGTGTACATTTTACATATTGATTGTGACCAAGTTTGACCGAGCTGCGGTGGTCACCTGACCAAACCTCTGGTTCTGATTGGTCATTGCCCATTGTTGGATTGACAGGCAGGAAAGGGCTATCGACCCTGACAAGCTCCGAGGTTGAGACCTTATACATGTATGTCTGTGCTCACGTGCAAAAGGTTTTATTTAAGAGCTCTTTAGTATTATGTTAAGTATTATGTTGGCAAAAAGCAAAACCCAAATCTAAAAACGTAGAAAGGACTTTGTCCAAGGCTAGTTGTAATTCAAACCACCCCCTCCACAAAACAAGAGAATTGTTCAAATTCCACGAAATTTCCTGTAACTTGAGAAACACGTTAACATGATACAAAAGATACAAAATGCTACTTGTCAACCACAGCCACAAAATGAACCATTTCATATTGATTTTATGCAGCTTTGTCCTTGGCAAGTTCCAATATTGCAATAATGTTGGGCATTAAAGTTTTATTCACAGTCTTGTGTGAGGTGTACTATTTCTCCTGGTATTCATTAAACTTGTCTCTTTGTTGCCGTAAACCCTGAACTTCGAGTTGCGGAGGATTCAGTCTACTGCTCTCCGCTCATCTGAGACAAATTGGGATGATTATTGCAGTACAAATCAGGTTTTCGGCACAGGCTGTCCGTAGAGAAATAAGATACCTAGGAAATATCGAGCACATGTGTGGCAAATTAGTAATGTAAAAATGTGATAAGTTCAACTTGTTTTTAATGAATTTGCAGTCTATTTATATCGGCAATATTGTATGTTAGTGTTAAGACTGATGGTACATGTTTATTTTGGGAAAATAATAGAGAAATGATATTATAATAATATATATAACAGAGAATTAATAGAGAAATGATCTATAGATGCCAAAAAAATGATGCAATAAATAATCAGTTAAAAATCTAAATTTCTATAAATTTATGTGTTAATTTATATTGTATAATGTAGAGTTTTTTGGCGGACTTGTAAAAACTGCACACAGACTCTGAGACAGCACGACAGACATGGTTCAACTGACTTGTCTAATTACATTTCCAGAAAGATGTTTATCACATGGGGGGTGCTGATACGCTTGTTTGGGTTAATAAACTTGAAAATGGCAGTTTAATATGAACCTTCATTCCAGATGTGCCGTATAGAAATGGAGAAAAAAATGAAACCTGTTTTGATAGGTGATACAGATCTTTGGGCTCATCGTCTAAAATTAAGACAAATCTCCATAAAATCTGTTCATTGAAGAGAGTAGCGTATTTACTCAGGAGAATCTCATATTTACCATGAATTATTTAAAATCACTTCCGAACTATATCAATAACAAGCAGACAATCCATTTATATTTTTCTCATCACCAAAAAAATCCCAATGTGTATTTTGACCTCGGTAGTGATACAGTATCATATGAATTCAGCTGTAGTTTTGATGAATCTATTTTGGGGAGTGTCGGATGGTTAAATGGATCACACCACACAGCGGCTCACCTGAATGAGTTCATTATGTCATTGTGTGAAATAGCTGAATGGATCGCACGTTATTTGTTAACTCCTCATATGGCATTAGAGTCAAGGACACCCAACACAATGGGTTCACATTATCAGTCCTATTCACAAAATAACCAGAATCTAGAGCTGCACTCCCCATGCTATTTCGAGTTTCATCCAAAAAGAAAGAGGGTTTTTTAAGCCATTGCTAGTTTCCTAGAAATATGAACAAAACATAGAATGAAAAAAATCTACCAACGTCTAGTTATCAAATTATTTCTTGCAGCTTTCACAGAACGGGTTCATTCATGTGCAACATGAAAGCACCTTTTTAGAGGGTTGCAGACACCAAAAATCGGGGGGAATGTTGCTCTTTGTTAAAACAAACAATACAAATTGAAAAGTTGTTGGGAGAAAAAAACTCTTTTTTTTTTAAAGAGAACTGGTATGTATCTTTAATATTAAAGGAAAGAAAAAGCTACCGCAATATTTTATGTAGTTCAGTGTGCACCGCCGTAATTGAATTGAGCCGTAATGGATCCACATGCTACACTCATTCTGTACTCCTATTATTCACAAATGGCACTTAGGGACTATTTTAAGGAAGGCCCAACAACAGGGTACAGGATTCCTTAAAAATGTGAGCTGTTGGGCTTTTGTTTCATCTTCCGGTAAATTTTGACAGCGCCAATCGATTGCACCTTGAATGTGCTCACTTATCTCAGCCATGATCAATAGCCATGTTTTTCACAAGTGAATGAAACATTACAATTTGTCTTTACAGCGTTGTAACATGGAGCTGTAGCCTGTTCCACTCAGGGTATTCTTTCAGAAAAAAAAAATTTTTGGCTGGCCTAGTAAAGAAGAAAGAGGCACTCAACACAAAAAAATCCTGTTAAAGTTCATTATTCGATTTATGTGCCCTCCTCCAAATTCCCATTCCAAGTGTTTATCTTGATGGGGATTTGGGGCAATTTTAGAGGCTCGAAAGGGAATAGGTCATTCAATGACAAGTAATACCATTTAACAAGAAATCGCTTTTGTCAGTGTGTAATTCAGAGAAAAAGCCAGGTAAACTCAATGTTTCGTACAGTATGCTCCGTCATTTGAAGCAAAATATGTGACATACCAATAGGGGACTCACTTTTGTGTTGGTCATTGTGTTCCTATAATCTCAGGAGTTTTGTTGAGATCTCTAGGGGAACGTGTTTAGCAATAGTCTAGAGTGTGGACACTACCCTCTCTCTCAAAGCGTGCATGGAATATACTCTGCCCTTCATAAGGAGACTAGATCAGTCTTTTTAGTAAATTTATATGGTTCTGAGAAGAACGGGTTAACTCTGTTCAGAACCGACAATTTGCTCTGTTTATCTACAGATTATATACAAAAAATAATCAAACTCTGATCGTCAATTTATGGAATCCCGGTTTGTTTTTCTCCAGATCAACCTCTTAGATGGTAAAAGGAGCTTGAATGTCAACATCTTCTTGAAGCAGTTCCGACTGCCCAATGAGAAGATCATCGAGCTGATTGTTGGAGGAGACGCGGTAGCATTCGGTGGAGCTGAGAGATTGAAGGGACTCCTAAGGGTCTTCCCCGAAAAGGATGAGGTGTGTAGACACAAAAGAGTGATTATCAATCGTTGACGTTTTCAAGTTATTGTCTAGGATTAGAATCCCGTTTTGCAACTTCAAACCGAAAAAGAGTGATGATGTCACTGGCATTGAAATGAAATCAAAAGAAGAGTTTACACTTGAAATTGTTGAGCAATTAATTAATGTAAATTATCACGTATCAGAGCTGTAGTCTGTCACAAGTCAGTTCACAGTTGAGTGACAAAAAATGTCTTGATGTTGGATTACTTGTGCTTGACTTGTGATAAGTCACGTACATACAAAATACAAAAAACAAGTCTTAAGAAATAATGACAGGTTTTAATGGTGCTTCAAATTAAAATTTTTATGGTGGGTGTAGTGTGATACTAGCCATACAATTTAGGCTAACAGGTGTTTCAGAAGTAAAATTTGATTGTTTCGGTGTGCTTTACAGATTGATATGATCAAAGGCTTTGATGGAGATAAGACAAAGTTAGGATCTGCAGAAAAGTTCTATCTGATGCTTACAGGTGTTACAAGGTGAGTATGTTGTTTTTGAAGCTCTCAAAGTATCAAGACCACAACTTTTTTTAATGTAATTTTGTCCATTCTCAGCAGACAAACCATTCCCTAAAACCTAGCTTCACTGCTGCAAGTGTTTTTCTCACCAATGAAACAACATTTATTCAAAGTTACCCTGTTTCTTGAGTTAAATGGATTAATATTGCAATCGTTATTATCTCCCATCTGTCCATGCAGCTACAAGCTTCGCGTTGAAGGCATGCTGATGAAGGAAGAGTTCACAGCCAACTTGGCGTACCTCAAACCCTCACTGGCCACTTTACAGAAAGCTTGCAAAGGTGGGTATGATAACATTTTTTTCAGGCACAGTAAATGAATAATTGTTTATTTTTAAATTGCATCTGATTGCAAAAATGTCAACCTACAGATATATCTGTATAGAACGGGGATCTTTTAGCTGACGAGATGATACAAGGTACTTTTGTTTCAGCAGCCTTGAATTTGTTTCGATAACGAGCATAATCTGGGTTTTTTTACTAGATATCCTCAACAGCAAGACCCTGGAGGAATTCCTGACGCTGATTCTGTTGACTGGAAACTTCATGAACTCTGTAAGCTACACATTGATTGATTATTTCAATAAACTCTAGCTTTAGCCATGAAACTAGTGCTGCTTACTTATTTTATGACTTGTATATCAGGCCTATTAAGTTATCATTGCTGTGTGAGAGATAGGTGATAGGCCCAGACTGCAAGAATTACAGCAAAGCAACATTGGTATTTTTGCTTCTCACTGAGGGCAGCACAGAGCAGTTGGCATTAAACCAATGAATTGTTGGTAAATGGCAATTGTGAAAGAGGTCCTTAACAGTAATATACAATATTTGCAAACATGAAGAACAAAACTACCAAATTATTATGAAATACCTTACTTGACTGTAAATGAATATTGAATAATAGTCTCAGGTATCCTGTGAAAATCACAGCACCTGGTGTGCTCTCATTTTCAAGAAAAGTGGAACTTTTGTATCAGTTAGGAAAAAAATGACTTTTTACAAATACTGCCCCCATTTTTTTAGTTAATCCACATTTCGTTTAACAATCGGTTACACATCCATGAACGAGTGCAAGCCAGCTACCGGTAGTCTAGTTTCCTGACCTGACAATTCCGTGACGTCTATAAAGTGCTCCGTTTCGTCTGAAGTTGGGTCAGGGAACCAGACTACAAGAAAAACATTGTTTTCTTGGTTTTCTCCAGCATCTATGAACACAAAACTTTAAACAGGTCAGTGTAACAATATTTGCTATCAAATATCTGTCTATTCCTAAAAATAACAGCGAAAGCAAATGCTGTATATTCCCTTCAAAGAATGGGTTCCTTCAATTTCCGAGGAAAAACTACAAGAGATTTTAAATCTACAACAGTGACATTCCTTGTTTATTTTGGAGACCAACCATGGATACCTAAAATAAGCACGGTGATGATGACTATTGCATAGCCGGAACCTGCATGGAATTTCAACTTGTAGCAACAACTTCAAGAGATGTTTCTCTCTCCTCTTGGTTGACAGGGAGGTTTTGCAGGGAACGCCATGGCTTTCAAGATATCCTCCCTGATGAAGCTGATTGACACCAAGGCCAACAAGCCGCGCATGAACCTGATGCACTACATCGTGGAGATGGCCGAGCAGAAGGACAAGAACATGCTGTCCTTTCCTAATGAGATGAAGAGTCTCAATGAAGCGGCAAGGTGAGATAAAGTCCACTGCTGGGGGACCTCTTTAGTTGTTTGGGAAAAACATTTCTTCATGTGATGGTTCTCATTCATGGTGACAATTTGTCCGATGATTTGGTCTGAACCGGATTTGTAAAACTAGGTTGCTTTTATGTCTCACAAAACAAAGACCAGGCCTCAATATTTATGTGAACAAAAATTTCCAAATTTTACTAGTAAGAGATTCAGTCTATAAATTCAGGGTCCAAAGTTTGCGATTTTCCTGTCCCCGTTACCTTGATACTTTTACTGTTAATTTGCCATTCAAGTATCATCAAGAATGACTTCAAATTATTATTTTTTTTTTTTATTTGTTGGGTGAATAATTTTTTTTTTTTTTTGCTTTTCATAATCACTCTTGGGAGGATGACTGCATTAAGAAGTGCATTAGAATTATAAACGCATAGATGTCTGATGTAACAGGGACAGGAAAAATGGACCCCAGATTTATAGAATGACGCAAGGGTAATTGTAGAGAATGCTTGCCAACTAGCAATGCTTTTCATTTGTGAACTACATCAATGCTATAATTTTACAACTGTGTAGCCATATTTCCTTTGTCAGTAGAGATGGCGCTGAAGGAAAGTACCACAAGTTAAACATGAACTGACCAATTTTTTGGGATGCCTGTTTTGGGGGTGTTTTTTTTCTCCAATACTCGCCTAGATTATCGTTGGACCATCTGACAGGAGAGATCAATATTCTGGGAAGAAGTCTGGAGAAATTGGAAAAACAACAGGAAAATGCAGCCAAAGACGTCCAGGAACAACTCCAGAGCTTCATCAAGGTCAGTAAACAAATGGCAGTAGAGATTTCAAAGAGGAACATAGAAGAAGTGGCGGTCTTATAGCAACACCCATAACTGGATCAAGTGGAGGAAGTAAGGGGCCCCCACCCACCCAGCAATGACCAACATTTTCTCAAACAAGGCCATTTTTCACTTGAGAGTACCCTTGTATTGTGACTTGACTTGTGATGTTATATATTCTTTTAGGATGCCCTAAGCCAAGTAGAAGACCTGAAAGAGGAACTACGGACCATCAACAAGCTTTCTGAGGAGCTGGCCATCTACTTTGTGGAGGACGCCAGCAAGTTCAAGCTGGAGGAGTTCTTCCAGATTTTCAAGACGTTTGCTGAGCGCATCAAAACTTGCAAAGAGGTGACAATCAGTTTCTTTGAGATAGCGTCATAATGATCCAACTTAATATTTTTTTTACGGAGCTACTGAGAAGAAAATAGTTTCTAAATTTTCTGCTTAACCAAATTTATGTACTAAGCATAAATCAGATAAGAACTAGTCATGATACAAATCAATAGTTCTGTCTGGAATATTCGAATATTCGTTCATCAACCAAATATTTGAATAGCTTTTTGCTGGTTTGAAAATTCGAAAACCAAGAATTAGCACGTACACACACGACTGTGATGTTATTTTATTGTAATGTTGGGGTGCTTTATTGTCAGGTGCCACTTTTTTTGTTGACGGCTGTTCATTGTTTCTATCCTTTTAGCAGGTTAAAGCCCTCGACAGTTATAAGATTATGTTATTGAGTGCAATGGTAAGAATACTTTCATGAGGTGACGGACGGAATTTTCCATTCCACGAGCCAAAGCCATTCCATATGTCATCGCATCATTTTTTCTATTGAATGAATGTGAAACATTCATTATTTGCTTTATACAACGCTGTGCCACCAATATTGACAGTGGCCTGGAAGTTCTATTTTTGCAGTGCAGCCAGGCCATGGTTTGGGACGAATAATGAAATGACACGACACGAATAATGAAATGACACGTGATCAACGACCCACCAATCAGATGATGGGGTTTATTTAGGCGTTGTAAAAAAATCTGTATTTTGCTTCAGGAACATCTCATAATTATGATGACCAACTTACAAATATTTTGCCAAAGTTTTTGAATATATCCATTCAGTTTGGATACTCAAGACATCTCAGTAATTCGGAGGCAGATAATAGAGGCAAAGCTGGAGATGAGTCTGGTTTTCTAATTCGGAGGCAGATAATAGAGGCAAAGCTGGAGATGAGTCTGGTTTTCGTTAACCCCTTTTATATCACTTTGGCAATATTGATGTATGGAATGTTACTTTTTTTTCCCAGGAGAACGAAAAGCGCTGCATCCAGGAGAAGAAAGCGGAGGCGAGACGCAAACAGAAGGAGGAGATGGAGAAGAAGAAAGGTTCCGGCGATGGCAAGGGGAGGAAGATTGGAGCCCCACCCCCAATTGAGGAGGATGGAAATATCGTAGACAACCTGCTTAAAGATATCAGGAAGGTAGATGTTCTAGTCTTGACTCCAGCTGACTTGGTCAGGCTTTCTGTCAAATTTTGGGGTTTTACATTCCTCTTCCTACTTTTTTTGCTGTCAGTGTCCAAGTCCCATACAGTTTTATCGTCAATAAAAGCAATTTTGAACGGCCTGAAAAAGAGCATTATAAATGGATTGCAGTCAAACAGGACTGATGAAATAATGTCAGTATAAGTCACTTTTTCTACCAAGAAAATCTGGAAACGCCTCAGCTAGATCATTTATTTGTTTTTTAATAGAAAAGAAAACCCTAATATTAATTTTGTTGAGATTGTGTTTTTCAGTAGTCGAATCGAGTAACCATAAGTTAGAACTCAAACACTGGACTTGTGCGCTTTTTCTTTTGTGCCTTAGGGATTTTCTCTCAAGAAGACCCGACTGTCGGAAACCAGTGAGCCTGGTAGTCCTAGCATAAGACGATCCAGACTATCGACTCGTCGGAGCCGCCAATCGACTAAAGGTTCAGCTTCTGGGAGTGTATCATCACCACCTGCGGTAGTCAAAGAGGAACCAACGCCAGTGGTAGTTAAGGAAAAGCCCAAGCCAGTGGACCCAGGAGAGGTAGTAGTCGCTGTAAGCAACGGGAAAGACGTGGACGGCCTTCTACGCAAGACTCAGAGCATCTCGAGTTCCGGGAGCGAGGATGTCTTCTGCAAAGACAGCGGGTCCAGCGCTGAAGAACTGGCACGGAAAACTTCCACCGAGAAGCAAGTGGAAGAGATGAACAGGTTGAACAACGGCACGGCCAAGGCTGTGTTGAATGGCAACATGAACGTGAAAGCGGAGGTTAAGGCTGGTAGTGTTAATATTGAAGATGCCTCAATAGGTCTAAATTTGCCTAAAGATGCCCCAAAAGGTCCTAAAATTGAAACTGTTCGGCAGGAAGCCATACAACAGCCACTTCTGCAAGACGTAAAACCTTTGGAAGAAGCTGTTCCTCTTGCACTGGAAATGAAGGAACAACCCAGTGCTGAACCAAACATTCACCCCAAAGTTACTGCAGAAACTGTGCAGTTTGAGGAAGTCAGTCCTGAAGAAGTAGCAATCACTATGCAAGAAAACCCGCCTATGCAACATGTCATTTCATCTCCAGAACCGACTGCTGAAAGTAAACCTTCTCGGCCCTTTCACTTGAAAATCCATCAGAATGGTTTCAAGGCCGATGAGGAACCTGTCCAGAAACCAGTCAAAAGCCCAGAACTGCGCCATGTCAATGCACAAGTTTGTTCCTTAGAAGAACAGCCAAAGGAACCACAGCTGATGGCAGAGTTGAGTCCAGTCGACGAGGATGCAAAGGAGAGGCCTAAAAGTGGACTGTTCCGGTTGTCGCCATGGCAGGCCACTATGACCTCTGGTCCAAAATACACCAAGACCGAGGGCCTCCAAGGGGATTTCTCCCAGGCTGTCCCCATAGAGTTTGCGGCCGCGGAGAGCATCGTGCCAGTCAAGGAATCACCATCTTTGAGTCCTCCAGCCATGCGAGAAAAAGTGCAGACCTACGAGCCTGAAGTCAAAATAAGTCCTAAACACTCCAACGCTAAGCTGCTGACCAAGTCTGGAACTCCGGGCTCTCCGTTGAAGAAAGTAGCTGCTGATGTGGATGTGTGGGAAGTCATGCCTTCCCAAGCCAAGGAAGCCCACAGAGTGACACCCAATCTCACTTCTGACACCGTTCCTGATGGCAGTGGGAAGGGTGCACCAGTAAGCATGGCATCAGTGCACGACAAATCGGATAAGTCTGGAAAGAATCAGGAAAATAGTGGTGAAGGAGAAGCCTTCACCCACGTTGAGGTTGAAGAAGTTTCCCCAGTCAAGGATCAAAGAGAGACTCCGGCAGAAACTGTTAAACCCTCCCTCCCGGCTAAGGTAACTCTTACGCAGAGGCTGCTCTCCTTTTTCCGCTAGCTTGCTTGTCCATACTTGTGCTGATTTTACCATTGCTGTGTGCTTTCTTGTGTTGACTTTAATAACCCTTGTTTGAAATTATGTGCACCGTGAGTTTGCTTGTTTTGACTTCAGTTGCCATTTATGTCTTTGTGTACATGTTCACATTTTTATTTGTCATTGAAATTCATTAACATTATTTTTTTCATCTCGTTTTCATATTAACTTTTGTTCACCATATTTATGTTGTCATACACTGATCATTACGGGCACAAATGGTTGTGACATACATTTTGTCAAAGTTTTTTTTTGTGTAAGTCATAAAGGATCCATGTATCTTCTTTATCAGTTCGGTTACGAAGAAAGAGGCTTTTCACCGGAGAATGGCAGTAAATAATCTCATCAAAGCAACTAATTTACAACCATTACGGTCCACTAAGATAAACTGTAACACCTTTTTCAAATTTTTATACCATTTTAAATGTGGCTTACATGTGTAAGGTTTGCTTTTTAAACAAGCTTTTTCATGTACAGAAAAAAGGCTAAGTAATATCTAATGTTTTCAAATGTAAATATTGTGCTAATGTGCCAATTATATTTTTCAAATGTTAATACAAGCATTTCTCCCACCAAAAACAGCACAATTTTTTTCTGGCACAACTTCACATTGTGATTTTTTACGAAATCATATGCAAATTTTTTTACTGAAATGCTAAACTCATTTTGTGGTGACAGATTATTAAACTTTTTTGCCATTTTATTCATTAGTTTCTAAACTTTTATCATTCATGTATGGGAGAGAGTATACTTATATGCACAGGAAGTTGTGTTGGCTAATAGGAGTACTAATATTTAGACATTGTGTGGAGTGACAGATTTTTTTCGGGGGGGGGGCAGCGAACCACTTTGTCATAACAATGATTGCTGAGACAATTTGCTGTATACTGCATTTTTTGTTTACTCTTTCGGGGAAACTATGTATGTATTCCTGTTTCTACTACAGTAATGCAAATCACTTTAGGAAGGTTATGCACCTGTGTCCAATTTCATGGCGCTACTTAAGCATTAAGCAGAAAATTGTGCTAACTTTAGCAGAAGATTGTGCTAACTTTAGCAGAAGATTGTGCTATCTTTAAGCACTATTCATGTGTGGATGCACTAGCGGTTGTGTGCGCATGGGCATTTCTATTAAATCATTGATTTAAGCAATTTTTTCCTCTGAGGTAAGCGTGCCTTTTGTGTACTTACTGCTTACAGTCTCCATGAAATAGACGATGGCTCTGTTAGCAGAAAATCATTTGCTTAGCAGCACTTTGAAATTGGGCCCCGTACATAGCACTTGATTTACGCACCTGTACAAAGCGCTTAATTGATTATCCAGGATGTAAGATGTGTAGATCAGGTTTGGGATGCATGTAACCAGGGAATGCTACTAACATTTGTTAAACGCTGTCGCTGTTTCTTGCAGTGTTTTGGTCCAACTTCATCGCTGTGTCGATTTGGGATGTGGAGGGGGAAACTGATTTTACTAAGCTGCTTGGTTCAAAGATCATTTTTATGAAGATAGCAGTATTTAATACTTGCTTTCGTTGTGTGCATGTATTTGTTTAGGATTTTTGATGAAGAGGCAGTACCATCATTGGACCTAAGGTGACACGCTAAAATGATTGCAAGTCTTCTGTAGAATGTCATCGTCATGTTCAACTTCCCCAAATCATGCAGAAACTATTCCTATGCAGATTACAAAATAGGCTTTTTGACTAGATTTAGATTTTCTTATGAGAGACATGTTCTTAACTTTTCCAAAAACATTTTACTCAGTGTATGTTTGTGTGATTGATACATGTAGATTGCTAAAGATATTTAACTAAATGGTCTAATTGGTCATTAACTTCATTCTTTTTTTAGACAGAAGTGTAGTTCTTTACTCCTAGAGTTAGCGCTCAAGAAATTGTCTGGCTAGAGTAAGAAATAGTTTGAATAGCATTAACCAGTACAAAAACAGTAGGTTTTTTTTATTTCACAAATTGCATGTTGTTTTTATTAGATTTCTTAAGAGAATGGTTTGAGTTCCACTGTAGTACCTTTTTTTGAGTGGAAACATAACAATTGTTGGCAAAAGTAGTTTTGGGTAGAAAGTTTTGAGTGGCTTATGATATTTGAGAAATTACATTTCAAGGGAAAAATCTGAAGAAAGAAAATGTAGTGATTAATTTAAACTGTAGAATACATCTTTCATTTACAATTTTTTTTAAACTCATCATGTGATCATGGTTCATCCTTTTCATGTCTCTTTGTCACGTTTAAGTGATTTCGGCATTTACATTATTTCAACATTTACATTTAACCTATGTTATCTATTATTTCGTCTCATATTTAATTTTAAACCCTAAAATAGCACCACCCTTTTAGTGTTATGGTTTTTGCTTTTTTAATTTGAAAGACAATGGATGTCTTCCCTCTAACAAAGAATAGAAGCTTGCCAAGTAACGTACTAATTTTACGCGATAATTTTATAACAAGTTTGTTGATATCTTGTGGTGCTATTTTTGGGTTGACCCATTGTAACTCACTACCATATACAGATGAATTTAACAAATGGTTTTTGTTTTATAATCAATTCACTTTTCATATTTCTTGATAAATATGGCATTGTTTTTTCATGATTTTAGTTGGTGTTTATATATTTTTATTTCCACATGTATACATTGCATTTTGGTTTTGAACAAAGCCTCTTTTTTGTCTTTTTTTGTTGGCCGAGTATTTGTATCAAGCTTTGTTTTATGTGCTATTTTACTTTAATGTGCTATTACTTTTTGAGTTTGAAGTGCATCGCTGTTCATTGAGTGCACCTTTACTTGTGTGTTTTTGTTTTGAGTTCTTGAGTTTTTATTTTCAGCATCTGAAGCTTGTAGGTATGAATGCTCTATTTTAGTCTAGCCTATTTTTGTAAGTGTAAATGTAACAATTTCTTATTAACACAATCACAAACTGGCAACAAACTGGCCGTGCTGTGATATTTTTTTCTTCCTAATCCTCGTACATGCCTGATTTATTTAGCATCTAGCAAAGTGTGGAATCCCTAAGCGTTAATAGGTCTCGTTCAAATGCCGTCATTTCCTACGGACCTTCCCCGTGCATCGGCAATGGCTGCGTTGTATTTCGCACACATTTCGAGCAACAAGCATATGTGTTGGGAACATTTTCAACACTGCGCAATGTGTGCTTGATTGCGTAAAATACGCAGTTGCAGTTCTCCTACAGAGATGGCTGCCATTGAGCGAGCCCTATACAAGTTATTACACATACACTTGAGCCTTTACTAAGAAAACTAGAAAATTAGATATTGCACAAGGCACAAGCATTTTCTATAAAATATTAATGCACTTAACATTAGCAAATGTGTGCCAAAAAAGAAAGAAAGCAAGTTTGGACAAGAAATGCTCAAAAGCCGTCGAGCCATCTATAGTAATCTTTCTTCCATTCAGGGGGTAACACCATTTTCAGGTTCCTTGTCCAAAGTGCCAGCACACAGCTCTAATCCACCTGTTGCGACAAGAGGACCATCCAATCAACAGGTGGGTGCAAGTCAGAGCCGCCCTGAACATCACCTCACTCCTGTTGGCTCCAATACACCAGACACCGAACGCAAGTCAAAGGTCAAGAAGAGCAAGAGTTTCCTGAAATGGCGTAAACCAAAGGAGCAACGACGCACCGGCAGCGAGAGAACGGAGGGATTGGACTTGGCCAGGGCGGGGGAAAAGCACCCACAAGAGCAACAAAAAGATGCTTACGTACTAAGGTTAGAGGATGATGGAGCTAGTCTACCATCATCCGAGCACGGTAGCGTTGCAGGTGTTAAGAAAGAGAAAAGTCAAAAAATTCGGTTTTGGAAGAAGAAAAAGAAGAAAGATAAAATCTAAGTCTCTGCGCAACTTTTTCATCTTCAGACTTCTTATAGGATTGTTACTTTCAAGTTACACTTATTTCAAATTAATGTCTTTTCTTTTAACTTTTGCACGAAATTTAAAGCTTTTTTTTAATTAGGTTCATATTTAATACCGCATAATTTAGTCCTGCCTAGTTTGAGCGGAAGCAATTTTTAAGTTTTGTTACGACTTGCAATTTTCTAATACGGCAAAAGTACTTTTTAGATTTTGTCCTTTTTAAATTCATCAAATGCTTTTGAATATATCAATATTTCAGAACTTTACGAAACACTTTTTGAGATGTTTATTCTTGTGTCTCCTTTTTTATTTTACTGAATTAAACTTAGAAAATGCTTTTAAGAAAGTCTGGCCTTGGTTTGCATTTAAGCATAAATTGCAGGATAGGCAAAGTGTCTGTCTTTGTTTTCAACTGAGACATGTTGGTGTAAATTTGAGACCATAAAATCTCAGGTCTTGATTTTGACTCGGAAATTGATGAGTTTTCACATTGCAGTCATTCAAGACAAGCTTTTTTATATTTTGGGTTTTTTTATAAACAGTTCATGGTACCAAGCGTTAGATTATTGTATTTATGCATGAAATTATTCTATGCACAACGATAATATTAACACTAAAAACTGACAGCGATAGTAATGCCATTGTTGTAATTAAAACAATCTATTACATACAAGAATTGATTTCTTTGCGAATCGATTCGGACTTTAGTTCCTAATACTGTAACATTAAAGTGATCATTTGTCTTTGTTTGAGCAAAGACACTATTGATAAGTTATATTCTTTTTAGTTCATTGGTTGAAATAGTGTCATTTCACCCACACACGGGCCGTTTCTCACAAAGAAAATTAATGTGTTATTGCAGTTAACTCTTTGTCTTTTTTGGTTGTTGTAAAACTTAGTTGGTGTATTCATCTAAAGTAATCTGATGCATGTGATCACTTTGAAATCAAATTGGGTTTTTTTAATCAGACTTACATAACACATAACAAATTATTGTCTACAGAACTCATACCTCACTATGCCTAGAATGTAATTCTGCATTCTCTTAGATGTACTCTCAGTTTTTTAGGCACAACATCAATTGTATATCGTTTAGCAAAGTTTAGTTTAACATTACATGTATTTAGCAAATAAAACAGTACTAGCACTATATTTTTATACCAAAAAAATACTGCATCACTATTTGTAATGGATTTATGTTATTTTATTTTAATTGCAGATGATCTAAAAGAAGTCTTTCCAAACTATGACTGTAGCTTATTTAAAGAATAATCCCTGATACACTGTAGTAATCCAATCCTTCCCATCCGGAACCTACTCCCTATACCTAACACCCCCCATATCTAGCACCCCCATGTGTTCCCAAAACCTTCCCCATTTAATTCCCTTACCACAGCCTATTCCTTTCCCTCCCCAAGCTGATCTCTTCACCGTCCTAAAACCCTCCCATTCCCACCCCCACCCAACCCCAACCCCACTCCCCCACCCAACCCCACTCCCCCACCCTTCCTCCGTATCTCGTAATTGGAGTATTCACGTCAGTAATTCTCTAAATTGTGGTTTTAATGTCAATAGTACCAGGATCTCAAAGTTGTACTTTTTATTGACTTTTTGATGTTCGGGACGTGCTTTTATGGTCGAGAGGCTTTTTTTAATGAATCTTTTACAGGGATTAACAGTGTAAATCAGACTGGTTTAGGTTGTTGAATGTTTCACTTTGTTTATACAAAATACATTTTAATTTTGCTCTGTCAAAGAGAAGACATCTTTAAGTCGTGCCTTATGGAAGCAATAATATCAAAACCACAACCCGAAGGACAGTTGCACTTTTTAAGGCTGCCTTTACTTGCTTGCTTGCTTAGGCTTAGTACGTTTTCTTTTGCAATTTTAATAATTGTGTAATATAAAAAAAAAATACAATTCATACTGAATTTGGATGAGGCTCTGTTTTTTTTTTTTGGTTATTAAATCGTCTCTTTTTTTCCAATACAAAACCTAAAATGTGCAGATAGTCTCTGATTATTAACTCTTTATTTTCCTCATGTCATACTAATGCAATCTCTGACGATGTTTAGGATGCATTAAAATAATTCGTTGATAATAATTTAATCAGATGCAAGTCGAGCTTTTTAATAAATTAACACACAAAACCGCACAACGATCCACAAGTCTCAGTGTTGATTTTGTTTTTGTTTTTGTTTTTTGTGTGAAATAAAAGTACCGAAGGGCAGTTTACTTCCGCAAGACTCTGGTACGTACGCTTCTGTGAAATCCTCATTTTACTAAAAGAATTTTGACCCAAAAAATCACCGTAATGGTATTAGCCTGCTTTGAACTTTCCGTCCGCTTTTTGACTTCTTGTTGAATAACACCTGTTAAATTCCGCGGCCATTGTTATGCAAATTTTCTCGCCGCAAAACTTTCTTGGGGCACTGAATTTCGGGCGAGGTGTGGTGTTTTTGTTTGACGGGGAGATAATAATGACTGTTGAAATTCCAGTAATTCTGAGCTATGAACAGATGAGATTTGATAGTGTAATGTTATTCTAGTACAATGTACGCTTTTTTTACATTTGAAGATTTGAATTAGTTTGGAAAGATTGCCGAACTTTTTTTTACATGCATCACAAATGTCGATCATCGAACCCCCCCCCCCCCCCGCCTGTTTTGGTTTTGTCCATGCATGTAATATCTTTGAGCGGCACGCAAAATGAGAGCGGCCATTATCGCAAAAAGCGCAATGTGATGTAGTGAACGAAATTAGCGTGTACAACATGGCACGTGAAGAAAACGGAAGAAGATTTTGCTTTAATATTTCTCGGCAAACCGGCTATGACTTCTCAAACGCCTGTGAGGGTGAGTTCTTCTTATTATTTTTAACTTAAATTTGGGAATCCATTTTGAAATGGCAGCTCGAATGACCAGTTTTGGGCAAAGTATTGATGGGAACCTATGTTTAAACGGAAGAATTTTGGACACGACTGCAAGGCAACACATATTGGGAGTTCCGAAGTTGTCAGTGACGATTTTCAAACATTTAAAGCATGCTTTATTTATAAGATAATTATATGTATTACGTTCTTTTCTGTTGAGTTCACACGCTGTTTGAAAAATGAATACACAGTTCTACGCGACAAACCGTCAGTTTTGCTTATCTAAGAAGTAACTGTCTTTTTGCCCTACCTTCATTTTTGGAACTTGTACTCAAATTTATAGTGCATGTACCGGGTACGGAGCATAATCGCACAGAGCTTGTATAATACACACTTCTTTGGCATCCTTGTAAAAAGGCGGCAACATTTTTGAAATTCCCCCATAATCCAAAACCTCGTAACCTTTATGAGGGCGCCCCACTCTTTTGGGGGTCCTTGGAGCATTCTGAGTTAAATCCTATTGAATAACGAATTCTAAGGAACCATTTTTAAAATTGCTTACTTATAACGATTCCTTTATATGAAATATGTAAATATCACAGTAACATTAAAAATCAGAACAATTACACTATAGGTGGAGTCAAATACAGTGAAATGATTCGCGAACTTGGAACCTTTTGCACTCTTGATCACTTAGGATTAAAATTCACAATATTTTCACTAACATTAGACTTAATGTTTAAATAAACCTGCCACCCCATACATACATCCCATCCGTTGAAGTTAACCATGTGATAGACCTCAAACGATTTGCATAATATCTCACTGTGACACTGCCCTCTGTTGACTACGAATCGAATTTTGACGCAGAGGAACAGCGTCCAAATGCGTGTAAACTGCAGAGCAGGTAAATGGTGGTATTATTTTAATCAAGCAAATAAGACGAAAGACATTTTGTCACCCTCAATATCAGTATTTCCATGGCAGGCTTTGTCTGCCTCTGTACGTTGGACCTTCAAGGAAAAAAATTACAAAATTATATTTTCCTCTTCTTTAAATTAGTTTCACTTGTCTGTGCCTTTCTTGAAGCAGTGGTGACGTAAAACTTTTGGTCTATGTTATTTTTTAAAGTTTTGTCTTGCCCCTTTTTGCTTTTGATCTTGGCGCCTTCATAAGAAGTTTTAATTGCCATTTTGGAGGATTTACTTCCAAACGTGTTTTGCTTTTTGGAGTTTCATCACCACCTGCCACAGATTTACACTTGCTCAAGAGTGTCCCCTCCAAATTATCTCGTCCTTTATCCACATCATCTGACTGTCTATGAGATACCACCCTTTCAAAGGATGCTTCATTATCACTCGGCCGTTGTTCAGACGAATGAACTATCTGCTCAAAACCTTGTCTTGAACAGTTTCCATCCATTTCCTTTTTGTGGTGTTTCTTTTTCTTCTTTTCTCCTGAGTGTCTTTTTCTTTTGCTGTGCGAGTCATGAAGGAGATGTTTCTCTTTTGACGATCTTTTCCTGCTATCCACTGATTTAGATTTCCTTTCGCTCTGTGTACCAGTGTCGCTCTGTGTACCAGTGTCACATGTATTGTCGCTCTTTTCATCTCCTTGCCTCCTTTTCTTTTCCTTGCGTCTTTTACTTTTCTTTCTTCTCGTCACATTTGTCAATTCCTGACAACTGCCTGGCTCACTGCCATCCGAGTCGTTTGAAACAAACTCCGTCTTCCGACACGCCTTTACAGTTTGGTTTCCGCTCCTTGATTTTCCACTTTGCTTTTTCTGGACATATTTTTTGAAGAATCCATCGACATCTTCCCTGTCAAGCCCCAAGTAGGTCGTTTTCCAAGGAGGGAACAGACGGCAGAGGAGATTCCATAGTGCCCAGTCCGGGATTAAATCAAGGAATCCCAGATGAAGAATGTTCCCCGACACTTGGCCGTTTCTCTGTCTTGGATGAGGCATCGAGTGAGGATGATTTCCCAAGAATGATGTCTTCTGGAGAGAATTTAACCCAGTCATTCCGGATGTGTTGCAATGGTCTTCGCTGTTGGAGTTCTTTTCAGTTTTGTCGGTGTCACAACAAGCATTTCTGTTTTGATTCGGAGAGTTACCAGAATCCTTGACATCCACATTTCTTACATCCTCGGCATTGTCATGTAAAACAGTCGCATTACTTGCACATCCTTGAGCAACAGGAACATTTCTGTCTTCATCAGTGCCCTGCATCACTTTGCCAGCCTCTTTTTCTTTCGTCAGTGAGCAAACAGGAACATTGCTCTTGCGTCGTACATCAGCTTCTGCCAGTCTTTGCTTCAGTTGATTTGTCTTCCTCTTCCGAGAGTCACTTTCAAGGATGAAATCCAAAATCCAGTCGGGTACATGCTGCTGCCTTCCCTCACCCACCTCCAACTCATCAAACAAGTCATCGACACCGTACAGATCGCTCGATAAAATGTTCTGGAGAAAACGGTTATCGATCAATCGCTCCACACTTGTCATGGTGTGGTTGAAGTGTTTCATCATCGAACACAGTGTTGGGTTCATATTTGGGTCGGATGATCTGGGTAAAGTTTTCTTGTTTGGTGACTGGTGGGGTGTAGTACATGTACTGAGTATGTTGACCGGCACCAGAGCGAAGGGCCTTCCTCCTGAAGACCACCACACATTTGGAGGGTTGACTGTTGGTGATCCCCGTGTCAACTTTGACGGAGTGTTACTCCTTGTCTCCGTGCTTGACTCGGGGAGATGCATTTCTCCGAGATTCATCTTCGATCCTGAACTGGGAGCCCGGGAACTGCTTTTTGCGGAACGACACGCCTTCCTTTTTGACGGACTGGGGGTGTCTGAAGCAATCGTTGTTGAAGTAGGATGAGTGACTTCCCGTTTCTTTTGACCCTGCAGCAGGCCCGCTATCTGTCCACTGGGTTTTGTGCCCGTCTCTGTTATTAAAACTGCATGCTCACTGGGAAACAAAACGCAGTAAATGTAAAATTTGGTTTGATCGATAGTTTCATCATTTTTTTGTATACTCTGGTTTTGGATGATTTCTTTAGCTGTCAGTATAAGCCAGTCATGATTGTCTCCGACGGTCACAAACTTAACCAGAATTTCCGATTTTTAATCTATCAACCTTTACTGAAATGAAAATGAAAGAAAGCATTTAGACAAGAAAAGCAAGGGAAACTGTACTTACTTCGTTCGCTCTGGTTCACTCTTCGCAACAGGAGACGTAACGAGATTCGCCGGTGATCTGGAATTGATAAGTTGTTGTCTGACTGTTGTTGGTTGTCCTCTCTGAGTGACATTTTTAAAAGGCCGTGAGGAGGTTCCTTGCACATTATTTGCTCCACATCGCTGGGGAGAAATAACTATGACTGTCTTTTTGCAGGACAAACTTGGTGACTGCTTCGGAGCTTGGGGTAGTGACTTAAAATCTGTTGTGTTCATCTTTCGATCTGTTGCTTGACAGAAGACAGGTGCACATGAAAAACTCGGTGTCATTGCAGATGAGATTTTAAGATTGCCACATGATGCAAAAATTAGGTTTTGCAAGGGAATGCACTGTGGTGGTGACGATTGTAGTGTAGAAGTCCTGGACAGAAGTCCTGTTGTCATCTTGCTCACAGTTGTATTTCCACCACGCGAAGACGAGCAGCTTTTCTGTGACAACTTTGCTTCTGGAATGTGCAAAACAGGTAGATGTGCCCTTTGCTCCGCTGTTGAGCTTTCGAACACTCCTTGATGACACCGTCTTTGTGGTGAGACTTTGGACGTTTTGGTACAGGGTGACGTTCTGGCGCACGAGTTAACATCCTTCAAGGAAAATGAGCTTGCCTCATTGTCCATCACTCGTTGGTGGCTCTGATCCGTGCTTGATGGATTTTCAATTTTTGCTGTTTCTGGCTGCAAATTTTTCTCCTGAGAAATTGTGGTTTTATAATTAACAGATGCATCCAATCCTCTTGGAACCTCATTTGGGGCTTCTTGTGGACTGGAAATAACTGCCGTAGTTGTTGTTGTCCTCGCTGAAAACGGTCGGGCCTCACCTGCCACGTCAGAGGTTTGGCGAACGATAGATGGTCCATGGCCTTTATCCAAAGGCTTCACCGACAATTTTACTTCATAGCTTCTCCCTTGCGAACTTTCCTTGCCCAAATCTGGCGGTACTTTTGGCAAACATGTTACTTCTGTTTTTGGCGAATTGAAGCAAGAAGAGGCTTTGGTGACAACATTGTCTCTCTGTTGCAACGATGCTGCTGCTTGTAAAATCAGCAATGTATTGAGGGCAAAGTTTGTTGAGTGAGAGTCATGTAGTTTCATCTCCTGGGATTTTATCGTAGTCTGTGCACCAGGACTCTTACAGGTGTATTGTCGGTCATTCTTGGAAGTGTTGCCTAAAATTATCGGAGAAAGAGGTTATATGATTCCACATCTAGAAGCCAAAAAAAATAACTTCTTTGCCCACTTTATCTTGTGTTTTTTTTTTACAGCGTTTCCCACTCCAGTAGCACCTTGGAGTAGACTGAATCCATTTCACTGTTTTGAAACCATTGATCAAAACGTAGGCCTCATGCAGCGCATGCAAGTTTACTTTCATTCGCAAAAAAACCCATAAAATGTCTTCAAAAGTTCACATCAAAAAATGGTTCAGAATACCATGACAGTACGTGAAAAGGCTCATGCATTTTGAAAAATTACGACATTTAAAAAAATCAACCGTTTTTTTATTTCTAAATTATAAATGCACAGGGATTCATCCGTAATTGTTCCATGGATCGACCTATCAAAAAGTGAACTCCAATGCCGAAATAAGGACATTTAGGCTATGCTTTTAAAACATCCCGTAAGTACTCCCTAGAATACGCAAGAACACACAAGAACAAATAAAATTTTCATATTTAACAAAAACCAAAATACAAAGTTGGTATAAACTTTAAATAGAAGGAGGGAAACAGAACCATGAATAGGCCTACCTTGCTCTTTGTCTTCCTCATCCATGTCCTCGGGCCTTCCGACAATAATTATTTGACGAAAATTGCTTTTGAAATTTCAGGTCTTTCCGTGTCGAGATCCTCTTGTTGTATCGTCTCAAAGAATAATTATTTGCTGTCTGTTGTCATGGAATAAATACTTTCTGTTTAATAAACAGCAGCGGGCGTCTGAAAACCTTGTTTTTTTTAGCACAGCGAAGACGTCACAAAATCTTGATTCTCGATGAGCGTTGTGCGTTAGACGCGACTTTTACGCAAGAATGTTTGGATTATGTGAAGTACGCAGTTTTTGGATGCGCGTGAGATCAACGAAACGTGCGACTCAGTGCGCGCGTTTTGTGAGCGTTTTGTACGCGAAGGTTAGTCCCGTTTTGCGCGTACTTTCACTTAAAATGGTCGACCACCAATAAACGTATCTCGTGTGCAGCAAATCTGTAATGATTTAAAAACCTGTGAAAAAGCACTACGATCACTGTCTTTGTTAATTTCGGCCACGATGTCAAGCGAGGAGGACTTAGAAATTATTCTTGAGGAAGACGAAGCGGCCGCCTATGCCACGGCAGCCCCGAGTGGCGTCCTGAGCGTGCACACCAAACTCATTCGGGACATTGTCATTGATGAGGATCACATCTCGATGACCGATCCGGAGCTCTATGTACGGATCAAAGTTGGGTCTTTCGTCAAGAGCACGCAAACAGTCATGGCGGAGAAGGATGCCAAAGTGGTCTTGGACGACCTCAAACACTTCTCACTAAAGATTCCCAGAAAACGATCCGATCCTTCAAACGAGGTTAGTAAAATGTAAAATATATAGTAAGATATATGAATAGATGTAAACCATTGCCTGTTTAGGCCATACAAAGAAAATATTCATTGTTCACACACTTTTTATGTATAGCCTTCTCCCACTTGACATGAAGTTGAACCATTGATATCATTATTAAAGAAAATTATCTCCCAAAGCTGTATAAACATTATGTAATGCCAACCAAACATCAACAATTATTGAATGCTTTTCTCGTACATCAACGATTATTGAATGCCTTTCTCGTACAAGGCCCCCCTTTAAAAAAGAAAAGAAAAAAAGAACAATTACCAACAATTACAAAAAGCTTATAGTTATAGGCCCTAATCGACATTTGTTTGAAATTGTGTTCTTCCTTTTGTTAAGAATCTGTGTAAGAGAAAATATCTCTAAAACTGGTTACATGTTTCCCATCAACCTGTTATGCTGTACATTTTTGTTTTATGTTTCCCCACAGGTTCGCTTTGACTTGGTTGTTGTCAAGAGCCCTCACGTGCACAGGATTGTCGGTCATAAAGACATGCACCTGTATGACATCATTAAGAACCAATTCGTTGCTGGGTCACATGACCTTCAGTACAGACACAAAACCAAAGCCGTAGTTGAGCTAGAGATGTGCTTCACCTACGGTATCTTTGGATACGGATGCTGCCATCAGCTCCAAAACAGGCAGAGAAAGATCTCAGACATCGTTGGCCACTCTCTCCTCCTCCGCGTGGAGCCCCCACAGACAAGATACCAGTCAAACGCCGGTCACGTGATGACGGCCATGCCAGTTGGGCACCCTGAGTTCATCAACTTCACAGCCAAAGCCGAGACGTTGTCTTCAGCTGGGGAAGTCAAAGCAGAGGGTAGCACCCAGAGCATCCTCTCGGGCCTCGACTTGCAGGAACCCATAATCCTCACTCGGACAATGAGGAAAAGATTACATCGGATACAGACCGATTTCGCACAGCAGGGGAGCCGTGTGCAACGCAAGAGGTTCCTGGAGAGACTAGTACTGCGTCACATCCACGACCATGGTGCCATCGAGACCGATCAAGATGCAACGCAGGAAGGGGAGGCTGCTGGACCATCATCGGCAGGCCCAAAAGAGGCAGGATCCACTGAACGTGTGGTCGTTAATGCAGAAACCTACGGCACAGATAGTGACTATGCAGAGTCTGCCACCGACCTGAGCGAACTGATGTCCTCTATGTTGATGAACGCACCGGGGCTGGTAACCAGAGAACCCGCACGCCGGATACAACCATCGCTGTTCAGTATCGGTGAGGAGACGACCGACTTGGCTTCTACGGCCAGTGACACTCAAACTTCTCCTCCAGCTCAGAGAACTGAAGATGAGACAAGAGAACCGATCAATCAGGAACCGCCAGTGAGGGAAGAAAGGAGACGAAGCACCCTTGCTGAGTTGCCAGGCCTCTTGGTAAGGTCTCTCGCCAACCGGCTGTCCGGCTGGAGGCCAACACGCATCCAGCCTGCCCGCCGACAACGACCGACTCCTGTTGAGGTTACGGACGAAGGCCCAGTCACACAACCAGCAGCCGGTGGCTCTGTCTCTATGTCAAGGTTCAGGAGTAAAATGGCAAGACAAGAAGATGAACAAGGATGAATTCAAAAATTATCCCCAAAAGTTTTAAAACAGCCTTGGAGATTATATGTCGCCGAGGGAAAGTTTCAGTGAAGTAGGGCTTCGATGATATCGAGTCTACTACATGTATTCCCCTTTATGGGGAGAGCATAGCTCGATCCAAACAAATTGTGATTGTGAGCTCAGTATGAAAGTCCTTCGTTATTCATGCAAGACAAAATCTAATAATTGTTGATCAGTTATTTTTTTATCGATGACGGACGTACTGTTATTGTTATATTATGTGGATTCAGGTATAGGAATTATATTTAAAATCAGTCATAAATTAACTCTGATAATCTTGATAATCAAGCCTTCGTTTTATTACTTAGATTCAATCTGAAAGCCAAAATACAAACTAAGTCATGACTAGTTTGGAGTAGACTCTATAACCTTCTTATTTCATAAAAATGGTAAATTCAAAGCAACTAGTTCTTAATTTTCCCGAATACAAATATATGGTATAGACTTTCCCTTTCAATCCTTACAGGAAATATTTTTTATTTGCTTAAAAAAAGTGGTATAAGTTTTCATATAGCCGTTTTATCAATCGCATATTGATCTAGTGGAACACAGTCATGAAAATGCTTTTCACAAGTCATTCAAATGACTTTAAAAAGAAACAAAAATGAACGGTTTAGACTAACTAATTCGAAAGCAAGAAATATCAGAATGAGTGTATCATACTTTCTATTCTCTCTGTGACCACAAATGTGTTCGACATACTAACTTCAGAACTACATCAGAACATAAACAAAATCAAAAGAACCAAACAAGCGTAAACAAAACTATTATAGCGGTGCCATTTCGAAGAGAAAGAAAACACGTCTCTAAGTATCAGTGATTACAATTGCTGGAATATAAGTGCTTACTGAAATTAAGGCTTATCAGCTCATTGCATATTACAAAATTTATCTTTGATTTGCGTCCAGTTTACAATTTACATGTAGCGAAATTTCCATTTATACATCTCAGTTCTTACAAAATTTTGATATCAAGTAGCATGTACATTCTTTATATACATATGCGAAAAAAATCTATCGATTTTATCTTACAAATTTATTTTTAAATATAAGGAAGAATTGTACTGTGTCCAATTAATAAAAATTACAAACAACATCATCCAAAAATATCGAATCCCTTTTCTAAATGTTTGAGCTATAGGCTAAGAAAATATTAAAACTCTTGTAGGTCATGATGTACAAGAATACTTCTCTTGTTGGTCACCCCATTAATAAATCCCATTTTGAAAGTTGTCCACGATTACTGTTTCCCATTAAAAAGATTTACCGCAAGGCCACAAGGTACAGTAAAACACTTCGTTATTGTTTGGCATTTTGTATCGTTCCATCACAAGTCGGTTTCTTCAACTATAAGACTTGGACAGATTGCTTATTTTAAAACTCTTAACATCTTTCACATTTTGCGTCCCATTTTCTTCAATAATGCCGACAACATACATGTACTTTGGAAACTAATGCATATTCTATATGTAGCAGCTGCTATAGAGTAAAGAGAATCTGATACTTCAAGGTATTAAAAAAACTTACGAAAAAAAACACTAAGAATTCAGTATTTCGTTCTCATAAAGCAACAAAAACCTATACACATATATACAAACCAAAACAGTCTGTAGAAAGTTAAGCATGACGTGGGCAGTATGAACAGTGTATCCAAATTTTGAATCATAAAAAAAAATGGACCTCATTTCCTTTTGAACCATTACATCACAACTCAACAGGCACATTTCCCAAAATTGTACCAGTAATGCGGAGTCAGGAGGACTGCGCACGTCATACCTTAAAAATATTCGAGATACTCATGATCTTAAAAATGTGCAGCCACCGTTGGTAAGTTCTGTTTAAATGTTCCAAACGCATACCGGGTAGTTTGTCGAGCTCTCCATCAATAAAGCATAGTGCAGATATCTAGTATTCAAATTCGAACATCTTAATAATTGTTTGGTCTTTTCTGTATAATCTCAGCTCTGCACAGAAATTTTGAGTAGTTCTAAGCTGTGATTCATAATGACATACTTAAAAAAAAAAAAGACAATGATTGTAGCTGAATACAGTCATCGTGACGAAACAATCACATAAAATATTACCAGATATATAACACTTGAAATGAAAACCATCTAGTCTGACCCACTACAACCCAACATGTTTTACGGTTTGGCGATAAGCCGCATAGCAATAAAACTTGATACTCCGAGTAGATACAGTTTCTCTTGTTAAATCATCCAACTGACAATATTTGTGATATATGACTTGGAACTAAAGTCAACAACTTAACTATATTGCTTGCAGCGATAAACATGCCAAATATACAAGTCTATGGCTACACTTTACAGATGTACTAAACGATATAATTAAAATGATATCCATTGATTTGTACTGAGACATAGATATCGGCAACGTTAATAAATATAAAAATAGCAGAAATGTTGATAACAACTAACACAAAGTAGGCCTAAAGATTTCGTTTTAATTTTTGGCTCAAAATGCATTTTAAAACCAAACTGGTGCTTTGATTTAGCTCTATAATTTAAAAAAAAGTAAACAAATGAAATGGTACGTGGTTTATTGTGAGTGTTGTTTTTGTCAACATGCTTGATATAGCACTTATCTTCAGAAACATAGATTACTTGTTAAGTGCATTTGCAAATCCATTCTTCGATAAATCATTGACTTTCACTTCAATTAGAAATGTGTGTAAATTAATTGCTTTTCAGTTTCTTGAACATGCCCGCTATCAATATCCGATGCAGGAAAGACGACAAGCTATGTAAACAATCAGAAATTGTGTCTTCACAGAACTACTGAAAGTCAACAAATAAAAATGGTTACGTTTCCAGTCTTGGAATCCAAGAAAAGAAGCCACTGTTGTTCAGTACTGTAGTCGAATACATCAAGTTCTTTCAGAAGTCCAGTCATGAGTACATGTAACAGCAGTGGCGCACCCAAAGGGGGGGGGGGGCCTCGGGGGCCTTGAGCCCCCCCCCCCCAAGAGGTTATCCTGGGTTTTTTGTTGTGGTTTTTTTTTTTTGGGGGGGGGGTCAATTTGTTTTTAGTCCCACGATTTGACCGTGGTGATATGTATGTTGCCCATTTTCGAGTAGTATAATAGGGGTGTAAATAGTCCATCCCCCACCCCCCAAAAAAATTCTACGGCCAAAAATCTGGGGCAACATTTTTTTGAAAAAAATCAAACTTCTAAAAAAAATTGGAAAACAAATTTGTGAGCCCCCCACCGAAGCCAAATCCTGGGTGCTTCACTATACAGTGGTTGGACAATATCAAATGAATACGTATGTCAAAGTTCATTTGAATAGCTTAAGACTTGACCGAGTCTCAAGCTTAGCACTTGTGAATGACTTTTGAGGACTTGTGTTGGACTCGACTGCAACACTCCTGTAAGTCAATATCTATTAAGTTGCTTACGGGTCTATAAACCAAGTCTTATTTGCCCTGTTGAGCGAGCTGAGCGAGCCTCTTCCTCAACCCAACGCACTGAGTATTTAATCTTCTTATCTCCTCCTCCTTCTGTTTCACCATGTGCTTGTACTCCAACATCTCATGCATCAACCTCCGGAAGTGTGGCTCTGGGAGCTTGTCAAAGAACCGCTTGTACTTCTCCAGCTCGGCCCTGTTTGGCTTTTCTGGCGTTGATAGTACCCGCCCATCTGGACTAATGAGCTCCCCGCGCGGTCCCCTCATTGGAATGTGATGCCTCACGGAAGGATTTCTCCTGTAGAGTTTCCTCAGCTCGGCACTTTTTATTTCAGTCAGTTTGCCGATTTCAGCGATGTGCTGTTTCAGTTTCTCAAGCTCGTTGTCGCGGGGTAGCCGTGGAAGAATCCGAGCTGGGAGCGACTGGGTGCTGGAATAAGATGCGATGGACACCGGGGAGTGAGGCCGACCAGATCTGGGTCCTGATGGGGGAGGATGGAGACCTCTACCCTTGGACCGATGATGACGTCTGGGCACACTAGCTTCTGCGTCAGGTATGATAACCTCCATGTTGGGTTGACGGGGTACTAGCTGACTGATTGCAAGGGTGCTGTAAGCCTTGCGTGGTGTACCCCAATCGGTAGGAGGTGGTGGTGCCAACTCGGCTGTGGATGAACTGACACTCAACATCTGCACTGCCAATTGAGGGTCGCCAGGGACAGGTGGTGGGACATAAGGTACATGAACGTCTGCAGTGACTACCATTCCATTACCTTTTCCTCTTGGGCCACGAGGAGGAGCGTATGCTTCTTCAGAAAAACCTGGAGCCCGCTCTGGTTGATGACTCTGCTTCGAAATCAAAGCTGCCGGATACGCTGTTTGTGTTGGACCAGCGTCAGGGTCATTGTCCCATGTTTCCATCTTGGTTCGTTTGAAGGGACCTTCATCACTGGCTGAAGACATATTTTCCCACGATGCAGCAGCAAGTCTGTATTCATCCCTGGAGCTTGGTGGGCCATCATTTCCGTCATCTCGAGGAACTGGTTGTCTCCCACGGCCTTCTGGTAGCCGCTTGTTGTCAGGTCTGGTTTCTGGCATTCTTGATGGCTCATTGCCTCGCGGACGCAAGACCGTAATTGGCTGAGCAAAATCTGGGTGCCGTCCCCTTGCTTCCTTCTCGTCAAACCCTCTAGGGATATGAGATTCAGAAGTGGACTGAAATCGACTTTCCTGGAAAGATGTTTCAACAAACTCATAGCTCTTACTCTGAGTCTGAGGCAAAAGGTTCATGCTTCTTGTACCATCATTTCTCCATCTACCCATAGCCGGTGCATCATCCAAACGCTGTGGGGGTAGCTGTGGTACTCTCCCGTGAGTTTGAGGCCTATCAAAGGCATCCTCGTCATCAACGAGTGAGTCTAGCATCTGTTCAATCTCCTTGCGAGGTTTTTCCGGCACTGAGTACCTGTTGTCATGCACACCGCGATTTCCAGGTCTCATTCTTCCAAGCCTGTCATCTCCAGAGTCCCAAATAGCACTCTCCTGAGGTGGACGAGGCTCCTCTACCGGGATCTGCCTCCACGAAGATGAAGCAAGAGCGTACTCATCTCTAGGACTGAGATTTTGTCCTAAATCTGGTTTCGCCTCCGGTACTCGTCTATCACTTCTTCCTGGCCTCCTCGGCTGTTGAGTTTGTTGTTCGTCATCGCTGCTTGACGGTGCACTAGGTTTCCCCTTACGAGGCTTTGGCTGCGGTGGAAGTTTTGTGACTCGCTGAACAGCAGGCGGCTCGAATACTGTCGAGTCCTTGCCGTTACGAAACTCGTCCGAATCGTCACTCCACGTTCGTCTCATGGCTTCACCCGATGTCGCACTGACATCTGCAAGAGAACCCGAGGTTCTACTACTGCCGTAGCTATTGTTACGGGATGATGTGCCGGACACATTGCCCTCTACAGACAAACTGTTCCCACTTGGCTCTTTCACATTCCTATCTATACCTGCTTCTTGGGGATAATACAAATCATCTGCAGTAGACTTCGTTGATCGAATTCCTTCATCTTGGGGTCGTAACACTTCCTCGTAAGGGCGAGAGATGACAAATGTTGCTGAAGGATCCTCAGTGGCCGGCTTCTGAGATTGGTAGTGTTCATACAAAGCACTGCGTGATAGTCCTTCCTTAAATATTTCCTCCCTGTTTCTTGTGCTTGATGAGGCAGGCTTTGACGTGTCTTCATTTGCGCTAGGAGAAGAGAGCACAAAGTAATCCTCTTTTGATGGCTCTTCGGGTGGTTCATCATACCATGCACTAAATTTATATCGCCCTGGCCCTTTTTCAGGCGACACGGGAGCTCTAGCAGAGTCCGATTTTGATTTGTCTTCTTCAGCAGCCGGACGTGAAACAGCAAAATAATTATCACCTGTTGGTTCTTCAGAAGGTTCCTCATACCACGCACTGTATTTGTAGGTTCCTGGCTCAACCTCAGGTGAAAGGGGTGTTTCTTCTTTAGGTTGGCTTTCCTCTTGAGGTTCGACTGAAGAGATGATAATGACGTCATCTGATTCATTGGGTTTCTCCTCACTTGGTTCATCATACCACATGACTCTGATACCACTATACTCGCCGTCCTCTAGCCTTTCTCCCGGACCCCTGGGACGTCCTTCGGGCTTAGGTTTAGGCTTAGGCTTCTCAGCAGTTTTCCTTTCCGAAATGTACTCAGGCGGAAGTCTTATGTCACTCTTCACCAAAGCAATTGCCATCGCAGGGGTGTCATCTTTTGGCTCCTCGTACCAAGAGCTGTATCTATAAGGACCAGTATCCCCGGTGTCACCTGCAAGGGAGGAAGCTGCAGCATCCGGACTTGTTGGTTTCTTGTGTGGGATGCTCTGCTCTCTTGGCGAGATCGTAAACAAGGACACCTCGGGTCTAAGCTCGATTTTCTTGACGGTTGTTTCTCGGCTATCGTGTCGGTTTTCTCTCGGTTGGTCTGGATGTGAAGTATAATTGTAAGGTCCAACTTCATTAACTGGAATGGATTTCGACGAGTGTTTCCAAGACTCATCAGGGGCAACGTCTGGCCTGTATTCAGAGGATGCTTCAGGTTCTCTTTCAACTTCTGGCTCAGTCGCAGCAGAACTTCTATATGCAAACTCGTATTTGTCTAGATCAGTCTCATATGGCGGAAGACTGTCACCAACCCGTTGTTTGATAGAGGGCTCTCTTGGTCCAGACGGGGGACTTGATTCCACAACTGCGGCATTTACTGGTTGTATTGTTTCGCTGTATTCTGTCGGAGATTCTGTGAAGCCATTTGAAGGGGGACCGCCTCGGTAGGGTGGGTCGGAGGCATACTCGGGAAAGTCTTCATCTTTCAAAACGCGTTGATATGAGTTGGATTGAGGGATTGATTTATCAGTAACCCCCCGGTCTTCCATTTCTTCGTCTTTGGGATGCTGCCGATCATCTGATGTTGGTGCATCTTGTGGGAGGGAATCGGAAGAGGTGTTACCGTCTACATCTCGAGTTCCATCCTGAAGAGGTTTGGTATGAATCACGGTGTAAGTAATTGTCACAGATTTCACGTCTTGAGCATTGCTTTTCTGTTCTCCTGGTGCGATGGAATCTCTTGAAACTTCTGGAGCATTTTCGGGTGCTGAAGTCACTGACTGGGGTGAGTCGTGAGTTTCCTCAGTTGTGTATTGAGGAATTGGTCTTGCAGTCTCTTCGAGATTCGATTTTGACGCAGAGGGAGCAACCTCAGTGATTGGCCTGAAATATTGGTCTGATTCAAATACTTCCTCAGATTTATTGTAGTCCTCGTCGTCTCCTTTCCTCATAACGTCACCGACTGTACCTCCTTTTGTTTCATCTGCGTTCTGTTCAGAATGAATGCTAGATGTATCTGTATACCGTGGTTCATAAAATTGTGGATCATCTTCACGATGATGCTGACGGAGGACGACTGGAGCAGGACGTGGCTCCACCTTAACTGGATATGGCATGTTTGACGTCAGTACAAATACCCGTGCCCCAGTAGAAGGTGGTGGAGGCAGCCATTCAGGCTCGTCGGAATATTCACTTGAGAAATCCATTGTCTGCTCACGATATTCCCTCTCATCACTTCCTTCTTCATCTTCCTCTTCCTGCTCCTCCTCCTCATTATCTTCAGAATGATCAGATGACTCCTCGGTAGTGTCTGATTCGTTCGATGATTCAGAACCTTCATGTTCATCACCGGGGATTGTCGTCTCCAACATCTCAGGTGATTTACGAAGCGGTGGTGAATCTTCTGCGGTTTTGTGGGGCAGATCAAAGATTTGTTCCACAGATCCATCATATTCTGCTCCCACACCTGGCTTGTTTTCGTACATTGGTCTGTCGTAGTTGATATATTTAGGATACCTAGGTTTTTCAGTTGGTGTAACATTCGGTATTTCAGAGTCGGGCAATTCCTCAGGTTGGTCACGAGTTGCTTCCAAAGATATGGTGACATGTTGTTCATGAGGGGCTTCATCATCGCTGTTTTTGGTATTCATATGCTCAACCCTTTCATCTTCGTGTTCAATTTGTTCCTCTCCTTCCTGGTCCTCAATAGGTTCATCTTCTTTTATTTCCTCTTCATTCTTCTGGTTATCGTCGACATACGCATCATGGCTATATTTCTCCTCTTCTTCCTCCTCTTCCTCTTCTTCCTCTTCTTCTTCTTCTTCTTCTTCTTCTTCTTCTTCTTCTTCTTCTTCTCCCTCTTCAATGACCTGTGGAAGCGGCCTCGAGACTACTCCATACCCCTGATTGTCATCCTCCTCCTCAAAACCCTCTCCTGATTCTGTCACGATGTATGTGTGCTCCTCAGCAGACTCGTAACTACTGTCATCCGAGTCTGATGATGCAGACGAATCATCCGAGCTCGAAGACGAGGATGAGGTAATCTCCTTAAGATGATGCGCATTCATTGCTGCCGACATCTTACGTATGGCAATATCAGCTTCTGCTACAAACTCATCCGCTGATGAAAATTCAGGAGACTCGAAATGATCGCTGTTAGAGTCCACAGCGGGAGCACTCGCACCAGGAAAGGATTCGAAAGCTTCAGGGAGCGCAGCGGACGGATGGTAATTGTCTTCTGTGCTAAATGTGCCATCATCATTGTATCTCTCACTACCAAACAGCTCATCCTCGTCTTTATTGCATCCAGTTGTACTTGCAAAGACAGAAACATCTTCCTCACTGTCTGATGAAGAGCTTTGTTGATCCTCGCCCTTGATTTCTTGTTCTTGGATCGAGATGACAGTTTCTGTGAACTGTTCTCCTGATTCCATCCGGTGCAAGGAAAGCCTCGCATTTATTCGCACTGTCTCTCTCGTTGACTCATCAAGTGACCTATTTTCTACACCATCTTGAGATTGTATTGGTAACTCGTCTTCAGGAGGTGTTGTTTCATCTCTTGGGATATATGACAAATCTCCAGCGTCCGGCATTTGTAAAGACTCGGCCCGTGTCACCGGTTGTTGTCTTCCAGGGACATGGTAGATTTCTTGTGATTCTTCTCGATACACAGAAATTCCAGCTTCTATTATTACATCATCCTGGGTGGTTGTTTCACCTGTCCCATAACTTTCCTCTACTGTTCCAGGAAGAGGCTTTTCTGAAACAAATTCTGGATCTGGGGTAATAACATTGGTTTGATCTTTTTGGTCCAGTCTGGAGAAATCAATGGGGCATTCAACTTCAGCAACTCCAGTCGAAACCAAGTCTGGTTCCACAATTTTTTGTCTTCTAAACCTTGGCTTTGGAGGCACCTGTGGTGGCACCTTGCGCTTTGGTACAATGTTTTCCAGTTCAGCAAAGGCCAGTTCTCTATTGACGTTTGAAAACACAGGAAACTGCTCATGTTCTATTATATTTCCTCTGTATGATGGCTCAGCTTTGGATGAAACTGGAGATTCAAACTGTGGCATTGAAAAGACTGTAGGAAGCTTGACTGATGCTGAAATGTAAGGTTCGGGAGACATTGGAGACTCATCTGGGGCTACCTCATCGGGTTGGTTCGAGTCTAGAGATGAAAGGTCAACTGGTGTCTTCTCTTCAGTTACCGATGATGATCTGATAGGAGTTTCCGTAACTGCCTTTTGCTTTTGGAGATTGGGTTTGGGTGGCAGTGTCGGGTAGGTTTTCTTTACAGGTAAAATATTCTCAATTTCACTCTGTGCTGACTCTTTTTTCTTCAGTGAGAAAACTGGACGTTGCTCGTGTTTAATTTGCCTTGGGAACTGTTCGTGTTCTACGTCTTGTGGATGTGTCTGCAATGATGGAGGATAAAACACTTTGGGGTGTTTAATTGATGCAGAAATATACGGCTCCGGAGACATCGGTGAATCCTCTGGCTCTAAGATTTCATCATTCACGTCATCATCATATGGGACACTGATGTCATCAGGGGGTGGAGGGAGGTCATCAAATTTGTCATTTGGGATGTAAGCGTCATTATCAACTGGAGGTGGTGGGGGAAACTCGTCAGGATTTTCATCAACTTTAGAAGGAAATCCATCATCCACATTTGGTACCAAAAGTGGTGTTGCTTCGGCAGCAGACGGTTGTGACCACTCAGATGTTGGCGCTGGAGACGGTGTCCTTGGTGGAGGAGAACTAGACTGCCACTCAGTGGGAGGCTGGTCAACCAGCTCAGAGTGTGGTTTCGATCTCGGTTCCGAAGGGGTAGCAAATGTGGATTCTGGTGCAAGCTCTGAGTCACGTAACGGGACATCATTGGTTAAACCAGGGGGAGAAATTTGACTTGGAAGTGGAGGGTCAACAGATGCAAATGTTTCTGGAATAGATTCCGGGCCTGGAAATGCATCTGCTCTGGGAGGTTGTGCACGTGGGGAGTAAGTACCGTCATAAGGTGGGTATTTAACGTCAGGTTGATATGGCGTCTCCACTGGATTAGATTCTTTAGGATTTTCATCAAATTCAGAAGCAAATTTAACGTGGACATCTGGCGTTTCCACTGGATTGGATTCTTCAGGATTTTCATCGATTTCAGAAGCAAATTTAACGTGGACATCTGAATGCAAATTTGGAGTTGTTTTGAGAGCCGATGGCAGCGCCCAATCAGAGGTTGGCTCTTGAGGGAGTTCTGTCGGTGACGGTGAACTGGAATGCAACTCAGTGGGAGGCTGGGGAACCAGCTCTGGGTGTGGTTCTGATCTCGGTTCCGAAGGGGTAGCAAATGTAATTGGTTCTGGTGCAAACTGTGGGTCAGGTAAGGCGGCATCATTGTTTAAACTAGAGGGAGAAATTGGACTTGGAAGTGGAGGGTCATCCGATGCAAATGTTTCTGGAATAGATTCCGGGCCTGGAAATGCATCTGCTCTGGGTGGTTGTGCACGTGGGGAGTAAGTACCGTCATAAGGTGGGTATTTAACGTCAGGTTGATATGGCGTCTCCACTGGATTAGATTCTTTAGGATTTTCATCAAATTCAGAAGCAAATTTAACGTGGACATCTGAGCGCAAATTTGGAGTTGTTTTGAGAGCCGATGGCAGCGCCCAATCAGAGGTTGGCTCTTGAGGGAGTTCTGTCGGTGACGGTGAACTGGAATGCAACTCAGTGGGAGGCTGGCGAACCAGCTCTGGGTGTGGTTCTGATCTCGGCTCCGAAGGGGTAGCAAATGTAATTGGTTCTGGTGCAAACTGTGGGTCAGGTAAGGCGGCATCATTGTTTAAACTAGAGGGAGAAATTGGACTTGGAAGTGGAGGGTCATCAGATGCAAACGTTTCTGGAATAGCATCAGCTTGTGCACGTGGAGAGTAAGTACCGTCATGAGGTGGGTATTTAACGTCAGTTTGATATGGCGTCTCCACTGGATTAGATTCTTTAGGATTTTCATCAAATTCAGAAGCAAATTTAACGTGGACGTTTGAATGCAAATTTGGAGTTGTTTTGAGAGCCGATGGCAGCGCCCATTCAGAGGTTGGCTCTTGAGGGAGTTCTGTCGGTGACGGTGAACTAGAATGCAACTCAGTGGGAGGCTGGCAAACCAGCTCTGGGTGTGGTTCTGATCTCGGTTCCGAAGGGGTAGCAAATGTAATTGGTTCTGGTGCAAACTGTGGGTCAGGTAAGGCGGCGTCATCGTTTAAACTAGAGGGAGAAATTGGACTTGGAAGTGGAGGGTCATCAGATGCAAATGTCTCTGGAATAGCATCAGCTTGTGCACGTGGAGAGTAAGTACCGTCATACGGCGGGTTTGAAACTTCAGGTTGATATGGCGTCTCCTCTGGATTAGATTCTTGGCCTGGATATGCAGCATCTTCATGTGGCGGTGTGTTTGGTATGTAAGATTTTTCACCTTCACGATGCTTATCAAAAGGATTGTAATGATCATATGGAGCGCTTTCTGCAACTGGCATTGCCGGATCTTCATTCGTCGTCGGGAACTGATTTGAGTCCAAAGGCGAGACTGGCCTTAGTTTGGTAGGACCATCGTCAGCAATAGTCTCAGGGGGTGATTGCGGGGTCGCCATTATGAAATGTTCATCTGAAGGTGTATACGGGTTGTCATCTCGCCATGTCACCTCCTCAGGATCTAAAGAGAACTCCTTTGGAGCGGATGCTGGGCGGGGAAACACAAGGTCGTCAACAGATAGTTCACTTGGAATGTAATTCTCCATTTCTCCGAGATGTTCATCTGCAGAATGTGAACGGTGCTTGTCCTTTGATATGCCAGTCAAACTGAAGACGATTCCATTTCCTTCGGGGCTACTAGGCTCATTATCATCCCCGGCTGAATTTCTCCTTTCTCCGTAACAAAGAGCAAAAGATCGATTCGGTTTCGAACTTGAGACGTTGTCCAAACTGAACCACGACCTCTTCTGTTGGGGTTTTCCACTCCGGAGAATCTTCAATGCGTTGTCAAGTTCTTCGTTAGAGATGGGCCTGGGGCTGTATCTTTCCTTGTCAGGTTTTGGAGGCTCGAGAACGATTTTCTTGTCCAAATTTTCCAAAAGTTCTTCAACGTTGATAGTTTGTTCGAGTTCTACATTTGTTTGATAAAAAGGAAATTCCAGGTCGGGTGCGATATAAATATGTTCTTCGTCCTCGCTCGGCCATGATTCACTGTTTTCTTCGCAACTGTCATCCCCCTCACCAAATTCATTTCGGTCTTCAGACTCAAGTTGGCAGCTTTCAGTGTTTTCTCGAACAGTTGACATTGTTTCATCACTGGTATTGGATGATGAATCAGTGTCTGAATTGGAGTCCGAGTCCAATTCTAGCTCATTTCTCTTACGCTGATCTTGTTCAATATCTCCATCGCTGTCGTTGTCTTGTTGCAACATGCGATCACCGAAGTCATTGTTCAACTGAGCATTTTTATCCTGTTCTGAATCAAGCTCGGGTAATTCATAATCAGCAGTCCTGTCCTTTCCATCCACGGTGTCGTGTGCTGATTTGACGGCAGGGTTAATAACAGTGCGTATATCCTCAGGTAAAGTAATCACTCTGCCATCCGAGTCTTTTGAAGCGCCGCTCCCATCACCCGGGATAATATCTCCAGTTGTCACCTCCTCATCATCATCGTCTACAATCTCTCCAAGTGGCAGGGCAGATAACCTGGCAGAAAATTCCTCCGTTCTCACAGTGTACACCTCGGCCGCTGTATCGGATGCAATTATCTCGGACTCCTGGAGCCGAACCTCCGTGTCATCTCCTGCGGGTGTGTGTTTGAGAAAATCCTGCAGACCGGGAGGATCGGCTGAAGTTCCCCCGTCAGAATCGCTTCCGCTGTCCTCCTTCTCGCCCGCGTCCTCTCTGTAAAGCAAAACAAGAAGAAAGACATTTTCAAACAAATTGTTTCAAAAATTTGATTTGATTTGAAAATTAAATATTAAAAACGGAAAATCACACACACGCAAAAAAACCCTCTGCAGCCCTGGTGTGAGGTTGTTCTGCAAGATATAAAAATATGGGTGGGAACTGTACATTACACGAATCCGGGCGCGTGATCACTGTACACTCACCAGCCCCCCTTCAATGGAGAAACCATTGCGCATGATAAACAACTGCCCCATGACGGATTATCTGAACAATAGCTAACACAATGCTTCGTGACAGAATGGAGTGCCCGGATGGGTCTATAGCGCCGGGAAAACGATGTTTTAGGTTTTTGAGTGCGTCACCCGATACTCATTCTAAGTTTGATTTTTAAACTGGTTGATTTTCTTTTCGGTAGAAAGTTATAAGCCATGATTGTTTCTCGTGCTTTCGAGAAGAATCGTTTGAAGACGCAGGTTTACATCGGCGGGATAAATCCTTCAAATCTAAACCGGACAACTTAGATCGCAATTTCTGCCTACATTCATACCAACTACATTTTGAGGCATAATAGGATCATTTGCATTTATCGCAAAAGTAGCCTACCGCATTACTACATGTAAAAGTCATAGAAATAAAGTGCTACATAGAAATACAGTGCTATTGGCGAAATCATGTTTCGTATAATCAAAAGGTTGTGCACGGTTTTTCATTGTTTCCTCGAAAAGTGTAGTATCCGATTGAGCTGAAACGTCAACTTGTTAGGTTTTGAACATTCTTCTTTTGATTTTGAGTGGTGTTATTATTGGAAACGAAAAAAAAATACAAGGAAATCAAACGATCCTGTCTTTAAGGGTCGAGACCCCGGCTTCTTCACGCGGAAAGCGATTTCAACCCAGGGGATTCCGGTGTATTCCGTGGTAGTTTCCGTCGTGAAGTTATTTTTATTGATCATGCCGGGCAGGTGCCACTAATTCGCGGATGCAGATGCAGTCCAGTGAATGCGAATACTCAAGTTGATGCATCTCCTGAATAACTTCGTTGGAAGGAGGGAATGACAAGACTCTCGGAATAAGCATGTGCATGCATGAGCCTACTTCGTCATACAACATCAACACACATTTTGTGAGGTTATACAAGTAAAGGATAAATCAGTTTAAGGTCAAACATTGAATATTTTCACCGTGTAGTCTATCACAGTGTTGTTCTTTTATGGAATTGAAAGTCCGGTCTAAATATTGTAGATACAAAGAAAAAATAATTTGAGACCATACATTTCATTCAAAATGTTCAACCAATGTTCGACTAATTTCCAATCAGTTTCCACCAAAGAAAGTTGAGAACAATTACGGAATTAAAACTCCGGTCCAAATATTGTAGATACAAAGACGAAATAAATGTGACACCAAAAATGTCATTCAAAATCTATTTTTAGCCCATATTCAATCGATATTCAATCAGTTTCCCTCAAAGAAACTTACGAACAAATATTTTCCGACACTCGGTAAACATGTACGGTTTTAATCGTCTAAACCAAGCACAAACGATACACCTTTTCATGTGTCTCCAACAGCTTATTAAAATCCATTCATGTTGGGCATTGACACAGTACAATGGAATTGGTTCCCAATAAAAGAACCATCTGCAACCTGAGTTCAAAATGTCTCCATATTCCTCTATCAGACTCTGAAGCTGAATGTATAACAGTGAATACTAGTTCTGTATTCATCAATTGGTGTCCTTGATAGCATATATGAATTAAAAATCCTTCGTTTAAATATTTATGCCAATAATGTCAAGTAGATTCCATTTTTAACAACTCAATAACTACCAGTATTTGCGAAGCAATGTAAGGACAAAATCCTCCACCAGCATATTTTCAGCGACGATATACTTCTCAACGTGTACATGTACATGTACATGTACGTGGTAACCACACAAAGCTAACTTCATCCTCCATTTTGAAACTCGGCACGACGCACAGCGCAGCACATTCACAATGACCTAGTCATTAACATAATAATATAGCTTTGTATCATTCATAATGTAAACATGCCCATAAGAATACGCAACAATTATTATTAGTAGTGAAATAAACTAGTTTCGTTAATATTTACCTAAGTTTAAGTCCTCGTTGGCGTAAAATTCTTCAACACAAGCTTGATTTTAAACTGATTTTAGAGCAGTTCAAAGTCGAACAAAGATAACTGGCTGTTTAATGATTAACCAAAATGGCATGCCGTATTAAATGCCATAAATATGAATCACTCATTGGAGTTACTGCAGTAAAGAATAAAAAATGGCGGCAAAATATAACGACGCTGATAAAGAAAAAGGGTTGAGTAAAAAATAGCACCAATGTATGCATTTCAGCTGTGGTTTTATTCATACGTTTGGACACACCAATTTAAGTTTTGAATAACGTACGGTACCAGTCTGTGCTCTGTTTAATTTTTTTTTTCTCATTTTACACGAAAGCTTTTATTTGCGACTTTGTCTTGTACACTTTTTTGGGGGGGGGGGGATAGTCCCGGGTCACTTTTTTGTTATGTCCTTATTTTTGATATTCGGTCTTAGTTCTCAGGCAGATTCAATCAACGAAAAATTACTTAGATCTAATTTAATCATTCCCTCTTGGAGATCATGATGTTGTTTTGAGATGCGGCATTTTAACCTTCTGTGTAAACAATCAGCTGACCTTGCATTCCTTATGAAAACAGATAACGACCCGTCTCTTGACCTTCTTTCGACTGATGCAGGGCGAGTCAAAAGCGGAACCAAACCTAACAAACTATATTTCATAATTAAAAAATGATGTAGCACCAAAAATAATAACTCGAAAGCCAATTTCATAAGCTACTTTTAGATGAAAACAAACTACTGAAATTGCTCAATCCGTTCAAAGAATATTATACAATTTAAACACAATGACCCTAAAACCTCTTTCGTCCAAAAATGCGACTTCAAGAATCGTCGTCACAATTATTGTCTTCAAACATCACCAGCGATAAACTGTAGTTTAAAAGTTAAAAATACTCAATAAAGTCCTTTTGAAGGCCCGTCTTTAAAAAAAAAATGGATTTTATAAATCATATTGCTTGCCTAACCAGGGTTGTTAATATAAATATTGTGCACTACAGTTGTTGACAGTTGTTGAAACAAGTCATTTTATTGTTGCTCCAGACAGTCAGAATACACGCCAAAATAATTCTGACGAAACAGGTTTTAGGGTCATTGCGTTTAAATGGTGATATTTTTTGAACGGATTGAGTAATTTCAGTATTTGTTTCATCTAAAAGTAGCTTATGAAATTGGCTTTCTATAGTCCTAATTATTTTTGGTGCTACATATTTTTTTAAATATGAAATATAATTTTGGGGTTTTGGGTTCCGTTTTTTTTTTACTCGCCCTGTAATTGACAAGGTTTGAATGCATTTAATATGGAAAACTTCAAATTAAACCAAAAATCTCTGAAGGTGGTAGGATGACCATTGATCGTGGGTAATAAAGGTAAAGTCCATTATGACTCTGCATTAGCTGTTAATGCTCTTAACATATTTGCAATTCCGTGCATGGCCACCACTTAAGCAGATTATGATCTAAGATTATAGATCGAGTCATGGTAAAATCATAAGTTTGCTTTTGATGGGGCAAATTCTTAATATCAGGTGCACTGCATAAAATTTCAGTTCATGATATATTTTCAAAATGCTCTTCGAAAGAGAAATTGGATTGAAAAGTAATTACATAAATAATATGATTTCTTAAATTTTTTTACCATTAGTGTATGTTTGCTGAGGCGACATTTATTTCAAAAGAATATTTTCAAAATATATAACAACTACATTGACTTCATTTCACAACATATTCGACCACGGCTCGAAATTTTCTCCAAAATAATCTTTTCACGGTTTATAGGCCTATACTCTAAGACTTGTTGCTTATTTTTTATCACAAACAAGATTTTTATAGCCACATGCATGTGTGCATTTCAGTATAAATTTGAGCTCAGTTAAATTCCATTTTGTACAAGTATGTCTGTCTGTATACATGTATAGTCTGTCTGTATATATCGATATCCGAGAACATGAAAACAAAATTTTACCGGAGAAAAATATGACTCAATTCCTATTAATATTAAAATAACATTTGTTATACATTCCAGGAATTCTCAAGCGAGCGTAAGACCTGTTGCAGTACTATCTATACAGACTTGGTATATGTTATTGTTTCGATTTCAAGGTTCTGCAAACAGGTAAGTTATTTTTCGTTTTCATTTCTAAATGACGTACATTCCTGCGATATTGCTACCATTGTGTTGATCATAATGTGAATGAATGATGACAAATCTCACTGTTTTTTTATTTTGGTACATTTCTTTCTTCGTTGCTTGTTTTAGTGTGTATATTTTTACGTTCTGGTGTTCGTTTGTTTGTTTGTTTCGAAAATGATTGTTTGATATTTTGCTGGCTTCGACATTAGATTTATCACGGAACTCGGATCCTCTAAGTTACAACAGCTGTATATACTTCACATTCATACACACATATCACATTTCAAAACGTTATTTTTTCATGCCATGTGTGATTTTATGTAAGAAACATGATCTGCATAGATGTATTTAGCATGTCAACGAAATGCTATGAATGCGTTGGATATATAGGGATTTACAATAACGCATGGAATTACAATTTTGTAATTACTATTTTTTTAATATTAATCAAAGAACCAGCAATTTTTTTGCATAGGCCCTATGTTCATGTACATACATGTACATTGTACATGGAACTTCCGTGTGAACAATATGGCGCCTTTCTTTTGAGCATGATGTATCCCGCGGTCAAATATAGAAACATTTCTACAAGGACCACCAGTGTAGGTCTATATACGTAAAACAAACACGGCACCTTTGACCCATTCTATAAAGGTGCCATCCAAAGGTCACCTATTCTATCCTTGTACCACGCTGTGAATCACATCTTCACCTGCATCCCATGCGCGGCAGGTTGACCAGAGGCATATAGGCGTCATGTCGGGACACGGTATCGATAGCGTATTTATGTAGGCGTGTGTATGCCGCCGCCCGAGGTAAATACATCTATTTCATCAGTCACTGTCATGTTCAATACTTTGCAATGATGATAAAGGAGACAAAAAGCATCGCTGCACACTGGTGTTCATTGTATTTCTGTCATTTAAAAAGCAATTTTTCATACACGATATCGCCTTAAATTTGGTATACCACACATTTCATAAATCCTGTCAAAATTATACCCTACGACTTGCTATAGATGGATGTCAGTTTTATCGTTTGTTCAAAATATCTTTGGGAAAAAGTTACACACGCCAACCATAAATAATCATTTCAGGATTCCACACTGTAGCCTATGGTTTATTTAGATTTGACTAGATCTTGCACCCAGCTGACTACAGCTAGGTTATACCTGGGTGCAGGTTTGACTGTTTCCTTGTCAAAATTAACTAGAGTGTTGGCAGAGTGTTCTTAGGTTTCTGCCACAATTTTGTACTTAAAATGTAAGAGCCTACTTACAGGATTGGTGGAAGTCCATAGAGAAAAACGTATTCGTCATAAGGCGAAAAGCGTGTCCTGGAAGACATTGTGCGGTGGCGGGAGTGCTTTACTATGTTTTAGACGGATCCGTTTTAGAATACTGCCATCGACATGCATCATCGGCCTGCACTCCTCCCTGCATCAGTCACACATAGCACATGATTCATCTTGAACCGTGGGTCTCAGAGAACTCATCTTTTTACTTCGATGTGCATATAATATACACACACGCATGCAGCCGTGCAAGGTTAAAATCTGATTATCGTATTGATTGGCTGGTGCGGTGCATCATCCCGTAACAAAAACAATGCGGGCAACCATTGAAAACACCGCGAGTGGATGAGATGTTTTACTGCATGTGAAGAGCAGTTTCACGGTCCGCACGTACACAGTTCGCATTTAGTCTACATGGCATAATATTATTTCCCAGACTTTTTACAGCCATCGGATGGTATTCCCAGTAGCATTTTCCATATTGTTGTGAGGTCATATGATATGGTGCGGATCGTTGCCTCTAAATAGCCTGACCCCGTCATCAGCCTAGGCATCACACAGGTGGTTTCGTCAAAGCCATGGTAATCCCTCCCCCACAGACATTTCGTTATGTTGTTATGAGTTGGATTCCAGGCTATCAAATACCTGATATGCACGACATGTAAAACAGATAGGCGCAGTTTTAAGCCACAGTTGTGCAAGCATACTAGACAAACAAGCAGGTATTGGTTACATATTTTGAACACTGGAATGTGTGACTGACACATTTCGGTATTGTGTGGCCGGCCATAACTGATGTATATTCTCGTTATACCACGGAGGAGGGAACACAAATACTCACCTCTTGATACCATCTTCATCTTCTTCCTCCGAAGGACCAACAAACGTCTTGTATAAAGCCCTTGCGGCGGTCATCGGAGAGAACATGATGATTTACTGAGATCAGTTCCTATACTTCAGCACGCAAGGAATTGTACACGCATATTACGTGTGTTGTGTTTACTGACTCAAACAAGGAGGAAGTCTGCAGTCTAAGGCATCCACGAGTGATCAATGAAGCATCCTTCCACACTGAAGAACAATCGAATTATCCTCATTTCAGAGACATGTTCTCTCAGTCCTTCCAGTGAAACGATTTTCAGACTGAGCATCTATATTCACGAGCTAGTAGACACAGGCGCCATGTTTACGGCAGTGCACTAGTGTCTATAGTTGTGTATTGTTGGCCCAGTGCAGTAACCGTCAATTTCGGTTGCATTTTAGTCGTTGGCCCTGAGGTGGTGGTGCGTATTGTCCAAATGGAGGGCATTATAGAATTGTGACCGAGTACCTGTACCTTACCCCCGCCGTTGTACCCGTACACATCCCGCCTTAATTTGCGTGATAATAGAACGAGTCACATGACTGGGCGAAGGTTCCTTTCCAGCATGTCCACTCATGCTTATATCCCTGTCATAAAAGTTGACAGCCTAGCTGCCGTGAATAATTTCATCAGTAGGCAACAACGCGTGTGTCATGTTGCTGAGTATAGTAGTGGGCCCTGCACATATTTTATTTTCTTCATTCACGACATGAGTTGAAAAGAGGCAGAACCATTGGGAGACCTCTGTAAATCATTTGCTAAATTAATCCATACTGGCCGGAAGCGTCAAGCTATCGTTTAACCACGTTATCAATTATTTCACTTTTAATAATTAGCTAATGACATGTGTGTGTTTGCGACACTCGCTGACTTGTACTTTTGGGCGCGGGGTCATTTTGCAGTCCGTGTTTAACGTTTGGAGACGAATGTAAAAGTCATCACAATGGAGCAAGCTGAATGTTCTCTATAATAATCGTGAGCCTTCCCATTCTCAAAAGCCTGACCGGTGTAAAATTCACATTTATACAGTAAAGGCCAGGACTTCAAGTAATTGTATTCAAATTAAAACAGTCATGCCATTATCAACAAGGGATTTATGTCGGCGGCAGAAACACCTTACTTCATTCATTCGTTAATTCTAAATTTCACAGCGGATTTCTTATCATTTTGACAGAGATGTTGATATTTCCCCCACATACTTTGTTGTTTGGCGTGTCTTTACGAGATTTGTAAAGCGCACTTATTCTTGTTGCGGGTGGAAACTGTGGACATTATCAACGAAAAATTGGGAATTCAGTTGTGGCAGAAAGTATAAGTTCAAGTTATCAAGCCAATTGTATTTCAGTCCAAAGAGTAAAACGAGTGAAGCTTCACTCACACCGGAAGGGACCTGATGAGACGTCTTAAAGTCAAATTCATTCACTCGAATAGATCGAGTTTCATTCCACAGTTTTCAGTAGATTGACTCTTTTTCAGAGTACTGCCTATTTCGATCTTAAATTAGAGTGATTTTGATTCTAAATAGTCTGGTCCTCATTTTAATTTTGAGTTTGATATTAGGTTGGCATTAAATGAACTGAACTTGCTTGACGTACACAATGCCTAATGTTCTTTGTTATAAAAGTCATCGTGCCCGATACAAACACCCTACTCAGTGGCGTAGCACGGTCATTTTTATTGGGGGGTATTTTTTTTAAAGGGCACTTGCACATCCGTGCTGAAATGTAGACACGTTTTCCCCCCATAAAATCAAATAGTTGGGGAGGGGGGCAAAACCGACGATTATGCACACTATGTGCTTCTAAAGGAGATACATGCGCGAAATTTAAAAAAAGGCACCCGCAACGGCCGATGGCACCAAAAGGCCACCACATACTTTTAAAAAGGGTAGGGAGGGGGGTAAATACCCCCTTACCCCCCCCCCCCCCCCCCCCGGCTACGCCTATGCTACTGGCTGCAGATCATCGTCTTCGAAATTTGCCATTTAGCGCTACAAACACCATACCCTTTCCAGGCATGCAATGGACACTATTACTGATTGGTAATGGTAGGACCATTGCTCAAGCTCCATGGTAGTAGGACATCCCGAAACCCCCTCCCACCTCCTCCATCAGCGACCCGTTAATTTCGTGCATCTGCAGGGCGACCTCTAACGATGACACTCGCTAGCCAGCCACAGGGGGCGCCACTTACGCGACACGTACATCGCATCTTCCTTCCCTTTTTAAAATCTGACAGAATCAAATAATGATTCCCCAAAATATTTATTGCTTCGATGAGAAAAATAGTATGGAGTATAATTCGGTTGTGGTTTCATGCTGCTTACCCGCAAAACAAAAATGTAGATGTCAGACTTACAGTTCATTGACTAAATGAAGATACTTTTGAGACAATAATGACAAGTTCAAACAATTTTTTTTTCCACTCAAAATGCTGAGAGACGAAATTACTTATCGGAAGAGCAATATTTCTCATGGATGAGCGACTTATCTTTGATTTAAAAAAAATAATAATTCCCGTTTTTCAGGCGACCGGAAAGTGCGTGCATCATGTCACCCACAGATTTTTTTTATAATTTATTTGCAGCAGCTGGATATTGGCGAGTTTGTTTGAGCTTAAGAAAATTATGTCGAAAATGTGTACAATTAACTTTTTAAGTGGTAAGAAACAAATCAAGACTCAATTTATCTTGAGGGGTTTGCACTTTTGGAAGAATGAACTTACTCAGTCTACGAGGGAAAAAAATTGCATGAACATGTAGGTCGTGTCATTTATAAGTCCATCCATAAAAGTAAGACAAGTTTACTCCTTTTACTCAGAAAGGCACTGTACCCGAAGTACACACATCCCTGTTCTCTGAACTCGGAGAAAGCCGAGCATGACACTTGTTTTCTTTTTCTGGGTAAACTAGTTTTGTGGGGGCGCTATACCACAATAGTCAAGACAACATTTTGTTGTGTCTGGTATCCTCACTTCATATGAGAAAACACCCTAACTTCGTCTGCGTGACTGGCACCCGACTTATCATAATCCTTTCCGTGTATTGCATGCGTGCAACGTATACGTACAGATACTACACCTGTTATGACGTGTGTACGTGGGAGTCTCTCTGCCTTCTGGACTCTTCTTTTCTAGCGTTTCTGACGATAAATTAGGGGAAAATTATGCCGAATTCCTGAACCTCCACGAAGGGGAGTCGTTTACAATTCACCTGCCCACTGCTTAAATTTACTGAAATCGTTCATTGCGGAAAACACAGGCCTACGAATTGTTTTTGTGTCTGACAATTTCACCTGTTCAACCTGTTCACCACACGCGTGTTTCTATGGAGGAGAATGGAGTAGTGCGTGTTGCAGACGACGAGGATTTCAAGTCGTTTCGTCGGCTGGCTGATGGAGTAGAAGGATGGTCCAATAAATACGATAAAAACGGGATTAGAGTATGGCTGCAAAGCAAGTTCGATCCAGAGACGAGAATACGACTGATAAAGGTTTGTAGATCTTTGTTTGGAGTTATTCATTTATTTTAATTTGTTCAAGAAATTTCATCTTAGACAAGTTCTATGCTTCCATCAAGTTTATTCCTTAAAAAAAAAGGTAACTTCATCATTTGTTAAAAAAAAATGTGTAATTTACTTGTACCACTGATTTATGCATAGGCCTATTGCTTATTAGAATGCGCCATGAGCGTCTAAGTTGACGGATACCAGCGCTTTATAAGTTTTCATTATTATTATGATACAACATGTAGCCTTATTTTAAGTTATAATTTATACATGTATGTAAAACATGTAGTTCAAGTTCAAGGATCTTGTGTGATGCCACTTCCTGTCACTGACCTTAACGATAACCTAGCGGTGTGTGAAATCAAAACCCTCTGCCGTTTGGCTTCACATGTGCGTGTGTGGTGTTGTACAGTAGTTCTTCCGGTTGTTACCCAGTCAGTGGATAAAATTATTAGCAGTTCGCCACTTCCCGTCGAAGTGCATGTGTCAGGTTTATCTGCATGTAAATATTTATGTGTAATGGCCAAACTAGTGATAAATAGGTTAACTATTTTTTTTCATCAGTAAATGGTAGTTGTCTTGCAGCCCCAAGAAGAATGAAATTCAAAGTGATCACATGAAAAAACAAATATGAGGAAATTTTTTGGATGAGGTTTAATTATAACCCACGATTATTGCATAATTTTTTTGACAAATCTCTGGGCAAGATTGTGCTCAACCCAGGAGGCTCAAATTCTTAAGCAGGCTGCACTCAACAACTCCCCAAAGATTTAGCTCAGTGGCAACTATACACTTTCAGAAAACAAAAAAAACATGTGTACACTTTTTGGATCTGGTAACTTGATTCTAATGCTAAAGCATGTAAAAAAAAAGTATGCCTGCGGGCACACTTTTTTAAACCAACCTCAATTATTGTTTTCAACCAAATGATAACCATTTCAGGCGGAATAATTCAAAGGGTATTTGGTACTATCCAAGATTTTTCGCATTAAATCAGTAGGTCCGATTCCGCGTTTTTACCAATGTTCCTACACGTATGTGCCTTTAATTAATAGTCCAAAGGTATAGTCCATTCACAGCATCACTAGAAACTCCAATAACGGAAAAAACATCTGCACATGTACATGTAGGTGTACATGTACTTGACAGCAGGTGCAGCCGGTTCATGCCTGTAATCCTCATTTCCTCTCTAATCACTTTGAATTTAACTTACTGCAAGTAAGGCATTTTGAGGTATGGAAATTGTAAACGTTCAAGTCCCCAGAAACGCCTCCAGCAATTTCATCATCAAGGACGACCAAATAATCCTCCCATGGATGGGATGCCCAAATCTCATTTCCGGCATTTAGCGAATATATAACTCAATCCTTGGACGCACAAAACTTGCAAAATGTCACTCAGATGTTGTGCAATAATTGTAATATCATGTTGGATGTCATGTGTTTTCTTCATATAGATTCAGATGCAAAGAGTGCAATTTTCTGAAGCATTTAATTTTAAAAGGAAGAAAATGGAAGAAGATAATGTTTATTACATGGAATATATAGATGGACATCAATGGAAAATCCTTGTCAAAAAAATCTTTTAAAAACCCAGAAAGTTTCCACTTTTAAGTTTTATGATTCCATAAAATCATAGAATAAGATTAATTTTACAAAAAACTCAAAGTACGGTAAGCTGTGGCAACACATATGTGTGCACCCACTCTCAAATTTGTATCCTTGTGTAGACATTTCTTTGTTCTCGTGTAGTAGCCTAAAGTTTTCAATTTTGAAAGTGAAGTTTCAAAATGCTCTTATTTTAACCAGAATTAATTTCCTTGGCTGAAATTCGGACTTAATATTCCTTTTCTAAAACTCTTCCATTTGCGACTCAACCCACCTTGGAAATTCCTTGTTTTTGAGTAAAATCCATATGTATCTATTTCGTGGAAACCTTGTGGAGACCTACATGTATTCATCTATAGAAAGTGCCTTGTGGAGACCTTTACAATGTTTTGTTCCCTATTGTGTGCGTGTCTCCACAAGGATACAAATTTGAGCACACTTCTATTAAAATGTGCAATAATTTACACATAAATTACAATTTCAAGGGCAGTAGTGTAAGCATGTTCATTCATGTGGCAACATACAGTGTATGTAATTTTATCTGCGTGCATGTATGTGTACACTGCTATTAAAATTTGCAATAATTATACTCCTCAATTACAATTTCAAGGACAGCAGTGTAGGCATACATGTTCATTCATCCTTAAACTACGCCAAGTTCATGAACTTTATTGTAATCACAAAGATCTGCCCCATTGTGTGAATGCCATTGTCTGACATTTCAAAACAGGCTTTTCAGACACTTTCTATAAAAACATTCTTTCAAGTGATGTTTCCATAGTTCTATCCCATTTGCCGTGGGTCATTTATTCTGCCTGTAGAATTTTGACAAGCAGTGATATATTTTGTTAAATTTATACCAACACCCAAAAAAGAATAAAAAAGAAAGGAATTCTTGACTGCCAATAACTTGAGGGGCAATTCCATGCAAAAGTTGACACTGATAAAAAGTGGCAAATGTATGAATTCTTGAATGTATGAAATGTATGAAAACTACAAGTATTGCAACCTCTAATGCGGTATCAAATTAAAGGGGACAAGAACTTTCAGTACAATGAAACATGGTCAAATGTTTTTTGGGTTTTTTTTTTTTTGGTGTGAAAAGAACCTGTTTTTTTTTAGGGCTTAAAGTTTTGTTTTGTTTGTAGTCATTTTGGCATCATATTTTCACACGAGCAAAATTCACTCCAATTTACCCTGTTTAACTTCATAGAATAATAGCACAGAGTAGACAGAATACCCCTTTAAACGTTAAATGTGAATTACCTTGAAGTTGCCCAGCAATACATTTACATAAAGCAAATAAGTGTATAAGTATTCATGTGTTCATTGAATGCTTCAAAATATAAAATACCGATATCTATATATACCGTTAGTTAAATTAAATAAAAAAAGTTCATTTATCAAGTACATGTAATTGCAATATTTTGTGTGCAACCACTCCGTTTAACCAAATGCACAACCCAAGAATACATGAATATACATGTAGATATTTTTGGTACTTGGTACAATATTTCTTCCTGCCTGGTACCAGCACACTGTAATGTGCTGCATTCTTCGCACCAAACATTTAGCCTTCACAATCAGATTATGGATTTTTCGCTCAGCTTTTTCCTGTGACAAAAGTCGGCCTAGCGCGAATCTTTGTAGGTTTCTATTGACATAACACACAGACTCTATGAGCGGTGATGAGTACATAAAAATTAAATATTAAACATGTGGCCTATACAATCCCTCTTTAAACAGCCAACATGCAGAAATTACACTCGACGTGACGTATATTCTATTGACTAGATTTACACGAACATTATTTATGTGCGTATGTAATTACATTTGGTTTATAGACATGTTGTTTCTGCACACTACAACATTATTTTGTAACGTAATGAATTTTTGATTAAAATTACTTACATGTAATACATGTCCTTTGTTTTCCTTCGACTTACATACATGTACATGTAGCAATTACGTTTAAAATTATAATTCGTTGTTAGTTTCAGGGATGGTTTAAAGTACATATTTATTTGGCCTTATTACGTACTCAAAAACTGTGTTGTAAATATGTTATTAAACGGTTTTTCAGTTCATTCTGTTCACGTTGTTCCGTTTTTCGACCGCAGGTTCACAAAATGTTACATGACGTTAGTGCGGCAACAACATACGATGTGCTTCATGACGCCGCTTACAGGAAAAAATGGGACCGCACGATGGTGGAAGGTTTTGAGCTGTGCAAAGTCAACTGGACAAATGATATTAGCTATTATCAAAGTGAGTGTCTATTTTTACACACATGCTGATAAAGGGCCCTTTGTATTTCGTCTTTGCTGTTTACCATGTTGGCTGTGTTGCTCTTTCACGGACTGATCCGTGTGTGTTCAAAAGTTGGTACTTTTGGAATACCTTCCGCCATCACCAATGATCTTTTCGAAAACAGTTAAGAAAAAAAGTCAAACGGTAACAAAAAATTCCCCTTCATTGTGTGCATGTTCACCTCCAAAACAGTTATATTGCAAAGCTCAGTCACCATTAGTAAAAACAATTGAACCATTTCCACCTAATACCATAAAATATTAGTCATTTGTTTCAGAGTCACTTGCACAAAGTAAATTTGACAATCGCTTTCAGCTCAAACCACCTTACCCGGCCTTCAGATACAGTGACCAGCGATGCGCATATCCTAAATGTATTAATGCAGATGTTTCAGGGATCATTTGTCATTCAGAAATTCAGAAATGAACAGGTTGTGCACTTTATTATCAGAGTCATTGTAACCTTACATCAAATGTGTGTGCAAACCAGTAAGCCAGGCAAATGATATGCGGAGTGCCAGCAAAAGTGAAGAGTTGCCTCTTTCTTTGGTATGATGACAATAAACTCTGACCCCCTTGGCCCTTTTCAATCCTCAATCCTCCAAAAAATGTTGCACGATGAAGGATACCCACTGCCTCAATTCCTTCAAAATCAGCCCTTTCACTCAGTAATGCATTCAGCCTCAATCCTCTAAAATCCTCACAAACTGCCGGGAGGACTTTGGAGGATTGAGAAAAGTTTTGCTAGGAACCATCCTCAATCCTCCAAAATCCTAAAAAAAATGTTGCACTTAGATACATATGCATGTTCAGATGAAGGATACCCACTGCCTCAATTCCTTCAAAATCAGCCCTTTCACTCAGTAATGCATTCAGCCTCAATCCTCCAAAATCCTCACAAACTGCCCGGAGGACTTTGGAGGATTGAGGAAAGTTTTGCTAGGAACCATCCTCAATCCTACAAAATCCTAAAAAAAAAAATGTTGCTCTTACACGTACATGCATGTTCAGATGAAGGATACCCACTGCCTAAATTCCTTCAAAATCAGCCCTTTCACTCAGTAATGCATTCAGCCTCAATCCTCCAATATCCTCACAAACTGCCCCGGAGGACTTTGGAGGAATTAAGGAAAGTTAGGGTTACTACAAAATATATTTATTTCATTATACAACTACTTGATAAGTGATTCCAACTATAAGATTCGATAACATGGAAATGAAACACGTCTGTTGTTTCTTGAGATGCGTGTACGTTATTTCCTTCATCAAATGTAAAAGGAAACCTGGGCCATTGACCGGACTGATCAGGTCAAGGAACTTTGAAGTTCTACACAGAATATTTTGTATCGTTTCGTTAATAATGAAACCAATCGTCCCTGAAAAGTGCCCAACCCAGCCAGACAACGTAGGTCACGAGACACCCACGGAGAGAAATGATGAAGCTGTTTTCAATTTGAGAGGTGGGAAGAAAACTGAAACTAAAAAAAAGGGAGAAGACTTGCTGAATTAGTTACGTTTTTGAAACCCTATCAACATGGAATCCCGCTTGGCCTCGAAAGCGAGTCGCAGATTTTGAAGGCAAGGAAAGAACATGCGTCAAACTAATTCGCTGCAAATAATGCCAACCTGTTATAAATTATCGCCCTTTAACCATGACTTGAAGACTAAAATCAAAATCTAGATCAAAAGTCACCTCAAATTGTACGAGTGTTTCAAATTAGGATTCACTTTTCTTTTTATGTTCCTCGTCTTCTTTCAGTGAAGTGTCCGCCACCCTTGAGGAACAGAGACTTTGTGATGCAGAGAACGTGGTTGGACACGGGCACCGAGTACATTATCTTCAATCATTCAGTATACCACAAGGTACAACTTGTTTCCTCTTTTATTTTTCCCCCTGAGAGAACAAGCTTCTTGCTTTCCTTAATCCGCAAGATCCTTCAAATATAAAGGATTCAGCTAGGAGGATCCCAGTCCTTTATTATGACACCTTGGGTTGGAGGCCCCTTAAAAGTACGGACAAGGAATGTGCCATTATGTTCTTGCACAGTGGTTGATGATAGTCCTTTTAGCTTTGCAGGTACCTCAAAGGGCGTTCTTTGTTATTTTAATGTAGTTACAATACATTTCAATTATATGTGCTGACATGCAGCCTCATACTGAATTGATGGTAAATGGAGCAAATGCCCGCTACTAGGCAACATTGAATGAATGTTCAGAATGCTACATATAGACAATTATCATGTTGTGGCCATCTTGATTTTTTTCCCATTCAAATCAACGTGACCAAAGCGAGACTGGAAGGAAAATAGTCTGGTTCATTTTTGCACAAAAAACCATCATGCAGTACTGTTATTGGATGATACAGGGAACATGACTGAAATGGTGGCTGCATGATAAAGGTCTATCGTGGGCAGTTGAGTAACTGAAAGGTCAAAGTAGCATTTATTTGGTGGGGTGCCGGTAACTTATTTAATGACTTTCTTTTTCTGTTGATGAGTTGAAATTGTGTCGTCATACAATCTGGGCAAACCAACAAAATAACTGTGCAACAAAATATTCAAAAGATAGACAGTTTACACCGTGATCATTGGAAGTTCTTTGAATCGACCTTAGTTGGTTTTTCAGATTATATTTTGGTCATCAGTAATTCAGTTTGCCTGCTGGCGGAAACAGATTGTTAAAAATCATCAAAACTGGTAGGGAATGATTAAACCGAGGATTTAAACATACATGTTGACAGGCACGTACATGCACTTCATCCGATAAAGTCCGGGGCAAGCCCAGACTGACCTTTGGACTTGTGCATCCAAAGATCATTCAAACACCAAGTTATTATCAAACCAGTGTATCGGCCTCATCATTAAATTATATGCAGTCAGGCCCAGCATTATTAATACCACCTACGTCATATGTATAATCCTATATATAAGCAATATGTCCAATGCCGAATTGCAAATAAATGTCCGTATGATGGTGGTCCATTATGCATTGAATACACCGCAATTTATTGAAGGGCCATTGAACCAATCCTGATAAGTGATCGACCATACTAATACTAGCTCCATGTACAATCTGTCTTCCACTGTCCCAGTATTTGATTTAGGGGTTACGCTAACACTTTTTGTCGTGAAACGGAGCAACTGAGTTTTTTTTTAAAGCTATCCCTTCGAGATAAATATTGTGCAGAGGTATTTTTATCAGCGGGAGTGTCTTTTCCCGAAATTTCTTGACAACAAACACAGTTTTTACGGACTAAGGTTTTACAGGGATTTTTTTTATTTTTAATTTTTTTTGGCCATATATGCCTGAAGGCCAAAACCTAATTTGATTTACATCACCCCGATGCAAAAAAATTCCATCTTATGCATATATGCTTGGTTAGTTAAGAACAGGCTGCTATTTTTTCTTTCATAAATTTTATTTATTCTCCATCATCATGGAGAAAATATTACGCGGTATTTCATAACCTGGGAGGCGTGTGGCTGTGTGTAGAAAAATATACATTGTACACACATAGACTTGTTAAGACCCACGTAGCCTTGTTGAAAGCTAATCCTTTCTGATGCACACTAAATTAGCACAATACTCATGCGTCAATGAATGTGCACCATAGTGACTTTAGAAAAATAAGAAATGAATAAATCTGTTATTTTTGGCCTTTTGTTTATTTTTGGAAATGATTTTATATACAGAAGAGTAGATGCTTCAAAACTGAAGTGGCTCAAAAAAAGTAAGCTTAACATTTAGACATTACAATGTATGTATTGTAATGTACCTTAAAATACAAAACATGCATACTTGTACAATGTACATGTACAGTATGTACAGCATGTACATGTAAGTGAACTCGGTACATGTGGACCTAAATTGCACATGTACATGTGTTGCAAGGTTTTGGAAAAAAAAGTTTGCAAATTAACAAGAATTCGAATTATAAGTTAGTACAAATCATTTTTTTCTATACTATATCCTTCCATATGTTTGCACCAAGAATGAAAAAAGGATTTCCAAAAAAATACCCAGACATCCCCTCCGGCCAAATACACAGTATTGTGAGATATGGATGTACAATGGCAACAATGTCCCACTGTCTGCCCTTGTGTGTTAGTCCTTCCAACGCAATTTAGACATGGGAGAAGAATTGCCTTCCCATAATTGCATATGCTGAGTGGGACGTTAAAGGCTTATCCATGGAACTTTTTATATTGCAAACAATGCAATTCTGGGAAAATGAGCGACCTTACAAACAATTCAGTGGTGTAGTGCAGGCATACACCTGTACACGGTTGATATAATTGAGTGATTTTTGTGACCTTTTGGGAAGCGGACTGGGTATTAATTGAAGTGGGTGGATGGGTAAAGCCTATGGGATTGATGCTGCCCACTTTTTTTTCCAGTGATAGGAGCCGTAGGAGGTCAATAACTAAATGCTCCATTTCTGTCACTATTAATTTTCTTGAAGTATTCTCTTCTTTCCTACGAAGTTCCATTGAAGCACTTTTTTCCAATTCTGATGAACTCTATACAATTTCCATATGGGTCAATCTGTAAATTTGGGGTCCATTTTTTTTCTGTCTCTGTTACATCTGACATAGATATCTCTGATTTTGTCATTCTAGATGCACTCTTTAATGAGAAGAAACACAATAAAGGGGACCACTTTGCATCCGTCACGTTAGCAGTTTTTCCAATGGTTGTGATTTTTTTTACAGTACCTGAAACCACCTAAAAAGTTTTGAAATGTGAATGGACATGTAAGCTTATAATACATGTAATATGTGTTGAATCATTTCTTTCCTTCTTTTTTAATTTTTAAAACACCTTCAAATTGCCATCAAGAATGGACGGAAAAGGTTACCTAAGTTTTCCGTCCACTATTTGATGGAAATTTTAGGAAAATGTCAAAAAGCAATATAAATAATCAACTAAAATCATCTTTAGCGAAAGGCTGCATGTCCATTCATGTGTTGAAATTCTTCTTTGGCGGTTTCAGGTATTTAACAAAAAAATCACAACCATTGGAAAAACTGCTAACACGATGGCAGCAAAGTAGCCCCCTGTACTGTGTTTCTTGTCTAATATATATTCTTCCTCCAAGAGTGATTATGTGAAACAAATGACCAAGTCAACATATAAGAAATAGTTTGAAGCTATTTTTAAATGACATTTGATTGGCAGAATTACAAAGTTCAGAGATAACGGGGACAGGGAAAAAAATGTCACACTTTGGACCCTTGGTTTATGAGTGGCCCTTATTGGAACAAATATAACATTGAAAAGCCCATTTTAAAATACATAATTTATCTTCGGTTGAATTTCCTTAAAGATGAGTTCCCCGTGTTTATTTTAGAGTTTCACCTCGAATTTTGTTTTGTTTTGTTCAATTGCTATTTCCTAGCAATATAAAAGTTATTCACTTTTGACCGGACTTGTGACTGGACTTGTGACTGGACTTGAGACTGGACTTGTGACTGGACTTGTGAAAAGACTAGTGGTGGACACGACTACAAAACAGGCCCCTCAACCAAAAATAAATCACCTTGTGTTCACAGAAGTTAATATTTGTTTATTTTCAGAAAATTCCACCCAAGAAAGGCGTCATCAGGGGTTACTCCTACCTGACGGGATACCTCGTAAGACCCAAAGGATCCAATGCCTGTGAGATTACTTACGTAACAAAATCAGATCCCAAAGGTAAGATCAGGCCGAAATTATTGTATCCTTAATTTTTATATGAATGTTTGACTTAGTGACAGTTACGTTTATTTTGAATAATAATGTGACTCTCCAGCACACCAAAACACCCAATTTTTCAGATGCAGCCTATAATATTGCTGAAAATCGAGAACTGAAAATGCCTATAACTGCATCAGATTTTGCCAGATTCCCATATCCTGTACAATGTTGGAAAGCTTATTCCATTTCCTTTCCAATGAGCACAAAATCCAAGTTTTAAAAATTCGGTCCAAATATGTTACAATGTATCAGTGTCATTATTTATCAAAAAGCTCTTGATGCTGGTATCTAGCTGAACAGTGAAAAAAAAGTATCACTAAGAACATTTGTCAAAAATAATAATCATGTGCTGGAGGTCTCCTAATACACGTACACCGACTGATATTAACTTTCACACTAAGCCAACAAAAACAAGAATGGTTTAATTTATTAACATTATTATTTGCTTATCCTTGGCTGTGTACAACATGTCTTAATGTCTTGTCGACCACAACGGCTCTCATTCCTCAACTGTCATTGTTTCTGTTTCATCTTTTACAAAATGAAATTTCCTCACGTGTTATGATGTGAATAATTCCCAAGGTAACTTTGTGTGATATTTGTCCACAATTGCCAATGCAGAATGTACAGGGCCTCACATGACAGATGTAACGTCTGTTTATCACTTTGAGTTTCTAGAATATTGATTATTATTGTTTTTGTTTTTTGGGGCAGGTTCCATCCCATCATGGATGATCAACAAATTAGCTCACATTTTTGCTCCAAAGGTAGGTACCGTCTGAAGTAAAATTGCAGTGATCTTCCATCGTCATATTTGAGAAGGAAATTGGCCAAAATACCAATAACAGTGATTCGACAAAAGAATTGTAGATCGGATATATTAAAACCACTTGATATTTTACAGAAACCGTTGTGACAAAAGCTACCTACTGCAATCGATTGTGAGGTGTTGCCTGCACTAAGGATGCTCTTCCAGGGCTACATTTGTTCAGACAAATATGATAAATGGTTGGGAAATGTGCAGTGTCTGATAGCAATTTCACTCTCTGAAATCATAAAAAAAATAAGTATTATGTTATGATAGGTTTTGATCAGATCCTTTCATCAATACTGGTTAGTTGATTCAGGTGAACAAACCTTCTCTTAAAGTCTGTTTCACTTTCCATGTGTGATAAAATTGCATCCAATGTTGGTTACAAATTTTAATCATGATGTACATGTAATAGTTATATCGTCTGTTCGCATTATGACAGGTCGTGGACAGACTACACCAGGCGTGTCGAGACTACCCCAAATGGAAGAGCAAGCACGACCCCCGCTACAAGCCCTGGCTGTACCCGGAGCAGATGTCCCTCCCCCCGCTGGACCCTAGTGACCTGTTGAGCAAAGAGGAGTGCATTTCGGACAATTCGCTGGACGAGAGCGACATCAAGGAGGAGGATTTTAAAGACAGCGACTTGCAAGATGAAGACTTTTGATGCAAGTCAAGGCAAAATTTTTATCTGATCCAGGTGTCCAAAATTGAACCAAAAAGAGAGATAAAGTGAGCGTCTTCAACTTAGTTCGATATTTTTATACTTAAAGTAACTGATTGTCCTGTAGGTGTTTGATAATTTTGCGAGTGCGCTGAAGGTGAGGGTTGATTAAATTATTTTTTGGCCAATTTTAAAAGGCTTCCAATCTGAAGATATGAAAATATGCTCATTTTTGGTTACATGTAGGTGTGAAGTAATCTTTAGCAGCATGCGTTAAACATGTATCTGATACACAGATTCGGTGGCTACAAATGTACGTCTTCTCCCATTCATCAGCACCTTTTTTGTTAATTTTTTTTTTTATTTACTCCTCACAAAACACGCAATAGCTTACGGACATGCAATATTATATTCATCTACATAAACACCTACGTTTATTGCCTTTAAAACGGTGGTGTTTTCTACAATGTACGTCGACACACCTAACTTTGTTTTCACTACAAATTTACTTATTGTGACTGATCTTGCAACTGTGAACTGATACTCGAAAAAGTTCTTAAGAAATGATGCAAGAAGTATGTCTTCAGACTAGTTTAGATTTCATCGGAGATATTCACTCAATGATGAACTCCATAGAAGTTCAGCATGCGCATGTAGTTTGACGAGTTGAACCTATTGAGTTGGAGGAATTCAGTACAATAATAAGGTATAGTGGGAGGATCTGAATATTGCTACTTGGTGCTCCTGAATTTAATTCATTTTTTCTAGTACTAGTTGCTTCCTCTTATTCTTGTGAATGTTTCAAGGGAAAATAAGTTAGGGAGATTTTTTTTTATCGCTGGTATTTTTGCAAATATAAAACGACTGTGGGACAAGGCATTCACGTGTAAGCAGATGTGACATTTTTAAGAAAAGAAGATTCACAATTTTCTGTATATTTTAGAAATATGAAATTTCAAGATGCAAGAAAAGAATCAGCTTTTTTGAAGGTCAATGTTTATATGTATATATTTGCATACACACAAGTACTTCTTCAGTAAAAGCTCAAGATAGCTACTCTGAATACAACAAGCATAATATGCACCATGAAACCATTTTTGACCGACTTGCTGCCAAAAAGAACCTCTAAGTCAGATTGCGTGTACATTCCTTGAACGCATATTAAGGCGACATTGAAATTCCAAATAAAAGATTTTTTTTTTCAACCAGATAAGGTTTTAAAGAATCAGAGGAGTAAACAGATTGTTTACTGTTGTAGAGCTCAGTAAGTCAATTTTCCACTGCTTATAAACGACCTTTCTGTGGTAAATCCACATTAAAGGTTCATAAAATCCAAGAACTTGAGACAATACCTCGTGTTAAGTGAAACAATTCTTTGTTCTGCTATGTGTACTTTGATAGCAAGAGCACAGTACTTATGTAGACATTATTCCTTAAATGGAATCATTCCTTTAAAAATAGGATTTTGTTCATAAATACAAGTCACTTAGTGTATTTTTTTGACGGTGTACCATGAAGAGTATTTGAAAAGGAAATACACCAACTCTTTGAAACAGAGATTTAATAAGGCGTTCATTCCAATATTTTACAGATCTATTTTATAATAGGTCCAAGATGATACGTAATATAAAATATCACATGCTCACTTTTACTGACTAATTACAAACAAACAAAAATTGAAGAAAAAAAAAGTCTTGACCAAGTATTAGGGTAATTTTGGTGTTTTTTTTTTTTTTTTTTTGCTTTCAGGTAAATATACCCAAAACTGTTATGGGAATCAACCATGATCGATCAGATTAAATGATAATTTTCGCATAACATTATCAATTTAGAGAATGCAAAAGCATAGAGACGATTTGATTCAAACTTAATTTCAAGTGTCCTTCAAACAATGTTGAATATTGGAGTATAAACAAGTTGAGCAATAACACGACTTATTTATTTAAATGCAGAAAGTATTTTTTTTAAACAGGTTTACGAGAGAGATTGTATTTAGTTGCACCATAAGAACAAAGGGAATTCAGTAGACAATGACAAACATCACAATGAAACTGCAGTACATGACATCATGTGATTTCTCTGCGTTTGCTTTCTAATGAAGTTGGAACATACTCAAACAATTTGTTTTTTCACTTTTCATTTTTTTCCTGTAAGTATATTACATGTATTTACATATTTCTAAATTTAATGTGCACAATTCACCCACAATGTCAATCTTACCCCTTACAGAATTTGAATATGCTCTAAAATTTGAAAATTGCTGTAAAAATACTGTCAAGAATCCCATCTCGATTATGATGGAGGCGTTTCAGTTATAATTGTTATATTTACTTGAATTAGCTGATGTTTCATTTGCAGAATAAACCAATGCTATAAAAAAAAGTTGCTTTCAAAATTTGAAAAGTATAGCTTTGCAGGCTCCAAGGCATTGTGGAACATTGACAATTATATTATGTAGCAGAGTTGACAAGTATATTCCTTTTTCTTTTTTATTTCCCTGCAGTACTGTTTCATTTTTTTAAATAAAATAAACTTCAAAGATAAAATAAACTTCAACAAAGATAATTTCAAGACAACACCAAATGACATTCATTTGTAGTCTAACGTAATTGTTTTCAGGTTTTTTAAATTAATGTACAAGAAGCTTTTTACTTTTGAATCTGATTGTTCATTCACCACTTCAACCTCAATATGTACACGTATAATTATATTGTTGAATATTAATGGATTCAGGCAAGATCTGTGTAGTGATTTATAGTGCAGTCAAGGGACCAACACATTATCTCATTCCATCAAATATTATATCCTTCCTTATTTAAAAAGCATCTGCATTGTTGAAATATAGCATGGACAATCGGAAACATCTGGATTTATTCTGTGTGTTGTACTTACAAAAAACATTGATCTTTTATGTTGGTAAGAGGAGAGACCACTGCCAAAAAAATTGACTTTGTGTGGGGCTGTGATTGACTACTTCATTTGTTTTTAACAGAAAATGTCTATTTGTTTCTAACCAAAAAAAAAGAAAAAAAAGAAAAAGGTCCCGCATAGGGTCGAAACGTTAAGCCCTCTAATTTTGTTGATTTGTATATTTCAGGTCAATACAGTCAATTAGCATTTTGAAGCAACTTTAGTCGTTTTCATTTTCAATAAAATGTCTTAATTTGCATCCGTAAAATGTGCTTTTGCAATAGCGAACAGGGTCCTAATTGTACAAAAAAAAACATGTTTCAATTGTATAATCCAAATCGTAAATTTCTCTCTATATTTTTTAGACCCTAGCAGCTGTTCGATCATATAGCTTTCTGATATTTGGTGTTTCAGTTAATTAGTCCGTTGTGCATAGGATGGCTGATTGGCTGTACAAAAAACTAATTTGCGGTATTTTGACCCAACTAGGAAATTGCCAATTTTGTTAACACCTATAAAAATGCAACCTAACTCACAATGTTATGACATGTAATACAAGGCAATTACGTATCAATGACATCAATATACAATAGATGAAATGATAGTCACTGATGAGAAAGCCAGTTGTCTCAATACAGGGCAATATTCAGTAATTTTAAACGTCAGCCTAAGCGCTTGGCAGCGCATATCCAATCATCAATTTGGCAAAGAAGCTTACGATGCACGGTCATAAGCAATCATCCATTGTAGATCATGTTTATGTGTGGATATTAAAGACGCATGTAGGAATATATTATGCACATGTTGCTTGGTACACAAATTATGTTTTATTGGAGCGGGGTTTGAACCTACGACCTCCGGATTGCCGTTCTGGTGCTCTACCAACTGAGCTATCCAGCCCTATGTTGGTGGTTCCCTAATTTGTCAATGTCTTTGTTCAAGGGGCGCTAGTCAGAAGCACCTAATCAGTTTCTCTTTGCGATTTACAATGTTTTGAAAATTATGTTTAAATACCTATTTCTGATGTGTTTGTACATGTAATACACAATAGCTTTTCAATTTTAGGCAATTCAGCACTTGAATAACAGGTCTTCAATCTCTCAGCATGAACATGTTTGAGTAATTTATATTGCAAATGACTTTGACTAATACGAAATGTGTTGACCAAATGTCAATGTGTTAACTCTTCATGAATTAACGTTTCCATTTAATAGTTTCTACTGGGCCTCTAAATTTGACTTTCTTTGTTGGTATTTCAATATATATTTCAGTGCGGTGAACTTGAAAATAATGGTTAACTGTCCAGGGTGTTCTGATTTTGAACTAATCTTGTTTTATTCGGGAGATAGGTGCTCTTTAATTTTTGATAATTAATCTTAGACATGTAGCAGGGTTAAATTGTAAACTTAATTCGGCAGATGATTACTGGACTAATTTTCACTTTATATGCTGTACAACTTAACCATCCTTCATTTGCACGTACTAACTGTTCTTTCTGTTGCAATTACACTTTGCATTTATAGTGCCATATGCTGCTGTAATAATTAGCATACCAATTCTCTTGGATTTACGTTGCAGTAAAATATTGTTTCTGTGCCTTCTGAACTCAAGGCCTTGATTTCCATATAGGTGTAAATTACGTGTAGTTATCAAGAAAAAAAGTGTAGATAATTTACTATATTTATGAGCAATGTGGTCTTGTAAATAAAGTGAACCATGATGGACTGTGAGTCTGTGACGTGGTAGGCTTAATTCAAGGCTAATCCATTCAAATTACTTGGAATTATGTGTGTGCATATGGCAAACTCCACGTACACATCACCATAACAACTGGTTTTTTTTTAAATTTTAATAACAAGGTTATCCTTATTTAGTTTTGATGTTTTACTGTGTGAAGCCATTGTGCTATCAAATACGTGGTTGAAATATTTTCGTGATCGCAAAAAGATTGAGATTTTATGAATTTCATTGGGGAAAAAAATGAAGAAATGAATTATGAAGTGCCTGACAAAATCTATTCATGAAAATAATAAAGTATTTTGTTAGGCGTTGAGTAAATAACATGACAATATAGTAATATAGTAATCTATGTATAGCACAAAATCGCCACAACGTATTCATTAAATCAACAGAAATGTAAACTCAACCAAAATTCAAGCAATAACTGTAATTCACAGAAGGGAAGTAATAGTACATCATGGTTCACTGTATTGATTTTGGTCTCCACTTTCTATTATGCAAATTCAAATTTCCGTCATCTATTCTCCAAAAGTGTTAGACTTTGTATATAATGATGAATGAAAGAATAAAAAATTTATCAAGTTTTGCAACAAATCCATGGTCATGTTATTTTTGTGAAGAGCGTGTTACAGAATGAAGCGTTTGAGACATTGGTCATGGTACAGCATATTTGTTTGTTTTGAAAAGCATTGATTTCCATGTTACATGAAAAGTATGATTGTGATATTGATTCTGTCTGTGTTTGTCACAAAGAATTTATGAAATATAATCAGGGATAATTCTTTTTTGAGTTTCCAGGAGAAAGCATCAGAGTTGTGTGAATGCTCCAGGAAAAACAACGTTTATGACCCGAAGGCCACCTTTTGTGAAACATTCTACTCTAGCCTTGTTAATCCTCATATCCACCGTTAAACAGTATCCGTGCAATTAATGAAATCAAGTGCAAGGCTAATGCCAGACTGTTGTCCCAATGCTCCAAGCATCTACCTACGTCATCCGCTCGGCAGAATGACGTCACGTTCGCACCTTGCCTCGACAGCTTACCTTGTTTTCAAAACACCTTCCCCTGTTTTTAATTTGCGGGCGATTGCTATTTTGGGAGGCAGGGTTGCCACCGTGGGACATCAGCACAATGTTCCGGATGAGTTATTTTTAGCTGCAGAGGTTATTGTCTCCTTGAGATAATTGAGTATCCTTGTATTATATCTCCATGCACTTTGCAGCATGGAGTGGCTATTAATTGTTTTCTTGGACAATTATATACAAAAAACCTCTTTCATCCAATATCCTTTATGGACATTTTATATAGCCTTATAGGATAACCGTTTATCCATATCTGTGAATTGAAGGTATATCGTTTGTCTTTCTCAAATGCATAGAAATTGATAAGAAAGCTCCATTACCAATTCTAGCAAATCATAATTATGATTTATGTGCAACAATTTTCCTATGTGGTTAAATGTTCTCAGAACTGTTTTTTTTTCTTTAGATGAGGCATAAGTCTGACAAGTACATTTTATATCATATTCTCCTGGCACAGCTCAATGCAGTTTAAAATTCTGCCTGCAGTGAGGCACGAAAAACAAGTCGTGAAACCTAAAGGAATTCATGTAAAGTCTTTATTTTTATAGCAATTAATTAAAAAAACTTTCATTTGACCATTTGACCAATGCCATTGAGGACAATTTACAGTACCTTTAAACAAGGTCTTATGAGCAGTTCCTTACCAGGGTTTCAAGTTTGTCTTGTATTTTAGTCAAATTTACGAAAGCTATTTCCAATTATTAATCAGTGAGCATCCGATTGTGCATTTCAAAATAGTCCTGACAGTGTCTATGAAAGATGACATAAAAATCATGTATTGTTTGATGCAACATTAGCAAGCCCCTCCCTTTTGAATGTCCTTGAAAAATCGGGCGGCGGCCATAGGGCATGGCATCCGACACAAATGAAATGGCACCTCTACTCTGTTACCCTTTCAACAACTGTCACAAAACACACGGCAGTGTCGCGCACACGTGGGAACACACTCAGTCCCATGCCAGAATCAATAGGTTCGCAGTTTGGAGTAATAAAATGAGATACCTCATTTGCATAATTGATTTGTAGCCAGGCTGTCCAATCGTAACCTGATACACCGGCCCAGCTGTTCCCGTGCTCTCAAGTAAACTCTGAACATCTGTGAATCAGATATTAATGTTCTAGTTCTCACCGGAAAATGTGTATTGTATTTGTAGGTGTGTAATATTCCTTCATGATAAGGGCTACCATACTAGCATTTCCTCACATAAAATTATGCCTCTTAGTTGTTATTTAATTGGGTGTTCTGATGTGCATTACAAAAGTCACTTATCCACAGTGAATAAGAGAAGCAAGATAAATATTTTCTTGATGATCATTCAACTTCCCGCAAGTGGCGCTGAAAAAAATGTGGACAAAATTAATTGCCAAATAAAGAAAGTGAAAGTGAATGCAACTTAAAATAGGAAATCTTAAAAGCAAAGATAGAGAGTAAACAGAATCAAAGCTCTTATTATTTGGGGAGCAAAACAGAAATTGAAACCATATAATAGAGAGGATGCGTTGTTGCACAAACTTGAGTTTGAAGGTTGAGTGAATGACAACAAACAAGTGATTTATTCAGAATGACAGCCACTTAAGAATCTGCGAGTGAGCAGGCTTTCAATCGGCACAAGTGCCTTGTCCAAATGTCCTCGGCATTTTTAACATGTTGTCATCCTTGTTTTTGAGTTGTGATAGATGTTCATATTTTCTCTGTTCTTTGATTCATCTTCCTAGTGGCCTTGCTCATAATATCACTGACTCCACACCAAGTGGATCGAATCATTGTGCTTTTGCCCACTGTCTTCTTATCATCACCATGGCTACCAGAAACATAAATCAGGGATGCACTGACCCAACACTTGAGGCATGTTGCTTCCACGGCATACCCCTTCAGAATTTGAAGAAGAAAACAAGTGCTTTGTATATTTGTGACGTGGTATGTCAAAGTCAGGCACATTTGGACAAGACATCCGTTTTGAGTTATTGCAATGGTCAAATATAGAGCTTGCTCTTCCAAAATCCGCTTTGTTTTTGAAATAGGATATTCCAAAGTGAAGTTAATAAATTTTGAAATTGGACTGTCCGATATGTCAAATATGAGAAATAGGCTTTTAAAGTTTGAGTTTAGAGAAAAAAAGTACTTTGTCGATGAAATTTGAGTTTGAAACTTTTACAGAACATTTAAAAACATTAGTAGTCTGGTTTGACATACCACGTCTATGTATTTATTGAGTAATTCCTCTAGAAAATGGACCCAAGTTGGCCCCCCCCCTACCAAAAATAAAAAGAAACCAACTTATCACTGATGGCAAAATGGGCTCGTCTGTTATATTTGTTTTTGTTTTAATTTTTTATATACATGTACTATCTCCCTCAATATGTACCGTACCAACTATATCACATTGTATATCTTACCCATTTTCCAGTATCACTAAAATACAAAAGCAAAAACCGGTTCTCTCCAGGTCGACCCATTCCTATTTGATTTGTATCATAATAACTTGATGAAATATGATGGCCGAAGTACAAACCCACTTTGGCTGACCTTTTAAGAAATTGTACCCATCAAGCGAAGAAAAAACAGGATCTGTAATATTAACAGAACCCTTGTCATTGATTGCATCACGATCCGCAACGCCCCCTCAAGGATCTACCCCCTCTAGTCATAACACCTCTATTCTCTTCAGTTGGTCTTTTGAGTGATGCCGAGGAGAGGAGGATGTTATTCACGATGAAAGTTGACTTTGCATCGTCTAGACTCCCACTACTTCATGTTATTGATTGACTAAATATAACTAAAGTACACTGAAGAGCACTTTATTTTGCTTTCTATTGAAAGGAACATGAATAGGCAGAATGATGTTTCTTGTAAATTTGGGTCGTGTATGGGGAGGGAGCACGCGAAAATGCGCTTTCTTTGTTTGACATCTCTTCTATCAAGATTCTAAAAATAATTTGAAATAAAGGCTTTTATAAGAGATTTCAATTGCAAGACCTTGAGGATAGTACAAGTTATGAATGTTTCCTCTTTTGCAGCCCGAAATGTGAATATTCTGGAAAACAACTACCACACTGAACAAGCAAAATGTGTAAAAAAAATATTTATTTCAGATTAACACACACATGCTTTAACACAGTTAAGTTAGAATCTACACAAAAACTACACGTTAATTGCAATTCGATGTCGCAGGTAGAAATGGATAAAAACCAATTCGTCAAGACAAGCTTTAGGCCTAATTTGAATTTCATCCCCGGAGATAGAGGGAAAAAAAACGCTCGTACAGTCTGAAGCAGATTAATCACTTGAGCTGGCGTTTAGACAAGTGGCCAACTTAGCATCACCAATGTGCTAACTTGACTCATTATTCAGAGGCTGTTTCCGCCATTAAGGTTTCCCCAGACAATTGCGTACTGCTATGATTAAATTACGGGGATTCTTCACTGCTGCATTCAGTTTGCATTACAGTCAGATTCAGAAGTGGTTGAATTATTGCCGTGGCCAAATCTCATTTTACTTACCAATAGAAGCCTTGTGGTTAATTTTTTTGTTAGTGAAGCGAGTTTCAGATATTTTGAAATAATTAAGCAAGCATTCAAAAATTTTCAAAACTATGCTGAGATTTCGCTGAAATTTCTCTAACATCCCCTCCCCAAAAAATTAAATAAATAAATGTTTCTACAAGTATTTATTTGAAAATCACGACCTAAAATTGATAAGGTTAAAAATTCCATAAAAGCCCCTAAAAATTGTCAGTTTAAAATGTTCCTGATCTTCGCAAGCAAAAATATTATTTCAAAACCTTTCTTCCTTTCTTGGTATTCATACTTACAAGTAACCGAGGCAAATGCATACGAATCCTAAACCTTACAGTCAAGTTTCATTATCTTTATATGATGTTTAAACTGCCCACTTCATAAATACCTTGAGAGTGGGAGGCTGTAAAACCACTGAGAAAGGGTTGTTTTTGTTTCAATTTAAGACAGTCAGGTTGACGTTACTGGCCTTGCTTTTCCTCCCGTCTCTGGTAAGATTAGATTTGTCAGTATCAACTTGATTGTGTGGGTTTTCCTAAAAACATCCCTCTCTCAGTTTTCTTTTTCCTCCTCGACATTCCTAAACTCTCTTGAAAGATTCTTGACTAGTTGAGTGATTACATTTCTTTGTGGATGTTCTTTTGCTAATGTACTAGTCAATGTACTTTTACTTAAAAAAACAACAACAACTTGAACATTAATAGAAAGTATATAAAGTTAATAAGTACATAATCCATGACACTTGTATAAAAGATGGAATTCAGAATTGGAAAATAAAATTTAGTAAGTACATAATCCATGACAATCTTAGCAAAGAATCTTTGCAAAAATTGGAATTACGATGGAATTCAAATCAAAGATAACCTGCAATTTTTGAATAGGCCTGTAGCTTATTTAAAGAACAAGCAGCAAAGTATTCAAACAATTACTATAACATTACATCGCCAGAAAGTGTTTAAGGTAGAAATTAAACAGTACGGCAGATAAGTGATGGGACTGTGCCTTTGATGATACAAGCATGGCATTTGGCACACAGTCGCAGTATGGCAGCCATTTTAAAAACTTTTAAAAATTGCTTGTTATTCTACCTACACACTGTATTTGTTCAAAGGACAAATCTGCGATGGCCCTATAGCCAAATATCTTTCTTAAGACATACTCTGACTGTTTGCCAAATACCATGCTTGTATCATCAAAGGCACAATTCCCCCAAATATTTCCCCTATCCGCCCCACTAAAAGGAACTGTATCTTTTTCTTCAGTTCAAAACAACTAATTCAAGTTTCTAAATTTCAGGCAGCTTTTATGAAAAACAACAAGTGAATACAAAAACTAGAGATGGCAGAAAGACCTTTCTTCGGGTTAAAATCACAGGCAGGAATTTGTGACTGAAGCAAGAATTTCACGATTAATTTCTGGCAATGGTCATATTTACTAATCCACCAATATACATATAAAATGCACCATTATAAATAGTGAAAGACAGAATACATTGCTATGTAAAAAACATTTTTTTAAGAACACAAAATATAAGCCCTTATATTACATGCAGTAACTTAAGTACTGAGTATGTCTCAAACCAAGCTACGTCACATAGTTCCTACATGCACTGCTGGCTTGGCTAGATGTAAAAAACCTACAGAAATTCATTTCTATTTCATTCTAATTTATTTCATTTTTAGTTTTCAACCCTAAACACGTACAATAAATAGGAGCAGATGGTTTGTGTGTCCTTTATTTTATAACTAGTCGTGGTTTAGTCGAGATATAAAATTATATAGCCTTGCCCCTTTCCGGTCATACATCACTTATTAAAAGTCTATATCACTACATACTTACATATTCCAGTAATCAATATCACTGTGATAAATCATTGCCAAACACCTCATTAGTCACCAACAGCTCAATAAATGCACACACATATTATCAATTTATTTTGTGAGACAATGGACAAATATGCCCCTGTCTACATTAGGCCCCCCCAAAAAAGTCTCCGGTTTCTGGTATGCGCGCGCGTCGCCGTAGCCATGCGCGTCGGCAAAATGAAAAGGTTTTTTTTTCAATGAAAGATGATGTCTCAAAACCGCCAAACTCACTGGTTTGACTGGAATCCTGCTGCTGCATAATTTTAACATGTTTTTAGATTGGGTTATGGTCGAGAATAAGCTTTATGTGGCCTCTCTGGACTCCCATATATTTGCACTAAGTTTAGTCGGGCACCATTTGCAGTCATCAGCCGACATTTCAATGATTTGAAGCAAAAAATCAGGTAAAAAAAAAAAAAAAGCCGCGTCGCCGCACCACTTTTTGGGCAAGCTCCATACCAGAAACCAGAGACTTTTTTTGGGGGGCCTTACACAATATCAAAACATATGGGTAATTCCAGTGTTACGTAATGTCCGTGACAGAGCTTTCAAGAGCTCAGTGAATAAACCTGAAAATTGATATTTTTTTTTCAAATCTTATACATCCATCACCTAGTGATGGTCAAGGAGATTACAGACTAGGAGTTTGGGATCATTTCTCTGAATCAGTAACTAGATATCAAAACAGTTCATTGGTTCTGTCACGGACATTACACTTCCTTTCATAACGCTGGAACTGCTAAATAAGAGGAATTAAATTCACCAACTTACCAGCTGTTAGCAAAAAAAATAAAGAAATATTCACGATTTGCAAATCCATTAAAATTTTCTAATTTTGAAGGATATTTCAAGATCGGACAGTGAGGGAATTCACTTTTCGTTGTATGGATGATGTTGGGGACTTTCTACTCTCTCATAGGTTTTGTTGTAGCCTGGGATTGTAGAAAAAGAAAACCACAGTATAAGACAAACAAACAAATAACAAACAAACAAGTAAACAAACAAACACAGTTAAGTAATACAAAGATGCCATCAAGTCAATCACAAGTCAGGTCAATATACTGAATATACTGAATATTTGAATGTTCGACCATCAACCCAATATTCAAATAGCTTTTTGCCGGTTGAAATATTCAAAAACAACAAAAACTACCCACATACACACAAGAAAAAATGCCTTTAATTTCAAATCTCCTTAAAGAATCATTTGGCAACATGAACATACATGCGTGAACATTAAAAGATAGGACGGACCAATGCGCTAATATTGGTTAAATTTTTTTTTTTTTTTTAGATTAGTTGTACCTTACAGACTAACTGTCACATGAGATGGCGACTCCAGGTGAAAAAGTCACTATTTTGTCACAAAATGACAGGAATGATGATGAAAATTGGTGGTAATTAAGGGAAAGGTTGTAATAGTCAAAACTCACCAAACGGACTGTATTTCAGCTTGATGTCAATCTCCTTGACAGACTTGAGTATTTTCACAGCCTTCCAGAAACAAAACCAAATGTACAGAAAAGATTGTCACATCATAATGTAAGCATTTGAAACCACTTAAACCTGTCAGGTAACACTGAGTAGCTTAGTGGCTTTCATGTTCAAAACTTGAAGGACTAACGAGGAAGGAAGCAAATCAATAATCTAATTTTCTATACTGTGTTTAACGGTAGATTACATCATTTTTTCATTGTGTATTTTGTTTCGTTTCGGGTGCTTAAAAACTAACCTGTTGAACTTTTAGCTCGGTAAATGCTGTATATTCCGAAAAACAATATTCTAGGATCTTGATTTCAATTCATAAGTTGCCGAGTCATGTTTTGAATTGCGCCCGAAATCAACGTCCAGGACATGTTCATATTTGGCCGATTACAGCTACGCGATGTCACCGACTGAACCAACGCAATGTAGCAACCGTGCGCGCGTGTGCGTCGTGTCAACGCTTGCGCACCCCCATTTACGGCTTTGCCGAATTAAAAACGATTTACTATCAGAAATTTCCAAAACTGCATCTTTAGATGCATCTGTGGAAATGACTTTCTTTTATTGTTTTCTTAAAAATGACAGCATGCCAGAAAGAACAATTTCACAGGGAGTTGCCATTACCATCTTTAAACTGTGTATGCTTTTCGACAATAATTTTGTCAGTTTGTTTTTGGATAGCTGCAAATGACCTTTAAATTATCACTTTGTTCTCCTTGGGCCTCTATTTGGTTACAATTAGCCAAGCCACGAAACTGGGCCTTAAAGCATATCAAGGTTAATCTGAGGAGAACACCCAGTTTGTGCATGGAAAGCCATAACACAAAGGGGTCCGTAAAGAACTGGAACTGCTCTTGATCATATAGACAAATCTGGGCATACGGTCACTGTACACTCACAAGGCCCCTGCAATGGAGAAACCATCGTGGCACACCCTTATACGAAGCAACTGCCCCATGACAGATTATCTGAACAATAGCTAGCACAATGCTTTCGCCATTGAAGGGGGCCTTCAGGATAAAAGTGACAGCGTGCCCTGATTGGTCTATAGGGGCTAGCCCTAAATCTATATCTTAGGCTGCATCCGAAATCAGCTGTCTAGAGCTAGGTCTAGGTCAGCGCCCATTGAAAATACGTGGAGACGCACTGACAATAGACCTAGCCGTAGCTCTGGAAGCCCATTTCGGACACTGCCTTAGTCTTCCAAACAGATCAAGTCATTACCTCATCATGCGTGATATTGGTGAAGTCCATGCTGTTGACACTCAGGACCAGATCCCCACGCTTCATGCCTACTCTGAAAGCACTGGACTCTGGAATGACCTAGAACAGAATCAAATAGATGAGAGTAAATGAATCAGGGCTCCTTGCAGTTCTAGGAAATAATCATTGTAACTTGTATAGATCTTTTAAGAACATAACATCTGAAATATGTGTTTTACAAAATCAAGCTGTTTGACTGTGAGAGATTAGAAATATGAAGCTCCGTCTGAAACGAGGTTGTTGAGAAACCTTTGAAGAAAAAATATACTACAATGATTTTTGTTGTAATGACACTGATCTTGTAATTCTGGCGCTACTTGCACATTACTGAGTTGAGTAGCAGGTGTGATTACAATACACAAACATCGTATTTATAACTTTACAAAAAAAAAGTTTGATCCATGTTAGTTTAGTTGGAACTTTGAAGTGAATAACAACGCTTACCCTGGAGACATAGATACCACACCGATGCTCCTTGCCCCCTCGAATGTTGAAACCAAGCTGTAAGCCACAAACATAGTGAAGATAAGAGTAGTAGACAAAACATAAGAAGATACCAAAAGATAAACTATTGCAGGATGAAATGAGTTTCTTTTGCATTTCTGAAAAAATTAGCCTCTGGTTTTCCATACCTACCTTAATTTTGACAATGAATAGTGAGTGTCAGTGATCATGCTACCCATGAAAGAAACCTATTACTTCCGCTAAGGAGGTTATATTTTCATCGGATTTGGTTAGTTTGTTGGTTGGTTTGTCTAAGAAGATAACTCAAAAAGTTATGGACAGATTTGCATGAACATTATTTTTAGGGGTAGTCCTTGGTGCAAGTACAAATCGATTAGATTTAGGAAGTGATCCGGATCTGGGTCTGGATCCAGGATTTTTGTTTAAGGATTCTTCACCATTTATGCGAGTATTTCTTTTGGGTGTACTGACAATATGGCGGGGAATTGTTTAGCCTTGGCGGAGGTTCGCGCTCTCCGAGTGCTTTCTAGTTTTAACTGCTGCACTTATTTCAAACCCACATGTTGTTTTCCAAAACTAACAGATTACATGTATTTACAAGTGCTTGCAACAGCTAGCATATTATTTGTAAATTAGTCACCATCTTTTTAATCATTTCTAATTTATGAACTATGCCCTTTAATTTCATTGGAAAGAAGCCTGCAGCTGTTGCGATGCACAGCTGGTCTATGCTGGTTTCATTTTGTCAAAGTGTCTGAAATTTCATTCTATTTATAATCAGGTTTATTTGAACAGTTGTTCTCACATGTAATCTGAACTTGAGGATGGTTTAAACTTTCATATGAAAGCAAAACTGAAGTTACTTTTATGACGTCAATAAGTGTAGTGTCATTGTGATGTTCATTATTGTCCTGACAATTTCACTTCACTCTCAAATTTGGAAATGAAAAATATTAAATATATGGTTGGCTTTAATAGCCCAATCTCGGCATACTATCAATTTTATCACAAAGGCCCCTTTCAAAGGAGTAAGCACTGTGATAGCTATTGTTGTGTTAATCCGTCACAGGGCAGTTGCTTTGTGCAATAGCATGCACAATTGTTTCTCCATTGAAGGGGGCCTCCTGAGTGTACAGTGGTCACGTGCCCGGATTTAACTATAGCACTTCGTGGGGCGCTATGGTCCAATGGTTACGGTGTTCGACTCGTGTGCCGTGGTACATGCATTTGAACCCTGACCTTTGGAACATGGTGCTTGTGCTCTTCAGCAAAGAACCCAGTAACAATTGTCGCTAAGAGAAGGGGTTTGCCACGGTGTTTCTGGCAGCGGCTGCAACATGCGCCACCATGCAGCACCTAGCAAAAAGGTGCTACATAATGGGTCTCATATGTTCATATACTTCATTTACCTGTCTTTTGTTGCATTCTCCCCTCGCGATTTGTATCTTTTGGAAAAGGCGCTATATAAATTACGGTTATTATTATTATTATTTATACCAATTTCTATTAAAGTATACCACAATGGGCCTTTAGGTACACTTGTTGAACTTTCCCTTGTTGACACAATCAGTAAGTGATTGAATAGAAGTCATACCTGTCCTGAATGTCTGCTCCTTGTGAAGCGAACCGATCGTAGGAGAAACTGTGTCAAGTTGTTATCATAATCAGCATGCCCAATCCTCTGTTGAAAAAAATAAAACAAGTGAATGATCACTTCGTCACTTCATCCTGATGATACCCATCAGGAATGTTTGGTTTTCTCTGAAAAGTCAAGTTTCCAGATTCATGAGATCCTAGTCTTCCATTTTTTTGAGAGCACTGCCTTCTCACAAGGACTTTTTATGCCAAACTAATTTAGTTAAAATTAAGTTACCATCACTTAACTGTTCTATTTTTTTTTTTTTGGTAACAAAAGCAACAGTTCCTCAAAACTGCACAAAGTTTGAGTGAGGATCCGAGAAGAAGAAGAAATTCACATTCCTAGAGTTTAGAGGAAAACACCGGACTATTTCATGGAAACCAACTGAATAAAGTAGGGGCTGAAGACCGAATCCACTTGTTATTTGGTTGGGACTGAAACCCGGGGTCAAAGACATGGAAGGCACAGACAGTATTCTACTACTGCATCGTGTCCCTTCCAAGATGTTTTTTAATATTTTTGTAGTGTACTTTTTTTTAATTGTTTTTTTTTACTGTTGTTGTTATATTTTGTGTTGCTTTTATCAATTGGCAAAATAAAAATGAATGAATGAATGAACCTGACTCCCCAATAAGCAAAGGATGGGTGATTGAACAAGGATTGCAGTTTGCACACTTTAACACTTGATCTCTTCAGTTTTACACATACAGTCGAATCCTGATATAAGAAGAACACTGTTAATACAAGGTCCTGCTTATATTAAACAAGCAACATTTTAGGTCCCAAGTCTGTGTTTTTCTTTGTTTTCCTTTGTTTTCCAGTACTGTTAATACAAGGTACCTGTTATATAACAAGTCCTAAGGACCTTGTTGTAAAGGTGTTCGACTGTATACATGCATCAACATCAATGCTTCCTCTGGTGACATTTCTCTATTTTCTCCAGATTGGTGCATTTATGACTCCTTCCAAGAACAACAAAGACACCTACCTCTTCCGGCGGGATCCACTGTGGTGGGTAGTCATACTCTGGAAGCTCAACGGGGATCTGATGTCTCTTCATTGTCAAAACACGTCCTACGGCAAGTCACTACGAATAAATTCAACCAGATCAAAGCAATCAAATTATTAGGGCATTTTCGAAGAAAGTATTCGATTACTCAAAACTGTGTTTGACCGAATATTTGAATATTCCAAACTTGCCGATCAAGTTTACTGCGTGCCACGCCAATGAAATGTTGCACACAAAGCGCGCCAGTTGAAATTTGCGTGCGGTGCAGCGATCACTACTAGGTACTATGGGCTGCTTGAGTGTTTTGCAGTAAGTATTTTATAACTGTCCGCAAAGGCTTTAACCTGCTAAAACGATGGGAACAATGAACCGCAGTTGACAAGAAGTCATCAATTTGCAATCTTTTCAATGTGTTGTAAATTGTAGCCTAATACTTTCTTTTCTTTTGAAAAACCCATTTATATTAATTGCTATTGATTGGACATGTTTGATGGGCCTGGTCAGGACACAAAATAAAGGCAAAAAAAGTAGGATGCTGGTTTAATACACACATTGCAGACCCTTTACATGGTGCCCAGATGCGCTATGTCCTCGTACAATCTTGCGGGTTTTTGAGGCAAACTTACACACTAAAACTCAAACTATTTAAACACCTATCACCATGATCACAACAAACAAAATAAAATGCATGTTATTGTACAACAGCAAACAAAAAAATGTTGATTGGAATCATCACGCCTTAATCATGATTATGAACTGCTACACACTACAAAGTATATAATAAGTAGGTAAGACTATGGTAAGACCATCAACATGATCAACTAGGACAAAAATGCTAGGTAAAAATGGGTAAGTTGAGATTGCAAACAAACTCCGCCCCCTTTCTGCCATGATCAAGTGGCTGGGGTACAGCTGCAAAACATCACTGGCAATTACAGCTAGCATACTCGTTACAGAACAGATCCAGCCACGTCATATTGCTCTGTCAATGCCCAACTTCTACACCGATTACTCAAATATATAAAACTTCGGATATAACGGGGAAAATACCTCGAAAAGAATGTTGAACACCTTACCGGATCGCAATGTTCAGTGAGTGGTGAAAAACGCCGGTAAATTTGTTGTTTACATCCCGACAACAGAGGGCGCCCCATAAATCGTTCTCTTTCATCCCACGGCCCAAACATGGCAGTCGGCAAGAATAAACGACTGACTAAAGGAGGAAAAAAGGGTACCAAGAAGAAGGTGTAAGTAAAAAATATTCACAAAGTTTAGTCCTTTTGTTATTATATTTTAATATTTTTGAGGTTTCAATAATTGAATTGCAATGATTGATATGATATTCCTGGGTTTGATCAGTGGTGCGTATACATTATTCCGTGCACTAGTTAAAACATGTATTTGAACGGCAGTTTCACCCAGTAGCGGCTGTAATGATTTTTTTTTATGAAAGTGTGCACTTTTTATAATACTGGTCTCCTTTTAAGTTTTACCGCTTTTCGTCACTCAGAAAATATAATGTTCAGTTTAACCAGTTTACTAGGTTTATCATGTTATTTTGTTGACAGTTGGGTGCGATCGGTGGATCTGCGGCTGCAATCGCAGAGACATGAGAGAAAATGAAATGCACTTGCGCGATCGATCAATCTTGTAGGAAATCTCAATCGTTGAATTAAAAAGAACGCAGTGGCTATTGTTACGGCAGCCGTAACGCATTTCCCATTTTCTATCGTTACGGTAGACTGCAACTTTTATAAAAACATGAGAAGAAAATATAAAATTAGAAGGAAAAAAGTGAATTTGAACGTTATGAAATTCGGACTTTATTTCCCTTTAAAAAAAAATCCTCTAAAACCTCAGGTTAGAAAAGGAAAAAAATTTGAGTGCAAAACTGAGATGCGAACCCGCAACCTCGCGGTGCAAAATCCTACCCTCTATCGACTGAGTTGTCGCACTGCTCGCTAAAACGTGGGGAAACAAATAATTATATACTTGCGTGCGTATCAAACAATTATCGTAGAGGGCGCTAAACCGGCTGCCGTAACGATAGCCACTTCGTAAAAAGAAAAGGTGATCGACATGACCGATCGCGCAGATCAACGGATCACACCCAACAGATCCATAAGGCTGAGTCAATGAAAGTTGAATCACTGTTTTCAACATTCAACAGTTGAACATGATCTTAACTTAAAGATTGCAGAGTCTAACTAGGCCTAGGCCTACTGCACTAACTTAGGCCTAGGGTTAAAATATATCAAAATCAGCCACACAGACAAGGTTTTCTTACCATCTGGATTCCGATTGAAAGTGAACATTGTCGAATATCCCAGGGTAAAGAATGCATGGAATGTGGCAGGGGATAACCTTCCTTACAAAAATTAAAAGAATTGTCAAACATAAATGAAATTTTCCAACATTGTAGAATTGTTTTCTTGTTTTATTGCATATTAGTACACACAATCAGTGTATTATGCTTTACAAAGTTAATAATGTTAGTGTTACCAGTCGTACAAATTTGTTTTCCCCGTAGCGTGGACCCTTTCACCAAGAAGGAATGGTACGACGTGAAGGCACCTGCCATGTTCAACGTCCGGAACATCGGCAAGACACTCTGCACCAGGACACAGGGAACAAGTGAGTAATGTATTGAAAAACCAGTTGGAAAAAATATTGCAACCTGACGCCACTTCAGAGGTTGGGTACAAAGTCTATGGAGAGTCAAGAACATTTTCTAAGTATTTCCTAACAAAATTGGAAATGTTTCTCAGTCCCAGATTCATGTCTTATCATTTTTGCAATGACTGACCAGCATTTAGATGATATGTGAAGAAAAAAGTGGCATCAGGTTGCAACATTTTTTTCCAACCAGTTACCAGTTAATACCTCATGTTTCCTAAGAGATCCATACGATTTGATGAGTGACATTTTACCAGTAGCCATATGTACTTAATTCAGCTGCATCAAAAATGATGCTTGGAAAAGTGTTCAACCCTAACCCTCCTCAGTCCTCCAAAATAATCCAGGTGGTTTTTGAGTGTTGATTTATTGTGGAGGATGCATTGTGTCAAGTTTGTAGACTGTACCGTGCATTGTTTATGTTCAGCCAAGCATAATTGAGCTCTGCATTGTGCTTGATATGATTCGCAGTAATTCTGAATGTCATTGGCACTCCCTCAACCTATTAACAGTGATTGTTGGAGGATTTAGACGGATTGGGACAATGGTCACCCCTCCACTGACCAAATTTAAGAAATAACATGATTTGCGAGGATTGAGGCTGAATCCTTGTTTACATGGTGGCAATTGGAGGATTTTGCAGGATTGAGGATGATTCCTAGCCAAAAGGGTTAGGGTTAAGCCACAAACTGCCATAAATAGTTTGTGTAATTGCCTGACGTCAGTTAGTTTAGACAGAATCATTCCTAGCTGTCAATCACAATTCAGTCGTAACTAAAATCATATTTCAGGTCACAAATATCAGGGGATGACCATTTACAAAGGAACTTCTTTTACACAGTTCATTTGAATAGCTTGTCATTTGACTTAAGACTGGATGAATAATGAAGGACTTGTGATAACTCACATACGTTTCTTGATGGTTAAAAAAAGAACTGTTCCCTATTCATTGTAGCCCTATTTGTAACCACTGCTTCATAATGACCTCATCTTCATAAATCTTATTTCAGAGATCGCCTCTGATGCTCTGAAGGGGCGTGTCTTCGAGGTCTCCCTGGCCGATCTCCAGAACGACGAGGTTGCGTTCCGCAAGTTCCGTCTGATGGTGGAGGAGGTGCAGGGCAAGAACTGCCTGACCAACTTCCACGGCATGAACCTGACCAGGGATAAGTACTGCTCCATGGTCAAGAAGTGGCAGGTAGGTAGCACTCACAAAATGGTTTCTGCCCTAGAGTCCCAAAGGAAAAGTTTAGCCATGAAAACTGCTTGGAAAAATGAATGAGCAAAACCACTTTTGATATGCCACATGTAGAGTGTCAAATTTCTGAACTAACTTAGAATGCACTTACAGTATAAGCTTTGAATAAAAAAAATTTGTCAAGGCAAATGTAGTAAACGGTCAGACATTATCTGATTTCCAACCATATTATAGTTTCACCTTCTGGAAGCTATTTTATTTTGGCATTTGATAATTGTGCCCAGGTACACGAAGGCTCAAAATACTTGCTGTTTCTCAGCTTGCCAAATATTTTGCTGTGAATGTGTATATGCACATTTAAACAATTTGAAGCCGTAGTGAATATTTTAAAATGCATGTGACTGCTAACATTACTACTCTAATAATATTACTTTGCCGTCTTGTGTCAGTATTATGTTATGAATTGTTTTGCTGTGAGTGTATATGGACCTTTAACCCTAACGTACCTAAATCCATCAAAATCCACCCCCCTGTTTCGGGGGATTTCGGCGGATTCAGGATACCTCCATATTGAACAAACTGGGGGATTTTGATGGACTCAGGATTCCAAGCCTAGCGGAGCTGGCGGATTTTGATGGATTCAGGATGCCTCCATTTTGAGCTATTGGGGGACTTTGATGGATTCAGGATCTCAACAGTTTAACTCTTTTGCAATGTTTGTGGTCAAGTAAATACTGCTCAGCACTAGCCCTGACAAGTCTGTCACATACTGTACAAACATGTACACACATGTACTGGGTGGACTTGCATGGAGGGTCTCGTGCTGGAGGAAAGATACAAATAATGCGCGAAACGTGACGAACGCAACGCCGTTTACGCGCAAAGAACACCATGTGCATCGCTAATAATTATGTGTGCGCATCGCGTAAATACTCGGTGCGCATTTCTTGCTTCGCGCGTGTTGAGCTAGGTCACGTGCTGGAGAAAAGATACATTTAGCTCCATTACTTTACGTTAATTTGTTGCGCGTCTATGAGAGACAACCAAAATGGTGGAGATTTATCGCACAGTGACTGGGCGCGTGTGGACGCGCTGCCGATCTAGTCTTTTCATTCTATATCTATGGTTTACGGGCTGAAACATGCGCTAATGTCTTTCACACAAATTTTGTGCGCGAGACGTATTCACTTCGGTACTTATCCATGCTGGGGTCGCCATGCATTGGTGTATTTTGATGGATCCTATGCAACAACACACATCACAATTTTCATGCGAGCATGGTATCCTGAATCCGTCAAAATCCACCAGAAAGTTAGGTGATGGATTTTGAAGAGTCTATGGAAAAACATGCTGTATTTTTTTTTATGCCACCATGGTATCCTGAATCCGCCAGAACCCATCAAGACTTTTGCTGGTGGATTCTGGCGGATTCAGGATACCTCCAGAATCTACACTGGGGGATTCTGATGGATTCAGGATACCAGCATTTTTTGCATGACAAAATTGGTGGATTTTGGCGGATTCAGGATACTTTCTAGTAAAAGAGCCCCAGGAGTTAGGGTTAAACAATTTGACAATGTAGTAAATATATCCAAAATACATGGAACAGCCAACAACCTCATATTTTATTGGAACACCCTAATTATATAAAGTGTACCACATCACAGTATAATTTTGTGCACAATAAAGGCGAGTTTCTCGGCGCGAAAGCCGATGCAAGTTTTAGGTCCGGAAATGCCAGAATTATTCGCAATTCATACAAGTTTAGCACATTTTAATTCGGTAAAATTTCACAGGGAATGTTTCATTACCTCAGAATCGTTTCGCATTCGCTTTCGCTTGAAGTATGAACTGGCCTTAAAACCTGTTGTCCATTTACCCCTGCTACAGACCATGATCAATGCCAACATTGACGTGCGTACCACGGACGGCTACCTCCTGCGCCTGTTCTGCGTGGGCTTCACCAAGCGTCGCCAGCACCAGATCAAGAAGACCGCCTACGCCCAGTCCACCCAGGTGCGAGCCATCCGCAGGAAGATGGTGGAGATCATGCAGAGGGAATGCGGCACCAGTGACCTCAAGGATGTCGTCAACAAGTTGTAAGTGTCACAAAGACTTGAGAAAATTTTACGGAGCCGCTTATTAGAAGATGCTATATATCAGATGTGTGCTCAGCAAACATAAGTTGGGAAATAGTCACAAACAACATACTGGTAACATGTCATGCAAAGTTTGAGCAATTTTCGAAATTTGCTCCGGGGTTCGAATGACCTTGTGTAATGGCATCCCAAATCCCAATCAGGCGATTCACAATGCAGTACGCCACCAAAAGTTTGCCATGTAGAGTTAATTTTCGAGTTTACGGTCGACATTACATGGCCCATTTGAATGAGTGTCAGTAGAAAAGTTGAGCTAATTTGTTATAGATTTGGGCATAGCGTTCTGCCACCTTACAAAAAACTTCCTATTGATAAAAATAAAATAAGAGGGCAAACATATATTCGAATCATACTTTTACCAACTTTCTGGCCGGAAAAACTAACAATTCTAAATGTCCCGTGCTGCAAATTTGTCGACCATCTCCCACAATGCACTGGGAAAAATTAACTCTCCGTGGCAAACTCTTGGTGGCGCACTGCATTGTGAATCGCCCGAATTGCATATCACTTTCAAAGACAGCCGGAGTCATTCAAAAATTATGGAAGGGATGAAATTTATAAAAAATTGTGGCACAAATTCATTTCCAATAGGCAAAATTTGAACAAGTAAAAAAAATTGCATTTGAGGTTATAAAAAGATTGGTCCTGATCCAATCTGAGCTTAATCATTTACATTTTGAGACAACAGAAAATGAAATTGTGAAGCAAATGTCCAATTGTTATTGTAAATTTCTCAGTGTTGGGTGTCTGTTGTAGTCAATGCTGTGAACTTTTGTAACTCTTCAACCCCACAATGTATACACAAGCCTTGGAACTTGCGCAGGAAAGGACAGCTTTCAGCCGTTTAGTCGCCGCGGTCATATGGCCTTCTGGACATTTGGATGTTGTTGTTATTATTGTTGTTGGTGGAATTTAGAAAATAACTACATGTATAAATAAGTAAAGAATTGAGGCAATATTTCATTTGCAGTCTAGATAAGGGCATTCTCCAAGTTTTTTTTTCAGTTTACCAGAAGAAATAATGGAGAGGTTTTTCCACTCAAACTTGCATTGTTTTGTTTTGCTAAATGCTTAGGATCCCAGACAGCATCAGCAAGGAGATTGAGAAGTACTGCCAGGGCATCTACCCCCTGCATGAGGTCCACGTCCGTAAGGTCAAGGTGCTCAAGAAACCCAAGTTTGACAGTAAGTCCTCAAGATCTTTTAGTATGGGTTTTTACGAAGAACAGTGATAATTAAATGATAAATAATAAAAATAAAATATCACTGCCATGTTACATAAAATCAGTGATCATAACAAGGATGTTTTTATGGAAGCATAAAGCATTTTTTGTGATTTTGCATATTGTTATGTTGACATTTGTGTGATGTTTTTGCCATGAAAATCCAGAATGCTTTTGTGCAGTCTTTGCTTTCATTGTCTCTTTATACTTCGCGGTTACACGTTTTGTCAAAGAACAAGCTGTTTCTAGCTCTTGGGGGGAAAGGGGTGGTGGGGGTGTGTAGTTGGCTGAAGATGTTACGATGAAACATTTATGCTGGAGCTCGGTTTTATTTATTTTTTTGGTGGTACTTTCTAACGATTTGTCCATTTTTGATCTCTTCAATATAGTCAGCAGACTGATGGAACTCCACGGTGAGGGCAAGAATGCCGCTGCCCCTGCTGCACCCAAACCCGGAGCAGACGGTGCCACAGTAGAGAGACCGGACGGCTACGAACCACCAGTGGTGGAAAGCGTTTAAAACATCAACAGCTGCATCTATCACTTAACAGCGCCAAAAACAAAAACTTGGCTAAAGTCGTTATAATACGGAGAGCCCTTTTGAACTCGAATAACAACCATGAATCGTAACCATTCGCAACATAGATTATAAACCTGGAAAAGTGCAAAATATTATTTTCCTGTTTGAGCCCCTTGGTATATTGGCCAGATAGCAAGATCTCAGGTTCTGTCACAATCCCCAAGAAAGGATATTTTGGACGAGGATATCTGGCTTATATATTATTGTGGAACTGGGATGAAATAAACCAACAAAAATCTATTGAAAGATTTTAAGCCAATGTGTTCGTCGTCGTTTTTGTTTGCGTCCTTTGTGTCTCTCACTAGCTTGTCATCTTTACAACCCAAATTTGCACAGACCCAGCTTACATCGCATCATAATAATTTCCCTTGTATCTTGATCCAATTGAATAAAATGTAGATCACACATTGAGAATGTATACGGCTGGTTTTAAGACTAAGCTTGTTAATTTATTTCACATGGGTAAAGAGTTCTTTTGGACAAAAAATCTTTCTTTAGTGCAAACAAGCTGCATGTAAAACCGAGATTTATAGAGAGTATCTCGTAGCTGCCAAATATTGGTCCTTAAATCCAGTGAAAAATCATTGCACCTATGAATACCAATTATATTTTACACAAAAACCGTTGTGAAACCATCTAGAATACCTACATTTTAAAAACAATACTGAAGTTGGCAGCTAATTGTAACACGATTCAACTATATATACCTGAAAACAAAAATGACATCGCACTCTATCCAGAAAACTCTACAGCAATGAATGTGTGAATGAGCATTTGTTTTGGTTATCGCATTTTTATAATACATGTATACGCAATTTTTTTTAATTATTTTTGGACGGAAAATGTGAAAATGTTGGGTGAAAGATATGTAGAGTTTTTGAAAGTCTAATCATCTGTTTTACTCTTGATTCAATTTCATCTTGAGAAAAGTTGCCAACAGATACACAAAATATTCAACCACCGTGACACATATCACTTTCATATATTTCTATAAAAAATAAGTACACTTATATCTCTAATTCAACCTATTCTTATAATTTCATTCAACAATGTCATTATTTACAGTGATTGGAAGCAGTTCTTATGAAATTGTACAAAAAGAAGTAAAACACTTTACAAAAAGAGAGAAAAAAAAGGAAGAGCAGATAGTCAGGACTTTTTTTAAGCTGATTGCATATTAATTTACAAAGAAGGGTTAAATTTGTACAGATACCAGCTACATATACATATGCATTCTTAGTATATAAAAAACTTAATAGTTTCATACAGCAATTGACAGTCTGACAGCAAATCGATGTTTGCTTCATGATAGACAGTATCCTTAACAGCAAAGATGCTACTTTTGCACATAATGACAACAACATGTACATGTATGTTAAGCACTCCACGGTCAAACTTAATTTATACAGAATGGTTGAAGTCTGTCACTTTGAAACTTTGTTTCAGCCTGTAGGGGATCTACAGGCAAATATTGTAGAAATTCAGGGAAGATTTTGTTATAGGGATGCCTTCCCCATACAGAAGAGATTTTGTGGAATTCATAAAAATGTCATTTTCTGCCTCTTCGTTTTAACTTTTCTATTCACCTTCCATTCTTAAACTGGTACGGTTAATATGCAAAAAGTGCCAGTAACAAAGGTCAACACTTTTGGCCATAATGGGTGCTCTGAGATCGTGAATATCATTTTTTGAAAGACTTCGCACACACAACTGCCACAGTACACAAATGAAAACGCTCAACAATTTTAGGAACGGATGGATGCTGCAGAGGTTGGCCTGCTCCTCCCACGATTGCCTCCCATCATAGAGATCTTGTCCTTGAATTCGGCAATCTCTGTCCAAAAAAGAAAAGAAAAAAATATGAGATATTAGGTATACAGGGTTCGAAATTAGCAGTAGCCCGCTAGCCAAATGCTAGTCAAAACAGCGGCGAGTCAAAAAATTATTGGGATACGGCAAAGATGAACGGACAGGAAGAAATAAATCATTAAATTCAGAAAGAAAACCTCATCAACTTGTGCCAATTTTATCAACTGTTTTGAAAGGTTCCATTATTAGATCGATTTATTACAAACTCTGTCAAAATTTGCCTCAGAATTGAGCCTGAAAATACGCCATTTGCTGGCTAGTGAACAAAAAAGTTAAGGTCGAACCCTGGGTATAGGAGCCCACTTCATGGATTTGCCGAGTAGAAAATAGTGCTCAGCATATTTTATTGGTCAGCAAAAAAACAGTTAGAACCAGTCATGTGCAATATACATTGTGTGGCATTTTAGCTGGTAAGCTGCTTTTGCCCTGAAAAATGTCTGTTCCTAGTAATTTTAACCTGAGTATTTGCGTTGGATTTAGTGCCATTTCATGTCAAGATTTTGATATGACAAAATTGCGGGACAAATGTCTAAATTTTGTTTGCAGATTGCGAACAAGTCAAATGAACTTCTTTCAACTCGTATTTGTACTCCTTTTTTCTGATTCATGTCACGTTCCAAACTTCTTTCCTTGTTACCCTGTACACATACCATGTTTGAGTGCCTGGTTCTCCTGTTCCAGCTCTGAGTTGCGGCTTGACAGGAAGACAGCATCTTGGATAGCATCCTCAAGCAGGCTGCGATAACGCTGCTCTAAGGCTGCCTTCTGCTGCTCAAACACCTCACGATAGTTGCGGAAGGTCTGAGGAATGAAATAAGTTAACAATCAACCCTTCTCCATCACTGTCATGGATGGCGCGGATAACCTGCAATACTTCAGAAGAATTTTGTTTCTGTGAACTTCAAACCATTTTGGACAACTGTTCTTCCATTTGAACTAAGATTGGCCTTAGTTTGGGGACGACAAAACTGAAATTGTATCCATATTTAATTGATTAACCATTTACATAAATTCAGTTGAATACCATGAGGCTGTCGTCCTTCCTCCGTCTCCACTACCCCTTTCTCTTTGTGCTCTGTATTTCTCAATGTTACTTTACTTCAGGATGAGGAGAGTTGTGCATTCTGTTCAGAAACTGTAGCTAGTGCCATTCCTTTCTTGTAGCTTCACGATTTAACCCAGTAACAAGAGCCAGAGTGTAAGGGACATGTTGCCTATGTGCACAGGTTGGCACACACACACACGCTGAATGTGCATGAACCTATCTCTGAGTGAGAGGAATTCACCTGAGCACTAGTGCACAGCAGTAACAGTACTTGTGTCTTTAATTATACACACTGTTAAGTGTTGTTTGGAGCTTTGCACGCTGGAATGGCAAGTAGGGAAATAGCTTTGCGGGTGGGTACATCATGGTCAAACTTCTTTTGCGAGGAAGTGTCGGTTCTGAAGAGAGGAAAATTTCGCTTCAACTTTGCGCAGTAGTGTACATTTTCGCCAACTTTATTGTGTGTGCTGTGTTCTTTGGGGTTGTACTGGTGCACATAAGATCTTAGCATATTTGTATGTATACGTTACAAGGTACCAGTCGAATCCAGAATTGGGCGTGTGCAACTTTCAATAACCAAAAAGACTTGAAGGATGCCCATTTATTTTAAACTGTGGATGCAGAAGTTAAGACAAATGTGATAGACCCCGAACGAGCAAGGAACACAAACCAAGGAGTTCCTCCATGAACACACACACACATGACTCTAAGAACACAAATCCGAATGCTTGCAAGACCATGGAATGACTTGACCCACAGGAAGTGTTACATAACACATTCTTGGGTGTCCCTCACTGTGTTATTAATGGGCTTGGTAGACTTTAGAATACAGCCCGAGGAAAAGTAAGCACAGCGGACACATGGGCATGAATCGTGCTCATGTAACGTGCACTGTAACGTGCTCAATTATCCGCCGAATCCACCCGGAGAAGCAAGCACGCCGGAGAAGTGAGACCGTGACACCGGTGGTGAGAGTAAGATCTCGACGTTTCGAAACGGTATACTCTGTCAATCTCCCAGAGTCTCCTGCAAAACTACTTCCTTACACTCTTTGTTATTTTCACCCTGGAGGGGGTACTGCAAAGAATCCATCCAGCCTAGCTTACCTGGAAGTGTTGTAACTGTTGTATCTCCATCTCCTCTCTGTGTTTAGTGTACGCCTCGTTCAGCTCCTGGCTCAGGAGACCTTTGACCTCATCCAGGGCCTGCAGCTGCATGGTCACCACGCGGCGTTCCTCCCGCTCCTTGACTAACTCCATCTCAAGCTCGATGGATTCCTCCTTGCTGTATGTGTAGCCTTCTGCAGCTTTTAACTGGTCAGACGAATAAATTGACGAGTTAAAGTTGGGCAAATTTTAAAGAGGTTGTGGAATGCTCGAAGACATTTCTGTCATTTTTCGGGTATATGTAGCCTAAGGTGTGATGAAATAAAAACGACTATTGTTTCTGTCATGAAATGAGTACAAAAGGTAGTTTTGAGAGCTGTTTTTCAAGTCCTGTCATGCCTGTTTCGACCCGAACGTGCAATTTGTGTAAAAGTCGTCGTTGCGGGCAGCAAACAAAACACAGTAAATCGTGACGTAATAAACAGGACTCCCGATGCAGAGTAGCATAAACGAGTCCTGTTTATTACGTCACGATTTACTGTGTTTTGTTTGCTGCCCGCAACAACGACTTTTACACAAATTGCACGTTCAGGTCAAAACAGGACCTGAAAAATAGCTCTCAAAAGTACCCTTTGTACTCATTTCATGACAGAAACAATAGTCGTTTTTATTTCATCACACCTTAGGCTACATATACCCAAAAAATGACGGAAATGTCTTGGAGCATTCCACAACCTCTTTAGGTTCAGAGTAGAGTTATGATTTGAGAGTATTTCTGATGTTCCAAACATCAGGCATGCAACTGGGAATTCAGAAAAAACGAGGAAACTCCAAACCACACAAGACTTTGTACAGTGTTTTTTTTCAATTAGTAGTGGCATTCGTAAGAAGTAAAAAAAATGAGGAAATCAGCGAATCCGAGGAAAAGTTGCATGCCTAAAACATAACCTTATTATCGAAGAAAATAAAATCAACTTCAGTGTCTGATGTAATTTATGCTCTTGCCTGCACAAAACGGACACTTTTCCCAGATTCTCCTAATGAAAACTGCAAAGAGTGGCTGCTTTGTATTATTTCAGAAAATAACAAAATGAATATAAGTTGTGCCATACATGCAGATTTGTATCCATTTTATTTCTGATTAAGCACCAAAAACAAGGAAAAATACTCCTAAAAAAGCCTGTTTTAACAAATTAATTATCATCATAAAGGAACAAGTTGTGATGATAAGTCTTCATCCTAAAAACTAATATTATTAATAAAACATGACATGACAATTTGAAATTGTGTCTTAAAATTTGCTGCTTTTTTTTTTAGCATCCCACATCCAAAGTCTATCTGTAGTAGTATGATTCCTGTGGTTCTTCACCCAAATCTACATAGGAGTCTACAGGGACGTGAACCCAAGACAATATTTTCCCTGCCATGTAGCCCGACCTGTATCTCTGCTTTCTGATGGTCCACCTCCATCCTCATCCTCTCCAGTTCATCCTCCAGCATGTGCACGTTTTCCTGCTCCTTGCGTTTCCTCTCCTCCGTCTTGGCCATACGCCACAGCTCAGTGTTGGTCTGCAGGTCAGAGTGCTGGCTACGCATATCCTGAGTGCAATCAAGTTAGATTCAACTGTCACATAAACGCCTCCGAGAATGATTGTGATATTATTCTTTGAATTTGATTTTTTTAGGCGGACTTCAGATAAAGTCTATTTCTGTTTATGGATGACTTCCACTAAGTATATCTGCAGCTCAAATTCCGTCTCAACTTCTCAAGAATTGTATGCATGCGCTGACTTGTTCATTTATGAATCTTGATAATCATAGAGTATGAAGAATTCCCTGAACTTGTAATGTCACTGTTTTCAACATTTACTGCCTTTCAATTACAACCCATTCAATTGTAAGCAGAAGATGATGTTCTACAAAATTAGATATCTTCAGGCATTCTCCTGGAGACAAACAAAAACACAGTGTTCAATTTAACCAGTTAAGGCCTGTAAAACTTTCAAGTTTTGTAAATGTGAAAATGAAAGATGCCAATTTTTTGTCCTTAAAAACACTTTTATCCCACAAGTTTTACACTATTTCTTTAAAATATGTGAAGCAGACATATCCAAGATTACAAATATCAATAAATTTGAAAATAGAAGAAAAAAAATTATCCCCATTCCATTTTGGCATTTTTCTCCACTACGATCTGTGCCCAGTTCCAACTCATTTTGCCACAAACCTTACATATTTCATGAACAACTAAACTGTTTAACATGCAAATAATGACTTTTTATGTCGATTAACACACTGAAATACTGAAATAGTCAAGCAACAAATAATGAAAGTGATGATAACTGACCTCTTTCTCCCTCTTCTGTCGATCCTGCAGCTCCTTCAGACCTCGCTTGACCTCCTTGAGATTCTCGCTCTCCTTCTTGACCTCTTCCTTGAGTTCATGGATGGCCGTCACCCGAGACTTGGTCTCTGCTTCGTTTGCTCTGCCTGCAAAGAAGGAGTGTTCAGGATTAGAGTGAACGGAGGTAAACAGCCCAAGGGATGTCAACATTAATATTATTATAATTATTATTATTATTATCATTAATCATTTCTGGTAATGAAACCAAGGATTCCTCAAAAGTGCCATCTTTCTCACTGAAGTCCTTGTGTATTTTTGTAAGGACTTCATTACAAGCCCAGCTTACAATTGTCACATGCTAAGTTACAAAGACTGGTTAAAAATGGACTTTCAATATAAGACTATTTCTGAAAAAATAAAACTTGAATGTGATCATGTACAATCAGCTTGAATGTGATCTTGAACTTCTGAGTAAGAAGTCTATATGATGCAGAGAAACCTACCACTTTCAGCCATCTTGGTGTAGTCCATGATCTTGAGTTGTAGTTCATCCTTCAGGTTGTCCACCAACTTGCGTCTCTCTTTGTACTCGTGCTGAAGCTGAGACAGCAAATGGTACACATTTTCTTGTATAAGCCTTAAATCTTATTCAAATATAGATTTTTTTTTTAAATTTAAAGTTCATTAATTTCATTTTGTGAAGCTGTTTTACAGCTTCAGATGGAAGCATTGCTCAACATGAGTTGAACAAATTGTCTGTTATAAATTTAGAAGATATCCACAATACACATAAAGAGTGAAAAGCCTTAGGCGGTGAGAAATTCAAATGAAAATTTTACTGACGTAATTTCTAATTTTAAAGACGACTGAGTAGACGTACCTGATCCTTCTCCTTCTGCATATATAGAACTCTGTCCTGGATCTCTTTGTTTCCCTTCCTCAGGCTGTCCGCCATCACCCACTGCATAATACCCTGTCCAAGGAAAAACAAGATTTATTAAGACAAATTTTGATTGAGTCTGTGCGCTTGTGATGATAAAAAGATCAAATCTTGTATATCTGTTGAACTCAAGGGACTTCATGACCCATTATTTGTTCTGTTTCTGGAACATGAAATCAAACAGTTCAAGTCTGAAGTTCAGAGTATTTCCATTTGGTTTAAATTTTAAATGCTTCTTAATGAGTCGCGCCAAACAGAAGGCTGTAGCAATAAACAAAGTCAATGTTTTGGAAACAGCCTTGGTTGTAAGGAAAGCAACTAACCTTCTTGGCTAGGTTGAGTTTCCTATCCTCCTCATACTGGGCTGACATCCTCTCTTTCCCATCCCAAGTCTGGCTCTTGGCTATCTGGAGATCCTTGATCAGTTCCTGCAAAGAATCACATCTAATGTTCAGTACGGAGAACCTTTTGTCAAGCATAATTTGTGCTTTTAACACTGACATGGTAAAAACTGCAGAGCTATTTCAGGGATTGCGTCAAAATACATAACAATGCAAGTCACTTGGGCCAATCGGTTGCATATAGATCCTTCCTGCCAATCCTGCCTGTCAATCAAACAGACCCCATTGACCAATCAGATCTCCAATCTGGGTCAGGTGACCACAGTAGCTTGGTTAAAGTCTGTCACAAAATGTACACAAAAAAGGTGGGCGAGGTTAACGGCTAAATCTGGAACATTCCATTTCACTGGCATAGGTTTATTTTGACTAGCTGGTGGGATTTTACGTTTTCTTGTGTATAAACTTTCTTGAAGAAAACAAAATAACAATGATCTAATGGGTTGACTCACCTGCATGCGTAACACGTCATCCTTGCTTGAAGCTTCTGTTAAGCTGCTGCCTGTCAGCTTCTCACGAAGACGTGAGATCTCCTCGCGAAGTTCATTCATCAAACGCTCACTGTCATCCTAAAACAGAAAAGTCAAGAGAATGCACATATTCAATGACTGCAGTTTTTTGGCAATTTACGTTCAATAGGGCATTGTAAAGAGCATTGTATCATATTTAAAAATTACATTCTCAAAAGATTGTCATGCTTTCCCTCAAATGTAGAATTGAAAATAATCTAAAGTAAAAAGCCTCATTGAATGATTGTACTTTTGGCAATTTACATTCTTCAGAAACCACACTTTTTCCGAAATTGCAATTTATGAAGGCTGCTGTCATACCCTTCCAAAATAAAATAAAATAGAAAGCTAATTCGGTTTAAATTCTTACAATGTTCTTCTTGACAGCGTTGGAGATGTTTTTGCAGAACTGCGCATACTGGAATGTAGTCAACGTCTCGTCATAGCTGGAGTCTGCAGGGGAGGCCAGAGCAAACATCACGGTGAAGGAATTGCCTCCAATGGCATCCTGTGACAAAAAGTGAAACAACAACCATTACAGTAGATAATAATTGGAAAAGCGCAAATATCCACCAGTATTGGTGCTCAAGGCGCTACATCATTATTACCCTGCTAACCGGACCAATGAAGTATTCCACGTACCATCTCAGCTACCTGGGGAGTATACAGCCATTTCGGTGAAACAGCTAAAATCAATCACAAAAACCATCTCTGCCCTCACAGGTACCCATTTACTCCTGGGTGGGGAGAAGCAATGAGTGACAAAGTGCCTTGCCCAAGGGCACACGGACCATAACCTCAGGCTGGACTCGAACCCACAGTCTGCAGAATTACCCCAGACCACAAATTCAATGCTCCAAACAACAAGGCCACGGCACTTAGATGAAATGTGTTGTTGTTTGGGGAGCAAGCATGTGTCCTTCTCGAAAAAATACCCTAATATGTCAAACTTGGTTACTGGTGTAGAACGGACTCAGGCAAGTCTCACAAATCGGGGCTGCTCATCTGTAGTACATACCAAATCATCTGAAGTAGTCATTTCTACTTCAAGTCACGTTAATTCATCAAAAACAAAGAAAGTATGAACGTAAACTTACATCAAAGGCAGAATCGGCAGTGTCGATTTCTCATACCAAATCAAACCTGTGATTTGCAGCTGTGGGTTTTTTACCCTTAAAAGAGCAGTTTCTTTACAAAAGAGAACTTACCTGCAGTAGTCTGGTGATCTTTGAGTCCCTGTAAGGCACATGACCTCCCTTCTTCTTAGGGTCACCAAGTGCAGAGATCACATTGGTCAGGGAAACCAGACTGCAATAAACAACAGGTGCATGTATAAACAAAAATGGCCGATTACACGGGAGACATTGGTTTCTTTCTCCAGGATTATGGCCAATCATTGACAATCAATGAATCGAATGCAGCTCTTTTTTGTCAGTGAAAGAATATTCAGAAATTTTCTCGAAGCTAATCAAGTCATTGACATTTGATTCTTAGTATTTTTGTACAGTCTGAAGTGCCAAAACTTGAATATTGACTTTAGAAGTTGCTGTTGCCAAACTTACCTTTTATCTTGGTTCTGCACGCCTTCAGATCCTGAAAATTACGAGAACATATTTTTAATGGTTATCCAAAGAGAATTATAAATAGTGGGAAACAGTAAGTTTTATAGTTCCATTTTCCATAGTTTTCATTTTTCATATTTGATGAGAAAAAATATACAAGTGATAAAAATGATATATTTGAACGTCTTTCTCAAAATTTAACACAATACTGTCGCAACATTTGTCAGTACACATAACCCCAGTGTTAACGCCTAAACTATGGAATGCCTTGGTTGGTTTGAATATACTTACCTGCTACATCTACCACTGCTATCTTGCTCCTCATACAGTGGGCTCCATCCGCATCCTTGTGCTCAACAGTGATAGTGAAGATACAGTGTGCCCTGGAGGAACGAGAATTCATCATGAACGTGGTTAGTTCTCATCGTAAGGAAATTCAATCTACCTATAAAGACCATCCAATGGTTTTGGATGAGCAAGCATAACCAAAAGGTAAGATATGAAGCTTTAGTTGATGGTGTAGCAAAATATGTAAGGCTTATAAAAAAAATGGTTCTGCTTCTGGTTTCCCTACCTACCCTATTCTGACAGCCCCTACCCTAATTATTTTATGGGAAAAATTAGAAAAAAACACCCAAAACCATCAATTTTAAACTTTTACCCTTGACTACACGCAGACGCCTCCATATGATCGTACACAAAAAAATTGGCCCCCCCAAAAAATTTCCTGCCTACCTGCCCTATATTCAAATGCCATGTAATCAGAAGAAGAAATATTTTATTTGTTTGGCCTGGTTTCAAACAAATCTCTTTTTGAGCTATTTAAAGGCTGTTTGAAAAGAACCTGTGCGTAGACAACTCTACCCATGAGTCCTTTTCAAAACCACATTTTCATAACTTGATTGATAAAAGCCAAAGAAGATTTTTTTTTTATGATGCTACTGCAAACCTTCCATATTTAAAGGGATAGTTGTAATCCTTTTTTTTTATCAGTAACATTTGTAATATCAGTGAACTTTTAATGGTTGCAAATCAGTCACAAAAGTCCTGTTAAAATAAAGTTACATTTTTTGCATGTATATAGAGTGCTTGTGTTTAGGCCCCCCCCCCAAAAAAGTCTCCGGTTTCTGGTATGGAGCTTGCCCAAAAAGTCGTGCAGCGATGCGGCTTGTTTGTTTTTTTCACCGTTACTTTTTTTTCAAATGTCGGCTGATGACTGCAAATGGTGCCCGACTAAACTTAGTGCAAATATATGGGAGTCCAGAGAGGCCACATTCTCGATCGTAACCCCATCTCAAAACACGTTAAAATTGTGCAGCAGCAGGATTCCAGTCAAACCAGTGAGTTTGGCGGTTTTCAGACATCATCTTTCATTAAAAAATTTTTTTTTTCCATTTTGCCGACGGGCATGGCTACGGCGACACCCGCGCATACCAGAAACCGGAGCCATTTTTTTTTTGGCCTTGTGGACTTTGCTATCAGCTTTTTATTTTCAGGAAGTTTTGTTTTTTCAAAGGTCTGAATGGGGTGTCTTTTCTGTCCTACTGATTGCTGCTAGGAATGACAGACTTACCTTTCTCTGTGTGCCATGACAACAGACGATCCCATCTTCCGTGCTCGGGTTCCTTGGTCGTAATACTTGGCAATATCCTCACCGCTCTTGCACACCAACTCGGATAGTCCATCCACGAAACTGAATCAAACACCAAACAAATTTTAAAATTTCATAAAATACAAATGGTTGCTCAATCAAGTGACCAATTAATCAATTACTGTTATACTACTGTACTTCAATTGGCAATATCCCCGACAAACTTCAATCCTGGATTTGATCAACAAGTATGAACAAATTCAAAATCGTATTCTTAGTTTAAAAGAAAATAAGTTAGTTCCAAGGTCGATTGTTGTACTTTATATTGTATTTTTCTAAAACTGTGAATGTTGCTGTTTTCTCACTTATTTTACTCACATTCCAGCTTGAGGGTGCTGCCTGATTTTCATCGGATTACTGTGTGGGTTCAGCAAATCCAAGAAATTGTCGTCCAAAATCTAGAGATGGAGAAACAAAAGAGGTTCTTTGTAACTGTACAATGACTCTTAGTTTAGCTTAACTAGGGAAGTGCACCAACTTTTGAAAAGCAGTTTTAGGGGCTTTGATGAAACAAGAAATTTTTAAACATCATGCAAAATATTTTTTCCCCTTTTTTCCCCAATAAATCCTTTGCCTTTCCAATTTGCTTGTGTTTTTTTTCAAAGCAACCTTCTATTGAACTTGGGACGTAGATTAAAAGCCATCAGATCAGGAATGTACTGCTCTTAGCAATACATTAAACTGCAATATTGATAGAAACATTTTAAAAAGTTATTCATGTAGTCACAAGTGATTTACTGCATACCTCCACAAAAGAGACCGAGACAAAGAACATCTTGGATGATTCATCGATGTGCTTGAAGAGGCTACGATTCAACTGCAAGGAGGAAAAATGTAATACTGTTTAAAGATTGGAACAAGCGTGATCATGATCTATGTCCAGAGAGTATCTATCTGAAAATAGATTAATTTTATTTTAAGCAAAAATATGGCACTTTCATTACTCTAAAGTTTGAAAACAATGAACAACCAAATTTATCATTTTCATTGCAATCATGGTGTAACCCAATCTTGTTACTGTTAACTGTTTTTCAACCTAGTAAGACTTTAAATGTTGCAATGCTTGAAGGTAACAAATAAAAGTATCAAGTCAAGTAAATGAAGGTTTCAGGTTTATATCCGTACTATTACAAAGCCAGTAAAACACAAGAAAATATAAACCCGACTTAAAATAACAACATGGGGAGGTCAGACAATAAGCCGAAGCTTGTACTCATTCTGCCCCCTTCGCAATTAGTCTTAGTGAATTCTTTAAACAAGGCAATGACGACGTCTCACCATGGTAACGACGCCAGGATCTTCCATAGTCCCTGACAGCAAGTGAGTCTTTCCACTTCCAGTTTGTCCAAACGCCATCAGGGTCACATTGTATCCCTCTAGGGACTTCTTCAGCAAAGGCTCCACCTGCTCCTTGTAAATCTGGCTCTGAAATAAAGACAAAAATCACAAGGTTTCAGATCTCCATTTGGAATATTATTGTTGCCAATAATATTCTGTAGCAATATAGATAAGATATGTTCATATGTAATTTAAGAGTAACTCTTCCTGCTTTTTTGGTGACATTTTGTTCGTTTGAAGCAACAAAAGAGTTCAAAATCTAATGAAGGATACTGAGCAACTAACCTGATAAAGTTTCAGCTAAGCTTCAGCTGTACATTCCGAGAAAAACAGCATTCTAAGATCTCAATTTCAAATCAAAAGTTACTGAATCATGTTTTGAATTGTTTTGAATTGCAGCTATACGCGACGTCGCGCACTGATCCGACGAATTATAACAACCGCGCGCGCGTGTGCGTGGTTCCAATACTTGTGCGCGCTGCGCTGAATAACAAAACGAACTACTAATTTAAATTTTCCTACGGTGCTTCTTAAGAATCACCGTTGGAAATGCCTTCTTTCGTTGATTACTTCAAAATGACAGCTTCCCAGAAAGAATAATTTCACAGGGAGTTTAGTTCCCTTACTATCTTTCAACCAAGTTTGTTTTTCAACAATAATTACGCCAGTTACTTTTCGGATGGCTGCAAATGATGGACTCTAGCTTTAACTTACAGCTCTAACGTCCCAGAAATAGCTTGCATCAAATGTGAAAGCACTCTCCTGCAGGAAAAAAAAACAAGCTTTATCTGTCATTGTTCTCTTCAATTATTGGGAAAAGACAATGAGCAGCGGTAACACAACAATTAAAACATTGCAAATGAGAGAGTGAGAGACATATTTATTGCTTCAAAGTTTTAGTAAAATATTACTTACCTTTCCAGTTCCTCCTTGTTGGGGACTCTGTATAGTCGTCTTATCCCCCGTCATCTTCACGATCCTGGTCGCCCCTTTGCTTTGTTCTGAATCTATGAAGGGACGGCATCGGGCCACCACCTTTATACCAACCTTCTCGGAAGACTACACAGGACAGAGAATGAACACAAATTGACTTAATACACAATTAATCAGTGCTGATATGGATCAATATACTGTTTGGAACAAAAAAGTGTCAAGAGTCAAGAGCAAGTTAAAAATGGACATCCAAAGTAACTAAAAAATCAAAGAATTATACCTACCTGCTTACACATAACCCTTTTGTTATATGATAGCTACATTAGTGTTGCACCAGTTTTATAGTGCGCTGTCTTTTTCTTTTTCAATTAAAATATTTCAATTAAAACTTTGTTGTTGTTTTTTTTTCAATGTAAGAATTTATTGATTCTTCAACATTTACATGTCATTTACAATCTTGACTTCGATGGAAATTGTAATCTGAAAATTGGGGACTCCTAATTGAATTTTTGGTAGCAGGCCCTAAAAGTTGTTAATCTTAACATTTAGGACTAGGCCTTGGCCGATTATTAGGCCTATGGCTCTTTTTAATTTTAGCTGCCTATGATATTTAATTTAGGCCAAACTTAATTCTGATTTTGCTTTATAAGTTGCGTCAGAATTGATGACAAAAAAGGAACCATGTCTACATTATCAACTTCTTTTGTAAGTCAGGCCTATCAAAGTATCATTTACCAAGTTGTGACCTAGTTCTGAGAGAAGGAATACGCCTATGTTGTTTTATACCATAAATCATAACTAATGTCACACCATCACGCTCAGTCACACCGCAAGGCACATTTGTCCGGAAATTGGGCTACCAGCTTCAAGCCTTGCATACGAGGAAAAATTAATGGTATTTTTCACGGAAGAAGGCTTATCAACAAGTACTACTTGAGCTCCCTCGTTAACCTTACCATTTTTAAACGATCTTGTCAATTCAACGGTATTTTTGCCGATTTATCTGGTACTTTTTAAGTGACGAAGGAAGTAGTTTACACTAGAGCCTGGCAACTTGTGACGTCAATGTGCCACTTAATTATGCCTCGTGCAAAATGTTAAAAATGTATTTTTTTTTAAATTTTATATTTGAATATATAAATTAATTTTATAGTTTTAATTAAATATGAGGAAGATGAATGTATTTTATATTCTTTCTTTGTCTTAAATTTTTATTTTTTTAAGCTCATAACATAAATGATAACAGCACGAATTCGATCGAGTTACAAAAAAAAACAAAATGGCGACTTGCACAGTGTGATTTTGTGAATGCGCGTGAAAAGATTCCGAATTGCGACTGGTTTTAGGGTCTATTTTACTTACTATAATTGATAGTCTGCACGTTTTATCTAGAGATCGAGGCGGTATGGAGGTGAGTTGTGCGTTTCTGCTTAATACCAGCACATTAATCTCCGGCTAAGATAATGAAATCTAACGTTAACTCGTCTACGCGTCTGCTCGTATCGCACACATGACGTGAATGATAAATCATACATACGAATTGGAAGTCAACTCGCACCTGTATCAAATCGTACACACAATATAATGAAGTCTGTACTACTGTTACTGATAAACTGTTTTACTAGGCTTATCCGTGTTTATTCTCAAGTGTCTTGTATTGGATTTTGGGAAGGTTATGGTTAAAGAATAAAAACACGATTTTGACTCAATTTGAGCCTGAGTCTGAGATTTATGAGAATAAATATTCCAAATTCTGTAAAAATGGTAGCCTTTAATGTAGGCCTAGGCCCTAAAATTCTTGGAAATTTTCCCAACACTCCCTGCCGGCCATAGTAATTAGTACTCCTAGAACTATTGGGCTCCACGTAGTGGAGCCTCATAGAGTCAGAACCCCGCAAAATTGTTGTCAGCACAAAACACTAATTAAGTACAAAAACATCCATCCCAACCAAGCTTTTTCCCACAGAACCGCTGCACAGTTTGCCCCTAAACTCCGTACAATACCTCATGACATACTCACGTTATGTGCACCCAACAAACATCGGTGGATTCTGTCTGTTTTTAGGCCAAAAAAAATATGCCCTTTCCACACTGAGCCAACGTGACACTTGAAACGTGCACGCGCGCAGAATGATCGCAGTCATTTTCGGTTCGATCGCTCGGAGCGCGCCGTGGGGGGTACGTACTTGCACTTGTACGCATGCGCATACTATCGTTCCGCTCCTACACCATGCCATACCCCCCGCGGCGCGCTCCGAGCGATCGAACCGATGACTGCGATCATTCTGCGCGCGTGCACGTTTCAAGTGTCACGTTGGCTCAGTGTGGAAAGGGCATATTTTTCATCATTTTGGCCTTAAAACAGACAGAATCCACCGATGTTTGTTGGGTGCACATAACGTGAGTATGTCATGAGGTATTGTACGGAGTTTAGGGGCAAACTGTGCAGCGGTTCTGTGGGAAAAAGCTTGGTTGGGATGGACGTTTTTGTACTTAATTAGTGTTTTGTGCTGACAACAATTTTGCGGGGTTCTGACTCTATGAGGCTCCACTACGTGGAGCCTCATAGTTCTAGGAGTAAGTAATTAGTATTTGGTAAGGAAAGAATGTAGTATCCTGATGCCACATCTTTGGTTGTGTACAAAGTCTATGTAGTGTTGAGTGCATTTTCAAAGTATTTTCTACATGTTTTAACAAAATTGAAAATATTTTTCAGTCCCAGCAGATGATTAATGTCTTTTCAACATTTTTGCAATGACTGACCTTCATTGAGATATTAAATAATATGATGAAAGAAATGGCGTCAGGATGCAACATTCTTTCCTTTAGTAATTAGGCCAGTATAGACTTTATACACCAAAGCCAAATGATATCACAGTCTTTCAAAAGTAAGTGACGCTGAAATTTATCTGAGCAGTTCACACCAACATTTGTTACTGCTACATGTATTATGCTATGATTTTTATTTTTACATTTTGACCCTTTTTACTATTCCAGTTTAGTTTTAAAATTTGGGACTCTCAATACTGTTTGTGAGATTCCAGTTTTTTCCCCCACAGACTAGTGTAATATGGGAAATGTGTTTCAAGCTTCTCATATGATTACATTTCTGATGCTGTAGAAAACGCTTTTTTATGAGACGTAGAAAAATGTTCTCATACCAGCCTAACAATTATTGACGTAAACATTCTAGTATTACTGTTTTTTATCGTCTACCATACCAGTTTATGTCAATTGCAAGTTTTAGAATTAGTCTTTTATTCTACCAACTTTTTTTCCTCAGGAAGTAACAAAGCATTCTGTCCACACACTGGTGTTCAGATCATTAAAGAGGTCCCATGATATTTTCATCTCAGACAACATTCAGCCGCCACCTGTTGATGAGAAAAGGTCAGTTGATGGCTATGATACATGAGCTGTGTATCTTTAATAAATCATGCCTTGGTTTTTTTTTTTTGGGGGGGGTTGGGTTTTTTTGTTGGGTTGTTTGTTTTGTTTCTTTGTTTAGTTTCTTTGTTTATTTTGGTAACACTATTGGGATGTTTATTCTTAGCATTGGATGTATCTTACATTTTACAAATTTCTTTTGGATACTAGTGATTAAGAATTCATTATATCAAAATTTGATTGCTAGACTAACTTTTAAAACAAATTGTTATTATTAAAATACTTTTTTGTTTGTTATTGGTGACAGTGAAAGAATAAAGATTGCTTGCAAAATCCAAGATGAGTATGGAATGGTACAGCACCTCCCACCGCCGAGAGAAAGCAAGCCACCTCCCTTACAACAGAATAATGTCAGTCTGATGCCACAGGAAGCAAACCGAGGTACTAACTACTTTCGTATCTATCCGCTGTGTTTCCACAGAGAGGGATACATTTTAATAATTTAGGTCAAATAAGTTGGTGCATACCATACAGGATTCTTACAAGAACAAACTCAGGAACTTTATTTCTTATTAACCCTAACCGCCCTGAATCCTCCAAAATCCTTTTTGCAAATTGGAGGAATTTGCAGGATTGAGGTTACATGGCCAAAGTGCGTTGCTGATTTCGGAGTACGCACTGTGTCAAGGTCTTGGGCCGGACCTTGTGTTGTTTATGCTCAGCCGTGCATAAATTTAGTCCTTGATTATACTTGAAATCCTCCGCACTGCTCTAGGATGTCACTGCCTCTGCCTCAGCCTATTGACAGTCATAGCCGGAGGATTTTGCAGGATTCAGGCAGTGGTCACCCCTCCATGGACCACATTCAAGAAACAACGGAGGAATTTGCAGGATTGAGGCTATATGCTATTTTTCCATGAGGCCAATTGAGGATTTTGCAGGATTGAGGCTGCATCCTAGCAAAAAGGCCTAGGGAGTTAGGGTTAATGTGTTCATGATTTGTTCTCTGTCATATTCTCTGTGTACTTTGATGTTTGTTTTCTGAAGTGGCAGAAGCCTTTGTATTATATAAGTGGTTTATTTAGTTTGACCAGAGAAGTTATATTTCTTTGTTTTTTGGGTAGATTTCGGTGACATGCAGACACAAGTAACAACAGGTTTCCAGTATCCAAACGCACCTGGTAAGTTAAGTGATCAACTTTACCATTACTATCAGTTTATGCACTCTTTGTAAGCGGAGTATCATTGTCTCTCGACTTTAGATTGCGACCTAAATAGGTTTTAAATCCAATTCCCTTGGCATTTTTGTGAGGAGATTCTTGAATCAATCAAAAGCCAACAATGTTGGGTATTAACAAATAGTAATTTCTTAGCAAATTGGGAATCTTGATAGTCATAACTAGCATTTTGTCTGCAGCCAAAGCTTTTCTCCATTGTTCCAATATTGTAAAAATCAAATCCTTAACCACAAAATTGTCTTGTTCATACACATCCTTAATTTGTGCTATTGCTTTTTTTTTCATGACAGGGGTACCGCTGTCTGCTGAGACAGCAGCTCAACCATCTCCACTTAGCCAGAGGGCAGTCCAGGGTGTACTAGCTGGTCTCCCACCATCACAGTCATGGTCAGTCAACTTAAACCGTCTACAAACCCATACTTGATGCTTTGTGTTCATCTACATCTACATCAAAGTCTGTGCAGTATCTAGATGGTCGTTCAATATAGCTATTTACTGTAATGGTTGTGTCAAATTGTTCAAGGAAGAAAAGGATAGTAGTTAAGAATAGATGTATTATATTTAGAAAGTGCATAGACCATGTCACCTGTGACGTTACACAGACAGGCAACCGATAGGCAACCTAAACATTTAAGCGTCTTTTGCATGTTATTTTGACCATATTGAACAACCCATTGTTAGGCTTCCAACCCAGGATGCTATGCGCCGGCCTCAAGAGGCGGGGTCCGTTCGCTCAATCTGCACTCAGTTGTGATCACCGTTCATCAAACTATACCCTTGACCATGGCGCGCACCAAGCAGACTGCAAGAAAGAGCACCGGGGGGGGGGGGGGGGGGGGGGGGGGGGGGGGAAGCCTCCAGGAAGCAGTTGGCCACCACTTTTACACCAATCACAGAGATATTCATGCAGCGTAGAAGAGAACCGTTTGCTGGAAGTTGGCATCACATGACCACAACATCTAATTTGCAAACAATTGTAACATGGTCTATACTTTTGGATTTTGCATCGATGAAAATCGGACAAATTTCAACAGACGGAAACAGATCAAGTAACAAGTTGGTCCAAAACTTGGCTTGGTGTTCGTATTCAGATTATATTTTGAAATATTTGTGTTATTATTTATGTGAGTTCTTTTTCTTGTTAGGCTCGACAGTGAAAAGACAGCAGCCAGCGTGGAGGATATCCACAGGCATGCTGGGATACCGGAGAGGACTGGGCCCCTAGGGTCAAAGGTAATTCTGAAGGAAATTGGAAATTGATTTATACTTTCTCCACGTTTTCCTTCTTCTAACCTGCACTGTTGGTGCAATATTGTTTATGTTTCTTTAGAGTAAATCACTTGAGTATTTGTCTTTAACCCCTCAAAGACGGAGAGCGGCTAATCCTCACCGGAATGCAGTTGCCAGCTGTGGTATGCCGTGGCACACGGCTAGTGGGTAGTTCCACAGCTGCTGCTTTTGTGCAGTCCCGCTACCACACAAAGGCTGTGCAGTCATGCGGGTCACTTGCTCCATGTATGGAGACATGTCCCCATTACGCCCCATCCTTAAGGGGTTAAATATCCAAGTAGTGGGTCGTATCAGAATCAATTGGCTACTAATAACACGCGCACCTATGGAAGCCACTGGCTAGTGGCTTCAGCCACATTCCATAGACGAGTGTGATATTTCTAGCCGTAGCCAATGTGATTCGGACTCAGCCTTACTTGTGCTACATTTTGATGTATGCAGAATGGTGGACTATACAGATATACCCTGTCTGATCCCTAAACACTGACAATTTTGGCATATTTGCCCTAAAAACAAGAAAGTCTTGAACTTGTATATTGTTGCATAGGTTTCTGTTTGAAGGTTTCTGTTTATGATGTCTGTGACACATTACTTTAATTTGTAAAAATTGAACAAAGAAATTGACTGGAGCGGGGTTTGAACCTGCGACCTCCAGATTGCCATTCCGGCGGTCTACCCACTGAGCTATCCAGTCCTGTGTTGGCAGTTCCCTAGTTGATCACTGTCTTTGTTCAAGGGGTGCTAGTCAGGAGCCATAAACCTGTATATGCAGTGTAGCCAGGGATCACGCCCAAGGTCACGATGCTAGCAACATTAGCAACGTTGCTGCAAAGTACTTTTTACTTTGGCTAAGTGGGAAGAAAGTAATACTTGCAAAGGGTTCAGTTGTTCTGTTGTCTTGTTCCCCACAGGCACTTGTTGCAATCCCTAGTGGGGGCAAACAGTCTGGTGCCATTGTACCCAGGAAAGCACCGACGATGCCCAAGCCGCAGTGGAGACCTCCATGGAAGCTGTACCGTGTCATCAGCGGCCATATCGGATGGGTCAGGAGCATTGCTGTGGAGCCCGGTAATCAGTGGTTTGTGACAGGGTCCAACGACAGAGTCATCAAGATATGGGATTTGGTAAGTGGAACCTGAAGACCAATGACAGAGTCATCAAGATATGGGATTTGGTAAGTGGAACCTGAAGACCAATGACAGAGTCATCAAGATATGGGATTTGGTAAGTGGAACCTGAAGACCAATGACAGAGTCATCAAGATATGGGATTTGGTAAGTGGAACCTGAAGACCAATGACAGAGTCATCAAGATATGGGATTTGGTAAGTGGAACCTGAAGACCAATGACAGAGTCATCAAGATATGGGATTTGGTAAGTGGAACCTGAAGACCAATGACAGAGTCATCAAGATATGGGATTTGGTAAGTGGAAACTGAAGACCAATGACAGAGTCATCAAGATATGGGATTTGGTAAGTGGAAACTGAAGACCAATGACAGAGTCATCAAGATATGGGATTTGGTAAGTGGAACCTGAAGACCAATGACAGAGTCATCAAGATATGGGATTTGGTAAGTGGAACCTGAAGACCAATGACAGAGTCATCAAGATATGGGATTTGTAAGTGGAACCTGAAGACCAATGACAGAGTCATCAAGATATGGGATTTGGTAAGTGGAACCTGAAGACGGTCAGAGCATACTGACCGGAACGTCAAGTTTATACCTCTGGTTCTTTTCAGAACCATTCTCTTAGTTGAGAAATTATTCCCACATGGTGTTTCCGCAAACCTTTCATTATTTAGTATCTCCACCATGCAAAGCCTCAAATCTTACTTAAGTGGAACCCATCCCCGCAAGAGCTGCTGATGGTATTGGTTCTTTCCTTTAGAGGTGGGGTAGGGTCAAGTGAAACGTCGAGCTTTTTCATAGCAGAGTCTCAGTTCTGCAGTAAGTTATTTTTTTGGGTCAGCAGTGCATTTCCATAGTGGTTTTTCAACTTTTTTTTTACAGAATTGTAATTTCTTTGTGTTTTTCCCCATTGATAGGAAAAATGTGTTCTGCTTCTAGTATATTGCACAAATCAGGTTTCAAGAATCTAATGACATTAAACACAACTAGAAAAACAAATTTGTCATGGTGTATAACATTCCTGATGTCAGTTGATTGTGGAGCTTTTACAAAAAAATGGTACAACTTTGAAAGACTTGGTTTGAGAAAATTGCCCTGTGAAAGTTATCGCTGTCTCATGACAATTGAACAGCTGACATTGGATTCAGTAACATTTGCATAAAACATTCCGTCGTGTGCCTGGCAGAAGGGCATATGTGCATATTCCCTTATGCAATAGCGCGTAATGACCAAAATGTTCCCAGCAAAAGGGCATGTGCAGCAAACTGCCTCTATTTTAATGAGTATTAAACATTTTTGTCAGAAATTACTGCCAGTTGTTCCAAAACTTATGATTCATACGAGTGATAAATTTTGAATTCGTACGATTTATATTATGTGTGGGGGAACCTTGGTTTCCTAATACACGCGGGGGAACAATGGAACCTTTCGATGCAATTTTCTTGAAAATGATTTTCGCGTCAGAACGCTCATATGCCCTTCTGCCGGGCACCCGACGATTCAGTCTCGGAGTCATTTTTTAATATTTTCAGGAAATTTTTGCATTCACAACAAACTTGTGTTTGACAGTCTCAGTGCTGAGTTTGATTCATAGCAGCCAGACTCACAGCATCTGTTTGTTGTTTCCCCACTCCAGGCAAGTGGCAAGCTGAAGCTGTCCCTGACAGGTCACATCAGTGCCGTACGTGGCCTGGCAGTCAGCAAACGCCAACCCTACTTATTCTCCTGCTCTGAAGACAAACAGGTCAAATGCTGGGACTTGGAACAGAATAAGGTCATCAGGCACTACCACGGCCATCTGAGCGCAGTCTATGCCCTAGACCTTCATCCAACCATTGACATCCTAGCCACCTGTGGCCGGGACTCCACAGTGCGTATCTGGGACATGAGAACTAAAGCCTGTATCCACACGCTGGCCGGTCACACCAACACGGTCGCTACGGTCAAATGCCAAGCTGCAGAACCACAGGTTTGCATGAATAATCAGGGGTGTGAAATCTCAGCTTTATAGCTGATTTCAGCTTTTTTTGTTTTGGATTTCAGCTTTTTCCCTCACTTGCTGTGTACAAAAGTATAGGAGATTTCCAAAGTTCAGCTTTTTTACACCTATTTCAGCTGTTTTCAGCTAATTTTATCAGTGGTCACTCGCACCCCTGATAATATTTATACTCTCACTTTCTGAAATATTGTCAAAATTATATTTCCATTTCGAAAATGGGTGATGGAAGTTTACATTTTCTAGCAATTACAAATTAATTTGGTGTGATTTATTTTCTTGGATTTTCTGAGTGATTTTTTTTTTTTCAGCTGTATGTTTCTGTTTTTGGTGAATTTTCGGTGTTTTTTTTTCCAGTTTCAAAGCTCTTTAGAAGCAATTTTTCCTTTTTGTGGCAAATGTACATGTTTAATATTTATTTCTTAGTAGTCAGTACGTTGCAATGAAGAGTCAATTCATTAAAGAGAACAAACACAAATTGCAGGAATTATATTTGAAAATCTTTCCTCCATTTTATTGCCATTGCTCTTAATATCTTTATATTTTTGGGGGTTTGTTTTTCAGGTTGTTAGTGGCAGCCATGATTCCACAGTTCGTCTATGGGATCTCGCAGCAGGCAAGAGTCGTGCGACGCTGACCAATCACAAGAAGAGTGTGCGAGCCCTGGTCATCCATCCAAAACTGTGAGTGTCACATTGGATTTTTTTAATTGCGATTTTCATCGTTACTTCAGAAGAAGTTTAATCAAGAGTGATGGTCAATCCTAGTTTGCCTAAGGCCAAAAAAAAAAAAGTTGGTCTCTGGTCAGCGCGCGCGTCGATTTTAATCATGCGCGTCGATCTTTTTTTTTCTCCAAAATGTTCCGCGGTAGCTTCAACAGCGCCCTCTATTTCCGCACCTCAATTTTTTTTACCAAAGAGCACCAAGGAATGGGAAATTGCACCAAGGCAAATGATCGAAAGCACCAAGGCAAATTATGGAGGACACCAATGTACATGAGGACACCAAAAAAGCAAAATAGTACCCACCTTGTCTGTACAATCCAAGCTTGGAAAAAAAAAAAAAAAGCCGCGTGGCTGCGTCAATTCCGGAACTTTGGTCTGACCAGAGACCGAATATTTTTGTTTTTGGCCCACGGGCGATTCCAGCATTATGTGAAAGAGAGTTTTTAAATAAACCTGAAAATGTATTTTCAAATCTTATACATCCATCATCTTGTAATGGTCAAGGAGATGACAGACTGGGAGTTTTCGAGTATTTCTCAGAGTCATAAGTTACTTATCATTGTTAATTGGCTTTGTCACGGACATTGCACTGTCCTTCATAACACTAGAATTGCCCCTGGCAATCTTGTCAATGAAGGTCAGACTATTTCAGGCTAGTCTGCTGAGTTACGTTGCACCTCTGGTTTGCATCAGTCAAACCTGTCACAATGTACAGCAGGGAGCAAGAACCTTGAGGTTTTGACTCGAGATTGTTCATACTTTCAGTGTGAAGAAACAAGCTGAGGTTTACCAACAATTTATGATCGGTCATATACTTGTTTGGTGGAGTGTCATTGCCGAGCAGTTAAGGGCACCCGGACTCAAGCTCCATGGTGTTTCTGATCAGAGTGTGGGTTTAAGTCCCGGTCTTGACACTTGTGTCCTTAAGCAAGACACTTAACCATTATTGCTTCCGCCTTCGGATGGGACGTAAAGCCGTAGGTCCCGTGTGTTGTGTAATGCACGTAAAGAACCCAGTAACTCTTATCGCTTAGGGAAGGGGTTTGCCCCGGTGTTTCTGGCAGTGGCTGCTTAATGCGCTGCAGCACCTTGTAAACCCTTATTAGGTGCTGCATAAAATGGGTCTCACGTTTCAAAAACTTCAGTTAGCTATCTTTAAATAATTAATTGGCGCCTTGAGTACCTAATTGTTGATAGATACGTGCACTGTATAAGACTCCGGTATTATTATTTTTGTTGTTAGTATTACACCCTTGAGATAACAGAAATCCTGAGGGGTTGGGGAAAGTAGCCTGTCCAGTTCGCTCTTTTCACACTTCCGCCATGGGCATACAGAGCCTCGATCTGGCAACTTTACACGATAAATATAGCCGGTTCAGTGATTCCCGTGTCGGGGTTCAGATCACTGAACCGGCTATTTTTATTGTGTAAAGTTGCCAGATCGAGGCTCTGCATGCCCAATGGCGGAGTGTGAAAAGAGTGAATTGTTCACTTGACAGATTGTTGTGTCTCTTTTTATCAGGCACATGATGGCCTCAGCCTCTCCAGACAACATAAAGCAGTGGAAGTTCCCTGATGGTAACTTCACACAGAACCTGGGCGGCCACAATGCCATCATCAACTGCCTGGCCGTCAATTCAGATGGTGTACTGGTATCTGGAGGTAAGTGCCCCAAAGTAACAAAACAATCATGGCAAATGGTTAGCTTTAACACTGAAAAAAAAACACCAATTGGCATGCTTTATCAATGTTGTTTTGTTAGTTGCATTTTAAATGGGGTTTGCATATTCTCCATTTAACTATTCAAACTTTGTCCTTGCAAACCGTTAATAAAAAATACTTATTCCGATTGTAGACAGTTGGGTACAAGTCAAATGACGTTTCAATTGAAACTGAGATTCTTAAACACCAACTTGAAAATCGCTCTGTTCAGTGTTATAAATAGATAGTTAGATTCAAACCCAACAAGGGAGTTAAGTCAAAACCCCTAAGGATTTCTTTTTTAGGTGCTATATTTACCCTAACCTTCCAGATTCTTCAAAATCAACCCGGAGAGTTGAACGACATTCTTAGATTTAGGAAGGAAAAGTCCAGACATTGTTAGATTTAGGAAGGAAAAGTCCAGACATTGTTAGATTTAGGAAGGAAAAGTCCAGACATTGTTACATTTGGGGAGAATGCAAACTTTAACAAGTGTTTATTTGAGTTTGAACATCGAGGTACCCTATAAAACCCTATAAAACCCCATAAACCTCATATATGCATAAACCCCCATAAATCCCATAAACCCCCATCAAAACCCATCAAACCCCCATAAAATCCCATAAAACCCTACAAAACCTTGAGGCAATCCTCAGTTTACCACCTGTTTAATTTCGCATTCTCCCCTTATATTGGGCTGATACCTCTTTAAAGTTGAGAACAGTGAATGTGCCACTGGTTTCCAACAAGATGGTTGATTTTGGAGGATTCGGGAAGAAGCAGAAATGTTACGTGAGGTTGGGTTAATGATGCTTGCATTTTTTTTTAAAAAGGTGACAATGGTTCGCTTCATTTCTGGGACTGGCGGACTGGCTACAATTTCCAGCGCACCCAGGCCCCCATCCAGCCCGGCTCCATAGACAGCGAGGCGGGCATCTTTGCCTGTCTGTTTGACAACAGCCAGAGTCGGCTCATCACTGCCGAGGCGGACAAAACCATCAAGATATACAAGGAAGATGAGGACGCCGTAAGAATAATTGGAATTTTTGAAATTTCTTGTCTTTTTTATCCAGGTTTGGTATATATGGAGTATAACTTTTGAGCGAGCGTCATGGCCTTGCGGATGCTCTGGAGTTTCAGGGGCAGCAAAATGTGGGTTTCAGCCCGGGTCTTGATAACGTGTGTCCTTAGGCAAGGCACTTAACCATTATTGCTTCATCCTTTGGATGGGACGTAAAGCCATAGGTCCCGTGGTTTGTGTAATGCAGTGCATTTAAAAGAACCCAGTAACACTTGTCGCTAAGAGATTGGGTTTGCCCAGGTGTTTCCGGCCTCCTGTTAAAACTCCCCTGCGGAGCCCTTAGAAGAAGGACCAACCAAGAGTGATAACCAAAGTAAGTCTGCATCCCTGACTTAAATTTGTTATTTTCCTTGTTTTTCTTTTCTTATACAGACGGAAGAGACCCATCCCATCAACTGGAAGCCAGAAATCATGAAGAAGAAAAAGTATTAGAGAAGAGGGCACAAAAATATTGAAAAAGTAACATGGATGCAGGGGGTTCAGCAAAACTCTACTTACATGTAACCATAAACGGTATTGCAAAAAGTAAATTGCCCATGATGTCTTTTTACGGAAAAATTAGGAATGGCTTAAGTGTATCCATTTCCGAGATGTAAGGTAAAATATTTGTTGGCATTGATAGGTAAAAACATATGAAATGTGACACTTAATGAGTATGGGTATTGTCTTATTTTATGTTATGTGTTACAGGGGTTTACTTTACTTTTTCTGAAAAAAAAAATGAATGCACCTACCATGAATTTAATTCAACCTATTTTATGTTGGCAAATTTTGCTTTTGGTGAATTGATATGGTGAACCCCAGTGCAAATTGAAAGTAAGAAAAGCATTGACTTTACAACTATTTTGTGTCTGATATGTTGTTTGTCGTTTTTATGATTGCCTTTATAAGTATAATAAGTGTTAACCTTTAGCAAACCCAACATTTTTTACTCAGAAATTGGAATAACTTCCACTACATTTCGGTACAAGTTCCCCATTCGTGGGTCGCAAAAACAACTTTCAGGTCTTACACAGTGTACATTAGCATGAAAATCTTTGTTTAAATACATTGTGTCAACCCCCCAAAAAACGCCTAAGTTACTTCACTGGATATCATTTAGAATTTCTTTGTCTTTTGTGTTTGCTCCTGTGTTGTGTATTGTGTAATTTTAAACTTCTGTTCCCATTCTCTGTCGAAAATCAACTTTTTGTACAAAATAAACAAATTAAATAATGGGAAATGATTCATTTGTTTGTTCTCCTTCTGTTTAATGGTAATTTGTCTCACCACACATCAAGAGCTTTTTATCATTTTTGAAACAGAATTTATGAAACCTTTCATATTTCCTGATTCCACGAGACATCCTTTTTATTTTGTACAAGTACATTTTAATTATTCGACATTTGCAATTGCACCATAACCCTATATAAAAGTCGTAAACAAATTATGAAATCACCTTGTTCTGTCCTTAAAAAAGTTATTATTAATTTTGTATATAGGCAAAAAAATTCCCCATCTTTTAATCCTGAGCATTGTTGGTTTTTTTCTGGACTTCCACATTAAGGTTTTTCATTTAAATGCAGTGTTTTGTTTAAATCACGAGAAAAGCCTATAAAGAAGTTCAACTTCGTACCCATTCCTTCGTATCGCGCGGGAAGCGGGAATATGCATATTTTGAACGTTTCCCCGCTGCACGTGCGTCTTGGGCATGCGCGATAGCTACCTTGGCGTCCTTTCCAAAATGGCGGCGAGACGACAAGACGAGATAACCACGTTTACCGCTCCGCGTTTGTAGCGGACATTCTCCATACAAACCCAACAGAAACCTTTGTGTGCAGTACGAAGAGGATGAAAAAAACTTGAAGAGTAAGTACATGTAAGTGTATAAGTGTTTTTACGTCGGCAACCTTTCATATGTATGCAAAATTCGTCCCCGAAAATTCGTTGCGTGAGCCATTTTATTTTCACATAGAGCGATCATTGAAAGGACACGCCCCTTTGCATTTGAGCAGACATGCCAAGGTGCATATTCTGTGCCATGATGTATGTTTGTGATCAATTTGATGTTGTGGCCAATTGATGATAAAACGTAAATGCGACAGAACAGAAATACTTTCAATTTTGATTGAAGAGGGGAAGAACTCGAAGGCACTTTCAACTTCAAATTAGCCACAACATTTCTAAAAATCTGTTGGACTCCGTATTGTGAATGTGAGCCACACGGCGATACATGCTAAATTCCATGGGAAAGATTCCCATATCTGGCCATCAGTAATTTTTCCCTTAAATGACCATCCGAAAGTGATAATATGTCCTAAAAAGTCAAAATTTGCCAGGACAAATTTTGAATGTTTACTGACAGAGAAAACACTTAGAAATGTTCAGACCAGTCCCATAGGGTTTGTGCACAGGGCGACAAGTGATAGCCAGATATGGGAATCTTTCCATTCCACGAAAAGCTCTCTTCCCTGAATTTGAAATTTTCACAGGACAAATCAAATTCCCCACATCTTGACAATTGTCCCAAAAATTACACTTACCCAAAATCGAGAGGTAGGGTTTTTAATCCCCCCCCCCCGTTTCAACCAGATACGAAGTTTTCATTAATTTGGTGAATATCAATCGGAAAACAAACAGCCTACATTTCAAATTCAGGCAACTCTTCTTTTTGTGGCTTTCAAATTTAGAACATTTCAAAACCTATCTTTTCTAAACACATCTGGTTACAAACACTAGAGAAATCAAGTTGGGCATTTTTGATGTCGGTTAATTCCATCATTTCACTGAAAATATTGTCTTGAATTTTTTTGCCACAAGGTTACTTGGTCAAAGTGATTATCAGGTCTACCATACAAAATTAACTTAGCACTGCCAGTACCGGGGAAAATGTAAGCTTTTCTCAAAACAGAAAATCTAAGGAAAGATTCATTTCCCACCGTAAATGGTCGGGAACAGAAACTTGCATTCGTGTCCAGAATTATATAAACGCGCATGGCACATCCTGTTTTACACAAGACTAGTGAGGTTTCTATGTAAAATAAGCCAAAAAGGTGGGATGCATAATTTATGTCATCCACACAGTTGTATAGAAGTCACACAATGAGAGCCACATACGAGCCATTTTCTGTTTCTACCATGAATTTCTCTTGACACAGTGTACATGTATTCCATCATTTATTTTAATTTGAAGCACTTTGCAATGTTCAACCATTACATATACTTGTTCCTAACGTGTAACAAAAAAAAGCTTCTTAAATCCTCTTGAATAGCCTTCAAAGTTTGAATAAAATGTTTGTATTGTTGACGAGAAGAAAACATGACCTATCTCATTTTTATTTGTTAATCAGTTTCATTTGTGTTTTCTGTTTGTTCCAGGCAAGGAATCAGAGCAGGTGGTATTTCTTCTAGAAAGTACTTTGCCTTCAAATCATTAACGTGAGTCTAGAAACAATTTGCTGTACATAGTTATGCCAAATGCTATCGGATGAGAAATCTTTTCAAAATGCACTCTTTCTAAAAAATAACTCAGTGCAAATTTGAATACATTTAATGTGAACATACACATTTGGCCCGCGCTTAATTTAAAGAAAAATAAATTCGTGTCAGGGGGGAAAATTATTTGATTTGTTGTCAGATGTACTTTTACATTATACCAAAATTTTGGCCAAAATTGAAAAAAAATGCAAGGGGTAAACCTTACATTTTTATTCAAATTTGGACAAACTATTGACTTTTTTTGGGCCAAAATTGGCCAAAAATTGAATTTTCTCAAACTAACGCAGTAATTCATCTGGATGCAAGAGGAACATCAATCAATACTCTAACACGCACAATTTTGAAGATTAGGGAGCAAATCATCCATTTTTGGAGAAAAAGAAATTATTTTTTTTGGAGTGGTTTTACCTTAAATCTTCGACGAAATTAGCACATCAGTCCTCGAATCAAGTTGGAATGTCTTCTAGGGCCCTTTAGGCATCTTTCTAGCAACTTTCAAGCATTTTCATTTTTTGGCCAAAATTGAAAAAAAAATGCAAGGGGTTAACCTTACATTTTTAGTCAAAATTGGCCAAAAATTGACTTTTCTCAAATAAAGGCAGAAATTCATCTGAATGCAAGAGGAATATCAATCAATACTCTATCACGCACAACTTTGAAGATTAGGGCAAAAATCATCCATTTTTGGAGAAAAAGACATTATTTGTTTGGAGTGATTTTACCTTAAATCTTCGACGAAATTTCCCTTTTAAATAGCACATCTGTCCCAAAATCAAGTTTGAATGTCTTGTAGGGCCCTTTAGGCATCTTTTAAGCAACTTTCAAGCATTTTCATTTTTGGCCAAAATTGAAAAAATGCAAGGGGTTAACCTTACATTTGTAGTCAATATTGGCCAAAAATTGACTTTTCCCTAATCAAGGCAGCAATTCATCTGGGTGCAAGAGGAACATCAATCAATACTCGAACACGCACAATTTTGAAGATTTGGGCAAAAATAATCCATTTTGGGAGAAAAAGAAATTAATTTTTGAAGTGATTTTACCTTAAATCTTGGACGAAATTTCGCTTTCAAATAGCACATCTGTCCCAAAATCAAGTTGGAATGTTATCTAGGGCCCTTTCAGCATCATTTTAGCATCTTTCAAGCATTTTCATTTTTTGGCCAAAATTGAAAAAAATGCAAGGGGTTAACCTTACATTTTTAGTCAAAATAAGCCAAAATTTGACTTTTCTCCAAACAAGGCTGAAATTCATCTAGGTGCAATAGGGACATCAATCAATATTCTAACACGCACAATTTTGAAGATTAGGGCAAAATCATCCATTTTTGGAGAAAAAGAAATTAATTTTTTGAGTGATTTTACCTTAAATCTTCGACAAAATTTCGCTTCCAAATAGCACATCTGTCCTAAAATCAAGTTGGAATGTTATCTAGGGCCCTTTAAGCATCATTTTAGCATCTTTCAAGCATTTTCATTTTTTGGCCAAAATTGAAAAAAATGCAAGGGGTTAACCTTACATTTTTAGTCAAAATTGGCCCAAAAATTGACTTTTCTCAAATCAAGGCAGAAATTCATCTGAATGCAAGAGGAACATCAATCAATACTCGAACACGCACAATTTTGAAGATTTGGGCAAAAATCATCCATTTTGGGAGAAAAAGAAATTATTTTTTTTGGAGTGGTTTTACCTTAAATCTTCGACGAAATTAGCACATCAGTCCTCGAATCAAGTTGGAATGTCTTCTAGGGCCCTTTAGGCATCTTTCTAGCAAATTTCAAGCATTTTCATTTTCTGGCCAAAATTGGAAAAAAACGCAAGGGGTTAACCTTACATTTTTAGTCAAAATTGGCCAAAAATTGACTTTTCTCCAAACAAGGCAGCAATTCATCTGAATGCAAGAGGAACATCAATCAATACTCGAACACGCACAATTTTGAAGATTTGGGCAAAAATCATCCATTTTGGGAGAAAAAGAAATTATTTTTTTTGGAGTGGTTTTACCTTAAATCTTCGACGAAATTAGCACATCAGTCCTCGAATCAAGTTGGAATGTCTTCTAGGGCCCTTTAGGCATCTTTCTAGCAACTTTCAAGCATTTTCATTTTATGGCCAAAATTGAAAAAAAAATGCAAGGGGTTAACCTTACATTTTTAGTCAAAATTGGCCAAAAATTGACTTTTCTCAAATAAAGGCAGAAATTCATCTGAATGCAAGAGGAATATCAATCAATACTCTATCACGCACAACTTTGAAGATTAGGGCAAAAATCATCCATTTTTGGAGAAAAAGACATTATTTGTTTGGAGTGATTTTACCTTAAATCTTCGACGAAATTTCCCTTTTAAATAGCACATCTGTCCCAAAATCAAGTTTGAATGTCTTGTAGGGCCCTTTAGGCATCTTTTAAGCAACTTTCAAGCATTTTCATTTTTGGCCAAAATTGAAAAAATGCAAGGGGTTAACCTTACATTTGTAGTCAATATTGGCCAAAAATTGTCTTTCCCCTAATCAAGGCAGCAATTCATCTGGGTGCAAGAGGAACATCAATCAATACTCGAACACGCACAATTTTGAAGATTTGGGCAAAAATAATCCATTTTGGGAGAAAAAGAAATTAATTTTTGAAGTGATTTTACCTTAAATCTTGGACGAAATTTCGCTTTCAAATAGCACATCTGTCCCAAAATCAAGTTGGAATGTTATCTAGGGCCCTTTCAGCATCATTTTAGCATCTTTCAAGCATT